GCTGAGTTTTTGACCCGCCACGTCGGCCTTGAGGCCATTCTTCGAGCTTTCGCCTGCTAGCGACAACGGTATGAGGACAAGGTTCAGCCAAAAGAGCTGTTCAGTCAGAAGGACTTTCTGCTGCCGGGGTGAGCGAAAACATTCTGCAACTTCAATCATCAAGCCTCTAGCGAGTCAAGCCAATACAGTTCAGTCCTCAAAATCACAAACCCGGCCGCGCAGAAACATCGGGTTTTTAGCGTTTTTTGTTCCGCATATCATCATAATTTGGACGCCATGTTAAGCCATGCAAAGAGCCGAATCTTTTCGCAGATTGTTAGCAAGCAAACTGGGGCAAACGACGGTGATGTGCCCTTGGTTTTGTGTGCAACTTTGTGGGCGGACACGCTGTAAGGCTGGGGGCATCCGGATCGCTCGCATGCACGGCGCACAGCCACCAAGCCTCCGCCACCTGGCTTGGAGGACTCGCCTGGACCCCCACACCGAAGACTCCCGACGAACCCCCGCCGGCGACATCGACCATTCCCGGCGGCTCTCCCAGCTCACCTCCGATGTCTCTGGGCTCCATGATGATCTCTTGAGAGTTGCCCGCAGTGGCGACACCGATGACTCACGATGGCTCCTTTTAATCAGTAATGCAAAGCAGGGTGGGGGCCTTCTTATTTTGGGTTCGGCGTAGGGACGCAACATCGCAGCTGCGGTTGTTTCGGTCATAGGTTACATTCAGGCTCCAATATTTTTATAGCCAATTGAAATATTTTGGCTGGACTGAAGTTGAGAGTCTAATGTATCTAGCGCTGTAGGGTTTGGGGCTGCGGGTTTAGGATTCTTGCGGATTGGGGTGCTTTGGCTTTGGGGACTTATTTGGTGCACAAGGGACGTTTGCACTCTGAGGTGACTAATATAGAAGTTTGAACATCTAGAACAGGATTGGACTGCAAACTCCTAAACCACCATCGTAGTTCCCAAGACCTGAGCAAACCGTAGACCCTGAAATCGCGCGCCATATGAACTTATTCATTACATGTGGAGCTATCTAACACAAGGTGTGTCCGGGCTGAGGGTTTCTGTACGTGAAGGTTTGGAGAAAACGTATTTTTCATCATGCCGTGGTGTTGCTGTACTTGAAAAATCTTGAAAATTTTTTGGTGGTACACCGCCCGGCATTTTAAGAAAGCCCTTGGAGCGGTGCAGATCTCGGCACATACAAGAACAAACGTTGGTGCTGCCGCAATTCACAGCTTGCATCAAAGACTGGATGTTCAGCATACTTTTCCGTTCTGGAAATGATTGCTCGCTGCAAATTTCAATCATACATTTTGTTGTTTAAATGTATGGAAGCGTATTTCAAACGCACAGCCCGTTTTTTCAGGTGTTCACAACTGCTGCAGCGCTATCGGTCCGATCAACATTGCGCTGATATTGGATACGTCTGGTTCCTTGAGGCTGACGCGAGCTTCCAAAAGACAGCAACCAAAATTTGAACAATTTATGACATCTTAGCCCCGCGGGATAGACGTTGACGTTGGTAGACATTGGATGGCCCGGCTAACGAGTACCGTCTTTTGGACTTGATGTTTTCAGAACGGCTCAGCAACAAATTTTGGTATCCGCTTCATTCGGACGTCTGTACAGCAACACGTCTGTCACAGAAATTTGTTGCAGAGGTCAGAAGATTGCTCGACCAGGAATTGTGCATGAGCGTCCTGCGGTAAGACGGAAGCTTGCCGGAAAGGTTCGCAAAGTCGCGATGAAAAGTTGGGCGATTTTTTGCTGTGGTAAGGAACAGAAGAAACCTGGATCACTGGAGGCTCGTTCGGCTGGCAGTAGTAGTAGTAGTAGTAGTAGTAGTAGTAGTAGTAGTAGTAGTAGTGGTAGTAGTAGTAGTAGTAGCAGTAGTAGTAGTGCTAGTAGCAGTAGTAGCGGTAGTAGTAGTGGTAGTGGTAGTGGGAGTAGTAAGTGGCAGCAGTGGGGGAGGGAGTGGGAGTAGGGTAGCAGTCGTGGCATGAGTGGTGAGCAGGTGGTGGTGGTGGTGGCGGTGGCGGCGATGCTTTTGGTAGATGTAGTAACACGTTGTTTTCGTTTATAGTCGTAAGCGCCGCTGTCGTCGTCGTCGGCGTCGCTGCAGTCGCTGTTTTTTGCTGGCTTTCATCGTTTTGGATGGTGTTGGTTCAGTTTGGCCGAACACGAGGATCCACCAAGATGGTTTCTTGACGCCGACATGGTAGCCGCGCAGTGCTGCACGATCCGTCCGTTTTTTCGTTTCTGGATTTCGCCCTGTCTACGTCGTGATTACCCAACCGAAAAGCTCTGTTCGTCTGTGCATGTGTAGTTCCGCGCCTGTCTTTGTGAATCAATCGCGTGTCCAAGGATAGAGTGAGCAAAACATCCGGGGTTTTTTTGCAAATGCTGGATGCAGCATTGCATCTCTTAAACAACCTCATCCATAACCCGGAAGAGCTCAAGGAAACTTTCTCACATTAGCGGTTACGCTCCACGACTGTCGCGCGCAAACCTGCGGCAACCACTATTTGGGTTGCTTTGGCATCCCCTTGTCTCCGTGAGAGTATGATGATGTGCGCGAGGCAGCGGAAGATCTTCCAGAAGCTGGGGGAGGCTCATGGGTCCTCATGTGATTTCACCCGGCTCAGCTTTGCTGCACCGCAAGCCGGCTATGTGGTAGTGGGTGCACAGTGATCATGAGGCCGAGATGATCGAGTTGCTCCTTCCTCACATGCTGGAGCGATCGAAGCGGTTTCAATCAGCAGATGACGCCAACGAGGCAGTGGGCTTCACAAGTGTGCAGGCCTCCGTCGCCCCAGATGCCGCCGTCATTGCCAGGTGTTGGACGTTCTTGCACGAAGGCTTCAAGATCTCGCGCCGACCGGAGATGCAATTCAATCTATCACCACCCGGAAGGTCGACAAGTTGGGCTATGCACCTCTCCACCATATTTGTCGGTAGGGGTTGGCCATGTGCCAGAGCTTCGTTTTTCAGAGTGCTTAGGTCCTGAAGCAAATGCCGTTCCATGCGTTGGCGAGTTTGATATTCGCTCGCACCGACTTCGACACGGACTTCCTGGACCGCTCCGAAGCTCAAGCGGCTCGTGCCAGCCTGCTTTCAGCTGCCTTGGGGGCCTGCTGTGTGCAGAGGACGATCTGACCCTGGCGACAGCCCGACTTCGTGCCAAGCTGCCCGCTGCAACCAACAACGACGGGTCCTCCCTGCATTGGGTTTGAAGCTTCAGGCCTGGACAGTTTTTTGGCCACACGTCCACGCAGCCCATTGCCCTCACAGGTCGCTGAGATGTAGACTGAAGCTGCTCCAATGAACTATGGCTGTGGTGTTTACGCTGACATGTTGGTGCTGCCTGCCTTTTTAAATTAAAGGCCGGCAGATGTGTGGTAATTAATATAGGAACTTGATTCTGAGACCCTGGCTCGAACTGACTAGGAAGATTATTCATGCTGAGACTAGGAACCAGGCGCGTATGAATCAGGTTCCCACATTAGACAGCTACTGAACACCGAGCGAATAATTCTGCAATCCACCCCGGATTGCACGACGTGCGAAGTGCAATGTATCGACACCCCAGAGTCAGAGTGCAGTTTCTAGATGTTTTGCATGGAAAGCGCAGAGCACGCAGCCCTTGGGTCTTCCGGACCAACCAATTTCAAGCTCCAGCCGGGCTCTCGGAGCTGGAGTTCGGCTCGCACCAAAGTCTTGTCGGGAATCGAATCAAGGATGGTCAAGGAACTGCCACACCGTATCGTGTGGAAGTTGGAACGGCCTCAAAACAGTCTGCGTGACCTTTAATGCTCACGAGACTGTGCCAACTTTCCCTGAAGCGGCCACGGTCCCTGTAAGCCACCCGCTCAGATGCCATTGCTATGACTTGCCTTCCCTTTTGGACAGGTCACGCTGATCTTTCGGAGCTAGCAGGGACCAAACTGTCAAGCATATGCGGGGAAATGCCAGCTAATGCTGCAGTTGGCTGAGAGAGGTCTTGAGTTTGTGCGAGTTGAAGCATCTTGTAAATACTTTGCACGAGCGGTCATCGCTCTAGTTTCAATGAATCTCCACACGTGGCCGCATGCTTGGACCAGACCAGGCGTGGCAAAGGGCGGCTGAGGAATCAGGAATCAGAAGGGCAGAGACGGGGAGTTCTGGGGGAATCCTCAACCGGCGCCCAATGAAAGGCACTCGCAAAATCTCGCAAACCTGAAGGCTTGGCTGGCCTTCAAGGATGCCAAGGGCCACCAGGGTCTGGTTCGAAATCAGCAAGACTTGAATTTGGAAGTAATGATTTTTACGACCTGACTGAGTGGTCCTAGGCACGTCTAATGACGACGGCCACTAGCCTCACGTCTGTTGCGAGTTGCCAGAGAGCACGTTCCCGACCTTTTCATGGTGCTACCTGAAAGTCCAAGCCTTTGTCACTTTGTACAGAGATGCAGCTGGCAGTCGGTTGGATTCTGTGAAGCCGACTGCAAGCTGGATCTGTGCTGCCCAGTTCGGTCGTAGGCACATGCTACTCTTCGCGGTGGCATCGCGGACCTGAGAAAAGACGACAGGACCATTCAGCATGATCCTACGGTGGCTGAGGCTTGCAGGGTGCGCCAAGGAAGTAATGAAATGAATTTCGTCGCTCCCCATGGGCAGCTTTTCCAAAGGCGCTCCTACTGAGTCATCCAAACTTTGTGGCAACGCGAGTCAGCTCAATGTTGTGATCTGTGCCGGTAGCTCCCATGGCTGCAACAGCGGAGTTGCATGACATCGCAGGGGCATTTACTTGCAACCCTGCCTGTGAATCCTGCGATCTTTGAAGATTCAGAGTGCAAGCATGTGAAGGCATGCAGACAGCAATGTGAGACGTTCTATTTTCGACGCTGACAGATGGATTCGAAATGGTTTCCCAAGGGATGCACCACAGCTTGGAACCTGATGATAACCAGCTTAGAGACGGTTGGCACTTTCGGTTGACGATTGTCGCATGTCAGGACAAGATCGCCATCCCGGGAGATAACGATCCTGTCCAGCCTCCATCTCAGACGTCATTACGTACCAAAGGCCGACTGTTTGGAACTCCTGCTCGTTCTTGTTTTCAAGTGCGGTTCCATGAGAGCTGATTTTGGGGAGGATTTGAGAGCTCCGGGCCTTGTCGCATCTTCCCGGGCTCTGTTTGCTTGATGCGAGGTTTCTGTTGCGTCACAGCCTTGCCCCGGCTGCCCGCAGAACGAACATCTCATGCGTCCATCGCTGTGTCGACGGCCGCCCTTCCTTTCCAAAATGCTCGAGCATCACCGGTGCTTTGGCTGGGAGCCACCACCTTCTCGTCAAAGCATCTTTCTGACGCCCACACACGTGATGGTACAGTCAGAGCATACGACGAATTATGTGTATGAGCTTCCATGTTATGAATGAGCAGCGGAGGAATCTCAAACGTGTTCCACTGACTGCAAGTGTCGCGCTCTCTCTGGCACGGTGTGCCTGTCCATTGCTTCAGAGACACCGCCTCTAAAGATCCGAATCAACACGAGCGCCCATCGGCATGGGCTCCTTGGGGCTCGTATATGCCGTGCGTTTTCATGGTTCAGGTCGGCCTTGGTTGCGCCCTTTGTTTGCTGGCTTGTCAGATTTAGACATTCAGATTCAAGCCCAGACCCAGACCCGTGGCCCTGATGCTGAAGTCTGTGGCCTTGGGATTCGGGATTGGACTCTCGGCATTAGGTTGTGCTGATGAGTACCATACCTGATTGGTACGGAGCCGAAAGCACCCCTGATAGCTTGCGTTCATGTTCAGGACGACTACGATTCAGGTCAGGTGCCCCACGACGCGACACAGTTGAACAGTTTCAGGAGTGTGTCAGGTTTCGTTTCATGCTTGCACGACAATCGCGTCTTGCAAGTCGAGCCTGACAGGGGAGTTGCATGCAACATCCAACACAAGAACAAGTGATGTGACATGCAAACGCCAGGGAGTTCATGTGTGCGTGTTGACTGCTCCTGACGATGAAGGCCTCGTTGAGCTCCTGTGCTCCTCGACCCTCGCACGCATCATGTGCAGGGTTTCTCAGCAGAGGATGCAGATCGCACACTTCATCGTCATCGGTGTCATACCGTTTGTTTTCAGAGGAGTCCGGACGTCCGGAATCGTGCGTGCAGCCGGGCCGCGTTCTTCTGAAGGCCTCAAGTGAACCGTGCGTCGAGTTTCGGCGCGGACTTTGCGCAGTCAGCAGACCGGGGGCGCAAGCAGATGAGAAGGCCGGCTTAAGGTAGGCATAGGTATAGGTGTGTGTCTGTGTGTGTGTGTCTTGTGTTCTTCTGGAGCTCTGAGGCGAAGCCCTGGCTCCAGCCGCCGTAGGCAAAGCACCGGCGAGTCGACTGCCCGGCCTTTTCTCACTCTATCCGAAAGGTCGGAAATATTCCGAAGCAGATCCATTCCACCACACAGCAAGACACAGGCATGCGGAGGTTCTTCACCGGCCGCACCGAGAGACTCTAAGGTGTTGGCACTTACGCAACACCTGGGGTGACGAGTGGGGCGACAAGGGGTGCCTCGAGAGTGCGTGCTGTTTTCACCTGCCCACGTCCTATGCGCTTCGTGAAGTTTCATGAGTTTCATGTTATGTTCAAGAGATCCCAGCGATGGCAGCGGCAATGCAAGTGAAAGAGGTACTTCCGGTTCTTAGATGACATGCTGACTGGCCTGACACCTAGCAGCCTGCTTACTTTTCACCTTTGATGGAAGCGATTGAGTTTGCTTGGCTGTCAGTCGCCCCGCTGATGACCGTTGTGCGCCAGTCTTCAGGACCCCCCGGCTATCATCTCCATATCGCTTCAGCGGCAGCAGATGGTCCCAAGAGCGTGGTGCGAGACCAAGTTTTCGGATATCAGGTGCTCGATTGCGACATGTCGAGCTACACACCTGAACTTCCGGATCATTCGGCTACCGAGCGGTTGTGCGGCTTCCCCTGCTCCGATATGAGACCGAGGAGACTGTGATCTGAGAGCTTGCAGCAGGACCTCACTCCAGGTGCGCTGCATGTTTTCGCTCGGTGCTGACCGGCGACTGTAGAACCGCGAAGGAGTGAAAACACCAGGGAGGTCATGCTTTTCTGGTACCATCTACAAATTCATGCCGAAGCCATCCCCAGTGCCGAAAACATGTGCTCCCTGGACATCAGCCAATACCAAGAGACTGGAGCGGACTTGTGCTGCGTGGCGACAAAACTAGGAGTCTCTGAGCTTGTTGGATCTTCTTCCTCTTGCAAGGGACTGTATTCTCCGTCACAGCTTGGGAGAGTATCCAGACCCAGCCTCACCTTTCAACTGCTATGGTTTGGCTCGCAGAATTTTAGAATCTTTCGCCGTTTCAGTTGTTCTCCCACAAAGTCTGGCGGCCGCAGGCCAGTAGCTGAACCTTGTAGCTGCTGTGGAGTCAGAGCTTTCACACGAAGGAGATGCGTCTTGCCGCGGCAATGCGTAGGGGACGAGCAGGCAAGGAGAGGGAACGTGCCTGAGCCTAGTGGCGGCGCGGCTCCTTCCTGCTCTTGCTTTTCTGAGGTGCCTCGGGCTTTCGCTTGCGGGCGACTCCAGTCGTCGTGGCCTTGGCAGCTGGAACTCTTCTCTCCAGGAGAAACGACGGAGACGACGAGAGAGAGAGAGAGAGAGAGGCAAAGCCTGCAAACCCTAGCCGGGCCCTAGCCCTTTGTGCGCTTCGAGGAGCTTTATTGGCAGCCAGCCCTCAGACCGGAGCTCTCGCGTCTCTCGAGCTTTCTTCGGTGGCTGGGCCCTGGGCGCTTATCCGTTGCCCAGAGATTGCCCTCTGTCGCAGCCGCTATCGAGGCCTCTTCGGCAGTCCGCAAGGCCCCGCAGCTCTGAAGCCCTTTCGAACCCTTTTGTGACGTTTCAGAATCTGTTCTTGTTCGAGGGTCTCCCACTCCCATCAAGGATGCTCCGCAGGACCAAACAGCGTCAGAGGCGCATCTTCCTCGCTGTGATATCTCGGCTTGAAACCTCAGGAGAATGCCAGGCACTACCTCACCGGGGGCCAGATGTATCCTCCCTGGCCAGCTGGGATGAAGGAGGCCATGTTCGGCATGGGCTGCTTCTGGTGTTCGCTCCTCAAGTTGCCAGCAGCTTTGCTTCTCGCGATGGCCATAATCGGCCATAAAGCCCCGCAAGGTTCGGAGAACATCTTCATGAGGGTGCCGGGCGTGTACTCTACACAGGTAGGCTATGCTGGCGGTGGCATAGAGAATCCCACCTATGGCGACGTTTGCACGGGAGCGACGAATCACAACGAAGTGGTGAGAGCTCTCGCCTCAGACTTCGGTGAGCTGCACATAGTGGAAAATTTCCCTTCGGGTTGGGTGACGGGTGAGGTTGTGTATGATCCTGAGAAAGTCTCATACGTTGAGCTCTTGCAGAAGTTCTGGGAGAAGCATGCTGCGGCCTCATTTGCTGTCACCGACCCTGGGCCGTCGGATTTCAGCGACGGACAAACGCCGAGGATCCGACTACGCTGAACCAGCAAGGGAATGACTTCGGCACGCAGTACCGATCAGGTGCAGATCCTCAAGGCAGTGCCGGGAGACGTTCTGCGGTCGCGGTCTCCTCAAAGGTATCTACTACTACTCGGAGGAGCAGAGACTGCTGGCCGAGGAGCCGAAGACCGCGCGCCTCTGGGTTTTCCTACCGCCCTGGAGTTCAGGAGACCAAGGCCCGCTACCAGGAGGCGATAAAGAAAGCCAATGCTGCGTGGGGCCGCCACTTGGACTTGTGAAGTCGGGAATCGGGAGAATGGTAATGGAAGCGTCGGACTTGCAAGGATCCATCTCAACTGAGATTGAGCCTGCACCGACCTTTTACTATGCGGAGGCATAGCCGTTTTGTGAGATTGCAGCTAACCTGGCACGAATGATTCTTGGTTGCTGTTGCACCAGTCCTTCCACCAGCAGTACGATGCAAAGCCTGGCAATCGAGACTACTGTGGCTTGCGGCCCCTTGGCGTCCAACTTGATGTCAACGACGTTGAGACGAAGAAGATCGACGCATGAGGCCGGCCAGATGCACAGAGTGTTTTGCAACGGCTTCCGCTGCTCTAACTCTGGTACCGCACCTGCGACTAGACTGGCAGGCATCAGGGCGAGCTCATAGCAGCGACTGACGTGCTGTTCTCGCTGTTGCAGTTAAAACATGCAACATGTTGACTGGGCCACACGAGCCAGGATTTTCCATGCTTTCGAACAGCATTTAATAGCATTTGCTGATGTACGTTCTGTGTACAAAGCCAGTATTCACCTGAGCCTTCATCGCCTGTTGCGCTCATGCTGCACGTCGATGCGCAGAAGTTCGGAGGCCTCGCAGTCTGCAATGTGCGATGGCCCTGTCCGGTACAGCAAGACCCAAGCCTGAGCAGTCACGGAAGCAAAAAAGATACCCGGTACGGACACGATGAGCTGAGCAGCATGGACTTGGGCAGCGGTCCTGATAGTCGTACAGATGCGGAAATGCACCATGTGGGTTTCCTCAGACACAGCTACGCCTCACGCAGCACGGCCTTGCACAGTCGTAGCCGGGGCGCTGTTCTCACATCGCAAGGTTCCACAGCATAGTCGTTCGTGACTTTGTCTGTGTGCATGGAGGGTAGAATGCAACCGTACCGGTTGTGGACACAGTAGACGCGCACCTGAAGTTGACGCAGGGAATTGTTTGCAACTTTGCTATGGCTCTCGACACTTTGAGTGCTGCCATTGTCGCCCAAACCCCGGCACGACTGGCTTTGGATTCAAATCGTGATGAAGCAAGTAAGGACCAATTACTACACTCATCAAGGTGCAACGAAGTGATGCTTGGCGACAAAGAGACCCTCCCAAAGAGCTTGCGATCACAACTGTGCCTGTTTCGGGCCTGCTGGCCTGGTCGTAATGCTTCCAGGGGCTACTGTCACTATGCAGCTGTGCAGCTATGCAGCTATGCATGCTGAACAATCTACTCGTAGTGAGTGCTTGCGGTTGCTGTTTTCTGTGTGGCTTTCACGCTCTAAGGATCGTAGATGCTAGCTCGCTTCTGGACGCCCAGCCGCGGCTGACGATCGCTTTCTTCAAGGAGCATGCCTGTACATGAGTGGAGATGCATGAGCTTGGTGCTAACTGCTCGTCGGACTTGCTTGGACGGAAGCTGCAAAGGCTGGAGATTAGCAAACCTGCTTGTCTCCTTTCATTTGAGTCTTAAGTTTTCCAGCAGGGAAGGCAGCGGGGCAGCAAGCATGGAGCAGCCAATCTCGATGTCGCAAGAACACGTTCAGCCCCGGAAAGCATAGCACATCCTCAGCACAGCCTTGGGAGCCGCAGCGCTTGTCACTGCCAGGTCTTTCAAACACTTGATGCCTCCTTAGCCGCTTTGACGCCGTGACAGCTGCTGTCAGTTGGTGTGACACTACGGACGATGTGTCTGGTGCAGTAGTCACCACAACACCCGCAGCAACTACCTACCACATCACGCAGCATCAGTGCAATTCAGCACATAAATGCAAAATGGCTGTAACATCGTATGCAGCATCTGATGTAGTAGACCCAACACTCATGTGTATGACATCGTTGAGCTTTCCCTAGTTCAGAATCTGCAGAAAAACATGCAACCACCAGCCCACGAGCTCTGAAACATGGTATAGCATGGCTTCCTGGCTGACGGGGCGCGTCGCTTCATTGGTGAAGGAACCCCGGCAGGTGCGCTATGCCGCTATAAACTCGTGAAAAGCTATTGCCCCTAGCTCTTAGTTCAGACTGAACTCCTGGAAGAAGCTGAAGCCACCACGACCCCACGGCACCACCTGCGAGGCCTTGCCGGCTGTCGATGAAGCGCAGCAGACGCTGGAGCAGAGAGCGCGCGCTCTCACGTCGCCTCACAGCGCAGTGTGGCCGAACATCGGGGCAGTAACATAAGCAAAACTAACTCGACACTGGGTCCTAGGCAGCGTGACATCCCTGTGAGCCTTTCAGGCTGCCTGGCTGCTGTCACACTGGCTGGAGCAATGCAACAGCTCGGAGGCCTCCCGGGGCTCAGTTCGCGCGACCCACAGAACTTCGGCCGTTGCCCGCACGCCGGCGCGAGGTTTACGTGCAGTGCCAGGCCCAGGGCGGCCCGAGCGGTTCCCAAGGACTGGGGGTTGAAGAGGATGCTAAGTGTCGCGGCTGAGCCTTGCGGGCCCCTGGCAGGCGCTCGGGCCTGGGCCTGGCAGCTCTCCTTCCAGCAGGTCCTACTGAGAAGCTCTGCCTTTGAACCCGGGCAGAACGGAGCATGGAGAGCGCCTTCTTCTGGGACTCGGAACCCAGGAGCTCGTGCTGGAGGTTTGCGCCAAAGTCCCATCGGTCCGTGAGGCCCTCACGCCAGGCAGAGCGACAGCTTGCTGCTGCAAGCAGTGGCGCTTTGCGAGTCGTGACGGTGCTCGCCAGGCCCTGCTGCCGCCTCGGCTTTGCTCGAGCAAAGCAAGTCTTTACGGCAGGCAGGGGCACGTTCGGCAGTATCTTGGCAAGCGATCTGATTGTGGAGAAACACATGGTGAAGAATTCCGGATCGGCTTGTTGCAGACCAGCTAGTCTGATGCAGATGAGCTGTTGCAAGGCGTTGCACGGCATGGCGGAGCGCTTGCTGCTCCCTGGTGCCTTTGCTTGATGCTTACAGGTGGTATGGTCGAGCCTGCAAGCAAAAGTTGAGACGAATGCAAACAAAGTCAGGCTAGCCCATACCTTGTCCGAATTTGTTTGACAGCTTCCTGAAGGGTGCAGAGACGGTGCTGCCAGTTCTGTCGCGCCCTAGGAGGAGCATAGGAGTAGTCTGCTCGAGCCTGCGGAAGATGGCATGCTGCCAATGGGACGGAGGAATGAACGGCCCCTTGCTGACTATCGCACCAGCGCGGAAGCCGAAGCGAAGACTAGTTGGCGCCAGAGATCGCGGTACAATACGGCAACGTAGCCTTTGATTGGCGGTGAAGTGTTGCGAAGGTTCAGCAGCAGGTGGCCGTGCTTGCTGGGGGGACGGTTCGGCTCAAATTGAAAATGTCTAAGTGGAGGACCCAGTTCCAGCGGCGGCGACAAAGGATCCGGTAAGAGACAGCTCTGCCTTGCATCCGCAAACCGGTGTGCCCGTGAATGGGCTGATTTCCCGGTCTTCTGCATAATGGACATGCAGCACATGCTTCCCGGCCCGACCGGGGACGATCCTTGCAGATGCTCAGAATCGCTCACAGAAGCCAAAAAATGTCAGATTTGGCTGAAGGCAGAGGCAAACGACAAATCGAAGGCAGAGGCAAACGCGATTTGCAAAGCGAAAGCCAACGATACCTTGCAGAAAAAGCCTGACAGGTCCCTACAATGCTCCCATTGAAGGACGTACAGCAATCCTTCAGCCGCCTGTGGTTCGCTCCGTAAGCATTGTTAGACCTCCTTGGGGGTCGTGACGTCAGATGAGGTATCCGAATTTGCAACATGGATGTGGGCGATGGATCAGCCCAAACCAGAAATCTAACGCAGGTGTGATTGCAAGTCGAAATCAACGACAATCTTTGGGCGGCGACTTCAGATGGTTCGGAGGTGAAAATGCAGTTTATCAAGTTTGGGTGCAGCTCCGAGTCCAACATCCAGTTGATGTTGCGGAAGTTGGCCGCTTGCCGCTTGCGCAGCTAGCTTGCTTTGTTTTGGCAACACACTTCAACAAGACTTTCGGTAGAGAGGTTACCTGGTTATTGGGGTCAAAAACCTGCTTCTTTGGACCCAGCTCATGAAGGGGGTACGCGGTGACCTGGTCAAGCCGTTTCTACTTCCTTCTGGCACAAATTTCAGCTGATTCTATCAATTTCTAATTTTGTTTTGCCCAGTTCGTCTTAGTTTGCGTGGCTGTTTCCAGGGGTTGAGGTCACGATGTCAAGTCTTGCGCTTTCTTTTCAGTCTTTCCCAGGCCAGTTATTCCAGGTTTCGTTTTCTAGCCGACTTGCCAGAGGGATATTCGCAAAGATTTTCCTAGATTGTCTTGTGGTTCCGGACATGATAGCCGCCAGCTGACCCTTTAGGTGTTCCTATGCTTCAGAAGTAGGGAACGCGAGTCGGGCTGTCGAGCCGTCACCCCAAGCTGCGCTCGCTTTAGTGGTTCCGGTCTGCTCAGGGCTGTGAGTTCAGGCGTGCTCTTGAGCACGGAATCCGATCCAAGACCTTCCGGACAGGGAATTCAGGTGGGCTTTTGGGTACGGAAGGCAGTTTGCAGCCAAGGTGCCCTTGAGGTGTGGCCGTCCCTGCGACTGAGTCTGGACTTATGGGTCTGCTTTAATGGTACCATGGAGTTTCACGGATCGTTACAGATTCACTCTTTCCTTCGTGTCCCTAACCGGCTTTCTGCATCATGGCATGACGCTTCGTCAACAAGCCTTTTGGCAGAGGTTTGACGCCTTGCTCTCGCGAGATTCAGCGGGTGCCTTGCCCTGGGACTCTCGGCTTTTGGCAGCGAATATATTGATGCGCCAGAGTGCGGTTTGAACCGCTTCAGCGCTCTGCAAGGATTCCTGGGCCCGGCGCCTCGTCGCGGCGTTGAAGAAGCCTTGGCCTGGGCCTAAAAAAGGGAGGAAGGACGCGGCAATGTGGTCTTTTCCTGGCAGGCGACTGGAGTCACTTTGGCCTCAGCTTCGCCGCTGGGACACTGCAGCTGCTGAGGCACTCGTTAGCACTGCAGCCGCAGCCTATGAGGCAGTCGTTGAAGCAGCGGGTTCGACAATTCGAGGAGCTCGGAAGTTCAGACACTGCCAGCTCCACAACGCTGAAGGCAACAGGCGGCGTGAATCTACTGCTCTCGCTTTCTGTCCAAGTCCTTCGGGACAAACCCTGCCTCTCGAGGTGCGCAGGGGCTCTCCAAGAAGGGGATCCGAGCAGAGCTGATCCGAAGGTGCAATTGCCGAGTGCAGCCTGTCTCCAAGACTAGCACCGTCACAGTCCTCGATGTCGGAGGCGCATCCCGCAGCTTGCTGTGGAAGCCTCTCACTCAACGAGAAATGCGTGTGAGTGGGTCGAGGGGAGAGAACGGGCACAGCCACCAGTGGAAGGTGCCCAGAACCCATTCCTCAATATCTCTCACTGCCTCTCACTTCATGACTTCCCTGACGCAGCCACCCATGTGATCCCTTGGCACGGTGATTCTGCGACAAGAATACTTGGCTGGGCTTTCTGATCGCCCAGGCCGGTCGCTTGCGGTCCCGCAGCGAGGCTTTGTGCGACGGCTTGGAAGCGCTGAGGCAGGGCCCGACTCCGCTTTCGAGTATTGTGATCTGAACTGCTTCGATGCCGCTGTCAAAGAGAGTTGGCTTAGCTTTCGCGCTCGCATGCCGCTGAGCTCGTGAGCGGTGGTCACGGGTTGCGGAGAGAGCTCTCGGTCTTCTGGCTGCAGTGCTGCAGTGCGTTGAGTTGCAGGGCCGTTGATGGGATGGGTGCAGTGAGCTGCAAGGCAAGGCTCGGTCCGCACGAACTGGGAGCAAGGGCACTCAAAGCACAGAGTCGGGCTTTAGGTGCACAGCCCGCAAAGGAGATCGAGCAGCTGATCCAAGACGCGAGCCTGGCTTTGGACTCGCTTGACAGCTGGGTGCTCGAATCATCGGTACGGTTCGCTTCTGCACCTGACGATCCCACATCCGAGCAACAGCTGCAGCGAGGATTTTTTCAATCTCAGGTGGAGTTCAGGGCTCTCGTGACGAAGCACGTCAGCTGGGCCAGGCTACGAAGCTGAAGTGAGTACGGGCGTACGGGGTGGTTAGGTGGGGTGTGATGGCGTGGGTCGTGGAGGAGGATGCCAAGGAACTCAGACGGGAGGCTGTGTGTGTGTGTGTGTGAAGGTGCATGAGTTTCAGCCAGACGTGGGAGCATCTTGAAGCGACCAGCTTTGGTGTTGGTTCGGATCTAAATCGCAGGCTTTGTCTGATGCTGGCAGTGCTGTCCAGCGTCAGATGGCAACCGTCATGCTGACACAGGCAGGCATGCCTGTAATTGCTGGACTCCTGCGCAAAAGAAGCACCAGAGATAGATGCACATTTGTGGTTTGAGGAGACCTTCGTCGCTCGCCGGGGCCAGCTGCAGAACGAGAAAGAGCAGCTTGCAAAGCGGATGCAGGCACCACCTGTTGCCACATCGGATCATCTTCGAGTGTGCACTCTGTTGGTGACAGGAGCTGGACGCCGAGGTCACGCAGCTTGATCAGGAGGCACGCTCCCTGCCAAGAGACCTTGCAAGTTTCTTTGAGATTTCAAGCAGGCGAGTCGCTGCAATCAACAAATTCGGCAGCTTCAAGCCCAGTTCAGCCACAACACCAGGCCGATTGGGGAAGGGCATGGGCATGGCGGCATGATGCAGCATGTGGAAGCTCCGTCCCAGTCACTACGATGGACTCCTCGGGGGCAGCGCGGCCTTTTCGGAGGAGCTTGGCGACCGCAAAGCCAAGGCAGCTCCCGAGATGTCCCGCCGTGTCCCGCCGTGTCCCAGCGAGTCCCAGCGAGTCCCAGCCCGGCAGTGGCGTAAGCTGGCTGTGGGAAGGGGAGGGTGGCGGCAGTGGTGGTTCGCGAGACGAAAGGCCATGGCTTTTCGCGACTGCGCTGCTGCAGCTTTGAATGTGGCGAAAGCTGCTGAGGCAAGCCATGCTTGTACTCGTCGTGTCGTTAGCGGGATCTCGGCTTGCAGCCAAGGCCAAGCAGCGTGCGGAACTCGAGACCCAGCGCAGGCATCGACTGCTAAGAGCCTGCGATGCCTTCTTGAAGTATTCTCAATTCTCCGCCCTCTATGCCCTCTCTCCTCTCGCTTGAAGGCGTCGGGCCTCCGACCTGCGCCGGCAGGTCGCGGCTTACGTACGCAAGGAGAGCTCCAGCCAGAGCTTTTCCCTTTGCTTCTCTCCTTTAGGCGAGCTCTCCTTGCACTCCTGCTTTTGCTTTCGCCTTCTTCTGCTTTTGCATTTGGTTTCTCTGTTTTTGCCCTTGTTGCTTTTTGTGATGGACGGCCTCAGTTCGAGTTCTTCATTCCGGACCTGATCTTGTTTTGCTGTGGTTTGGGTGTCTCGACAACATGTTGGGCATCGCCGACAAGGCGAGGCAAGCTGGGGAAGACGTGACGGACCAAGGCGGACAACACAGGTTCGGTAGGGGGAAGACCGCACATCTTCAGGTGACGAAGTCTTTCCTATCCCGTGGATACGGTCCGTGGGTTTGGTGGATTCCGACGTGGCAGTTTCTCGTGGGTGGGACTGCGATGGCTCGCCAGCTGCAATGCTGCTTGCCATGTCAAGAGCGTAACGTGCAGATTGCTCTGGCCCCCAACGCTGCTGAGTGCAGCCACGGCAGCTGCATAGCATTTAAAGTTCCACAGAGGGTCTCGCGACAGCAGGCTCATGCAGGGCCGTGTACAGAACAGCACACAAAAAGGAGCTTTGTACAATTGCTGGGTAGCAGCAAATGGGAAACCAATTCCAGCATAAGGGGGGAGGTCAGTCAATCTTTTGCCTTCAGCTGTTCAGCACGTTGGAGACAAGAAGCAGATAAATTGGAGATAAAGTTCCCGCTCGAAGAACCATGTTGTCCAGGCGACAAGTAAGTTGTGTGAGAAGCGACATGAAGCTAAAACAGAGTGGGCCAAGATGCTTCGACTTTTGGCCGTGCGGATGCATCGTGCCCGGGCTGTTGCAGGAGCGGACTCGATTGGATGCAGCGGCAGAGTTCGCCGAGTTGGTGGCAGGTGCCCAGCCAGGCTCAACTGCACTGCGCCAAGCAAAGCAGATCTTCCTTCGGTCTCCGGGGTACCGTTTCAAGAGTCAGATCTGGATTCCAAGTTCACTCTGAGCTTCTGAGTAGAGGTGGCAGGACATACAGGCATGCATGGTATTTATGTGCTAGGAGTTCTCTTGGCTACTCGTAGGCCGTGGAACTGGCGGGACGAACCCGGTGCCCCGGGAGCCGCGGGATGCAGCGGAGGAGCTCATGGAGGCGACCGTGCTCGCTCAGGAGGCGGCAGCGACCACTTCTTCTAGTAGTCTCTCGAAAAACGTCTTCCGCTCAGCCTGAAGCAAGCCCATGACGCACCTGGTAGCTCCTCGGACGATGTGGATAGATGCAGGAAGAAGCTTGCCAAGGCTGCAGGTCGGGTCCTGCCGAGAATGACGTGACAAGCTGAGGTCGTCATGAAACAAGACCAGGGTCCCAGAACCGGGGTACCAGAGTCCAACAGACCGCGAGGTATCTTGAGCTAAGTTACCGTCATGACCGTTGGTGCCTGGTCCCGTGTGGGTTTTGGTCCCTGGGATCCTTGGTCTGCGCCAGCGCCCACCACCTGCGCCTACCTGCGCCAGGTCTGGCGCTCCGTCCAGGTTTTGCTGCAGCGCGTGGATGCCTTGGGCGGGAATGGAGCAGATCCAGAGGCTCTCATCGCTGTCAATGTCCAGCAAACAAACTCTCCAGCTCAAATGTCAAGTACCATGTGCTGTGCAGAAGCCTTACTTACACCCTCTGCCTTCAGCTCGAATTTTGCTTCTGTATGTGACATGCTAGCGGCGCCATTGCAGTGTACATAGGATGATCGCGAGCCTGGGCAGGTGATCGCTTCCTCAGCTGAGATGCTGGCGAGCAGCGCTGACCCGCTTCGGCAGACATGGCGACTGTGGGATGTTCTCATGGGGGCCCGACCTTTGCACATCTTAGGAATCACAGGCCTTCTTCCTCAAAGCAGCCGAGGAGGAGCCCAGCCCAACATGTTATCGACCTGCTGTTGGCACCTTCTTTCGTGCCTCTGCACCTTCTGTGCTACTCAAGCTGATCATCATGTCTGTACTCCGCCTGCCCACCACCCGTTTCTTCCCCATGATCGCGAAACGCGGCAAGCTGCCGCATGACAGGACCTTTGCGTGTGCGCCGATTGCTCCGCTTTGGGGTGCGAGTGGGCATCTGTGTCCTACGGCATCTACCTCTGTGCCCGGGCTCAGACTTCGAAGGCCGCGAGGCTGCTGAGCCGGGGGCAGCCTGGGTGAGCCTGAGCCTGAGGCGTCGACTGTGCCGGTCAGCACCGTGGCCTGGGCGTCCACCTCAGCTTCGTGCGAAGTTTGGCCATGGATCGCTGGACGCCATCCCAGCTCCGACGGATGGTTCCCTGGCCATGCGTTTTGCAGAGAAGCTTCAGTCACGCTGCGCACTCGTGACTCGTGGCAGGAGCTCGGAGGATCGCTCCGCTTCCGGGCCTTCTTGACACCCTTCGGCCTTTGCGACTCCTCGGGCTCGGGCTCCTCACGCCACGCGCGTCCGGGCCTGTCGTGCTTGTCTTCACGGGAGTGAGCCTTCCGTGCAGCATGATGCGACTTTCAGGCTATTCGTCCCGGGCCGCCTCCTACTACAGGCGCCGCTTGGACGCGGAATGCCGTGGCCAAGCTTTCAGCGACGTGGCACCACCACGCGAAGAGGCCAGATTGCTCTCAAGGGTTGCGCGGATCAACACTCCCAGCACCAGACTGTAATGTTTCCCACGCCACACTTCAGCAAAGGCCTCCGACAACCTTAAAGCGACGGTCAAAGTGCACAGCCTTTCGACAAAGTGGCAGAGCATGTCTGAAAAGTAGCTGTCGAGCTGGTGAATCGAGCAGCATGTGCTACTTGGCTTGCCGTGTCTAAACAATTCTAAACACATCTTTTAGACTGAAGTTGTGGGCTGGTTTCGAGACCAAGCCCAATTCTCGCACAGGTTTGGAAGCAGAGCAAGCAATTGTGGGAGCGGGGCGTTCAGAGCGGAGTGGGCGGAGTGGCGGAGTGGCGGAGTGGGGTGGCTGTGAGTTGCTGGGAGGAAGCTTTGGCCGAGGACCCCACCCCGTGACCCCAACTCCACCCCGTCTTGAGCCCGTGTCTGGGAGAGGCCGAGCTCTTGAGATGATCCCCCCGGTCCGTGCCTTCGTCGTGCGTGGGCCATGACTGACGTTTGCGCATGAAATTTGCTGGAGCAAACCCTCCAATGCAGCATGGTGTTCAACTCCGCAGCAGCCAGTTTGCCTGGTCTATTTTGTGCTTTGGGCTGGCGTATGTGTGGCAAGCAGATGACACATGAAGTTGCACCTAATCTCGCAGTCACTTCGTCGATACTTCGTAATGAATCGAAATCGCTTCAATCATCCAGGGGCGTCAGATCGCTGACCCGGCGACCTTCACGGCAGAAGAGGTCGAAACCGCTACAGACGGTGAAGGCCAGCCAGAGGCACAAGCAATACGATCGCCCGATCACCACCTCGCAGGTGAGTCTTTGGCTGCTGAACGCCAGCAACTCGAGGCCCTGGACGAGCTGTTTTAACTTCATGTGATGCGCGGGTTTACGGCAGCAGCGCACTTCAGACAATTAGCTTTGGAGGATGTGAGTTTCAAGCAGGGTCTGGTCGGTCTGGTGTTTTCAGTGTTGAGACATGTTGACACCTGGTGAAGGAGAAGTTCCTTGCAGTGCAGGGATGGCTGCAACAAGTGCTGACCCCGGGAGTGTGACTTCTGCCAACGAGCTAGTCGTAGGCGAAGGACACTTCAGGACACTCCATTTGTTGGACTATGTACATAAGGTTTCACTCGTGTGCAGTGAGTGATTGCTTTCGAAACAACGTTTGTGCTTTGCCCACTTTTTCTGACGAGTAATGCGTAGGTGCGCTCAGTTGGACGTTCTCCCTTCGCCCGGTAGGAGTTCGACTCAAGCATTCAGCTGGTGGAAGAGGCTTCTCCGCTTGCCTGTCATCGGACGATGGTGGCAACTCTGCTTGCTGCGCTGTTGCAAGGCAGTGCACCAGATGCTGAAGAAGAGGGGAGTGGACAGGCCGCCACAACATGTACCAACCGATTCATCCCCCGTGCCGGCCCAATGCGGCCCTTGTCCCCGGCCGAGGATCCCCGGTAAGTTGCGTTTTCGCCACGTGCCACGCGCTCTTGCGGCGCGGTCGCTGTGGTCTCTGAAGGCCAGTGGCGTCCCAGTCCCGGTCGGACGGTGGCCTGGGCCCGCACTGTGTGTGTGTGTGTGCAGGAGATTCGATACTCCTTGGTTGGCAAGTTCATTACAGCCTCTGGCTTGGTTGTGCTTCGTCTGCAGCCCGATGCCTCTGAAGACCAAGCTCGGACTGTCTGCGATGACCAAGGCGAGGATAGGCGTCGTCAAAGCCGTGGCCGCAACTCGGTCATTTCGGTGTGCTGCTTGTCGGTGCAGGCACGTCGTGCCCGCGATCCGCACGTCTCACTGGCATTGCACCCGCTTCCAGTTTCTCGGTGGCCTCAGCGTCATTCGGGACGCCGCCAGAGGCTCCACACTGCCCAGGAGGCCTGCCTGAGCAGATCCAAAGCATCCCAAGAACGCAGCAGGCAGAAGCCTTACCGCTTTGTCACCAGGCGATGGGCTCTCGTGTGGCTCCACTGATTTGCAGGAGCTTGGAGGCACCAGTCAAGCCTCTTCGATAGGTCCTGGTGTTTGCCGTTTGCCGGTAGTTCTGGATGCGCAGCTTGACAGGTACGATGACAGACTACCAGGAGATTCGGCTTCAAGATGTGGTGCCAGGGAGCTTCTCGGATGCAGGCCAATGCAGGAATTGAGAGCTTGCGAACCGTTGCTGGAGGCGTCGGCACGACGTTGAAGGTCATTCTGGTGTCTGATCTTGCGGGCAGTGCAGTGCCTGGTGACTTTGTGGTCGTAGGCGCCCACGCCAACGTTACTAACCGTCGCTGAGCAGCACTCCGCTTGACAGGTGGTGTCCTTCGGGCGATCTGGCCTCGTTCCAGGGCGGCGGCTGAGCTTGTCCTGGATGCCTCAGACTTACGCCATTCGAAGGAGGCCTGCCAGCAACTGTAGATACACCACGGCGCGAGCCCGATGACGCTCACTGTCGCACAGGCTCCAGTCCATATTGATATTCCGTTTCGGCTCTTGCCTTTGCCATCCTTTGCATGACCAGGAGTTCGATAAGAGCAAAGCGCGGCAGTCTGAGCAACAGCTGGGGGGCTCATGGCGGCTCCTGTGCCAGGTGCCTTCACGGTCGCGTTCACTTTTCCTTGGCGTGCCCAGCGATGCGATGGCCCAGCGCGCGGAGCTCCTGCGCAGCGTCGCGCCAAGCCTCCAGGGTCTCGAGGCCGGGCCGCCGGGCAGCCGCCGGGCAGCTCGCTGGGCGGTGTGGGGAAGTGGGGAGGTACCGAAGTTGGCCCTGTTGCTGACGTTGGTCGGAGCTGGTCCCTGGGATCCACCTGTGCCCGGGGAGGTGGAGAGGCCGTCGGCCCCTCTGCCCCTGCTTCTCCTCACAGCGACGACCCTCTGTACTTTTTTCATGTCGTGGCAGGTGGTCCCGCTTCATGCCGGAAGACGAGAACGATGCGACCTCACCCAAGGGCGTCCAAGAAGCCAGGATGCAGGGCGGCCTGGATGTGCTTGCAGTAAGGTTCCAGACTCAAGAGGCTGCGAACAACATCGCTTTTGTCCATTGCAGCCCAGGCGGCTTTCCACCCACCTTCTTTTCGTCGGAGATGCTGCAACTGGAAAGACCAAGCTAATCGAAGCCTGGGACCGAGCCACCAAGCCATGCAAAGCATGGGCAACTTGTCTAATCCTTCAGTTTGGCATCTCATACCGGCTGAGTCCCTGCGGTGTGCTTGGCCCGAGACAGCTGTCCGCAAGGTCAAAAGCACTGCGTGACATCAGGTCAGCACAAATCAGCGTGCAGAAATGCGTCCCATCCATCACCTGCGACACCCCTCCCCTCAGCAAGAAACATCCTCTGTCTCTGACATGGCGCCTGTCCGGCCGCGGAGAACCACCGGGACCGCTCTGCTCTGTGCAGGGGTGGCCCGCTGCTCAGAGCTTTCACACAGTTACCTGCAACGACATGCAACGACATCATGCAATGCAGCCAGAGTTCATCAGGCCCTCACCGGTTTGCAACAAGGAAGCCCCTGTCCCAGCAAGATCTTTGCATACACCATGTCAGCAAGCGCAAGCAGACAAGGCTTCGTGTTGCCAACAGAACGATCAGGCCAGAACAGAGCGGAGTCTACTTTCTGCACAGCGGCAACTGACTCTGTTGCAGGGACTCTGCGCGCCTCCGACCGGCAGGCAGGAAGCGAGAACGATTCCGTTGCATGCACCTGCAATTTGGTGTGACAGGCTCACATCTGCCGCGCCGTCCCCGTGAGGAGCGGGTTGCTGCAGGGTGCTTGCGGAGGAGAGCGCTGGGGTTGGTCCGCAGGATGGCCGAGGGCTACGAACGAGTCGAGGCAAGGGGAGGCGGGGACCCCGGTTTTCAAGGAAAAGCACCGCTTTTCCCAGGATGAGACGATGTTCTCCATGATTGTCGAGGCCGCAAAGTCGCTGACAACCGCTTTGACGAACTGTTGTCGAGTCATGTCTTGCGTGTTCAGACTGGCACCTCATCGCCGTCATCTGTCACTAAGCTGAAGGCGGGAGAATCCCCGTGCTTTGAGATGCACTGTGGCAATGCTAGACTATGCCGGGTCAGGTCGTGTTGCCGGAGGAGCGTGATCTTGAGCCAATCTCTCACCTGGTCTTAAGCTGCCTGGGCCCTCTGCGTGACCATGTGCTTTCCTTTCTACTTTGCTGAAGCAGAGGCTTTCCAGAAGTGGTGGACTCCTGGCTCTTGCCAGAGGCCCTTGGCGGAGTTGCCTGGGTCGGCATCTAAGCGCAGTTTCACAGGTAGCCTGTGACATCCTGTGACCCTGCAAGGCCCTGCCTGCAATCGCGCCATCAGTTAAGACTCAGGCCTGGAACGGCCTTGTCAAGGCCTGGGAAAGGAGTGTGTGAGTCTCAGCTTGTGACGCGCGCGTGCGATGCAGCGACCGAGTTCCCTGGCGACAGAGCATGAGCTGATGTAGAGACTCAACACCACGCGAGGAGTGCAACATGGTTCACTGCAACCAACTGCACCCCAAGGTCATTCGGACATCCCTGTCTGTGAATTTCCAACGCGTCATGACCCTTGCCTGTAGCTACTGACCACTGGCTGTGAATGTGTGTGTTGTTATGGTGATGGGCTGGCAGCGGCTGCTGAAAGCTGAGGAAGCGGCCGTCCTTGCGAAAACCATGGCGATGGCAGTTTGAGGCCCCGGTCAGCAAGTTGAGCGATGGCGGGCCCGGGAAGGCACACACACCTGCAGAACGATAAACGCAAAAGCACCCATCTATCTGTATGTATATGTATATATATATATATATATATATATATGTATATACATACACATAATACACACATACATATACACACATATGTCAGCTGTAGTCAAGAGGCAATAGACAAGCAAGGAAGCAAGCTGGCAAAGACAATCTGCTTCGAATGCTCCTTGTGGCCAGGGGGACTCGCTGGGCCTCCTCCTCGTGGAAGAAGGCGCGAGCGAGTGTTTTTTATGCGCATAAAAAACACTTGCAGTCGCAAACATCACAGTGCACAGCATTCGAAGGTGCACGTGCATGGTGATCGCAGCTCTTTTCTGAATCTCGAAGGCTGGCTTGAAAAGCCTCCCGTAGGCGAAACGCGTAGCCACACAGCCCGAGATCAGTGAAAAGGCTGAGTGCTTGCAGGCTTGAGTGTGCCATCCCTTTGTGTGCGTGCAACAAAGAGCACATTCGCCATGGATCAGCCAGTCATACGCAGTCGCAGTCGAGCTCCTTCTGTTGAGATAGCTCCAGAGTTACGTGGAGCAGTACGTCCAGGACCGCCTCCTGGATTAGCTCTTCAGAATGCGGCCACTCTGCCCAACAGCCAAGTTCTACTAGCACAACTCCTCGAGCAGCAACAGACGCAGAACCAACTACTTTCCCAGCAAGTGCAGCTCCTTCAGTTCAACCAGCTTGCGATGAGTCAGGCCGCGTACACGAACCCTTCTGACATCCTTTGCCAGGTTGATCCCACCCTCAAGAGTGAGATGGAGCAATGGGCAAAAGAGTATCGTGCAGTACTCCAACAATACTGCACTCAAGATACACTTCATGCAAAGTATTTGGATCTGACAAGCAAGGGTGAACTACACAAACAGTTCGCTGATGAGGTCAACAAAGTCTGGCAGTGGCCTTCTTTGTTCAAAGCAGAAGTCCGCGAGTTTGAAACTTGCAGGCCAGTGATCACAGAAGGTGAGCCGGAGAATTATGCAGACGTTGATCCTGATGCAGATCCCTTTGATCTTGACGTTGCGTTTCGGATTATGCGCAAAAGACATGCTGAAGAGTGCCAGAACTTCATCTTCGCTTACCAGCGACAGTGCTTGAAATACTACAAGAGCAAAGCAGATGCCAGCTTCCAAGAAGGATTGCTATTGGATCGTTTCAAGGCCTGGACGCTGAAACACGCTCATATTCTGAATGAGTTTTCGCTTAAGCAGATCGAGTCGAAGGTGAAACTTTTTGCAGAGCTCACCTTCCGAACAGAGCTGCCGAAAATTCAAAGCAGACATGAGAAGGAGAAAGATAAGCGGAAGAAACAGAGAGATCAGCTTCTGCAAGCTGAGGCTGAATTCAGGTTGATGGACATCAACAAACTCCTCGCCATGGCAATGCTGGAGAGATCAGCTTTGCCAAGCCGTGGACAAGCAAGCAACCGACAACAAGTTGTTCCGCCAAATGGTGCTCTCGCTTTCTTCTTACATCAATACCCGGACTTGGCCAAGAAGTACAACTTGACAACACAGGCCGAGAAAGCTCCCAAACCCAAGCCAGGATCTGACCGGGGCCGATCAACGAGTGCCAAATCAAGGCATTCTTCAAGAGAAAGTCATCGAAGCAAGTCGCTGACCAAGGGCACCGGAAAGACCAAAACAGCTCGGCAGAGCAGCCGAAGCTCTTCGAAAGCCAGCAAATCCAGCAACAAGAGCAAAGGCAAAGGCAAGGGTAAAGGCAAGCAGCAACGCGGGCGAGGAAGAGGCAAGATGCATACCAAGGCAGTGCGTGTACAGACCCCAGCTCCCAGCAGACACTGACTTACATCAGACAGTCAGCGCAAGAGAATTCGCAGGCGAAGTTTTGGTCAGATGACTACACCATCGACTTTGATGAGTTCGTTCGTTTCCGGCTGAAGAAAATGAATCTTGTACAGCTTGAACGCCGATTCACTTCACCAGTGCATGTTTTGACATCGCCTGCTCTACATGTTCCCGCCTATGTTCGTGCGTATTTAGCCAAAGGTTCCAAGTTCATTCCGGACAGAAAGCCAAGCACTGCAGCACATTTGGTGCGTGCAGTTGACTCTTTTGAGAGATGCATTCAAATCGCTGCATTCTTCAAGGACAAGCAAAGTCACACAATTCATGCCAGCAAATGCAGAATGAGATCCAGCTGGAGCCCCACTTATGATCCTTGGGTTTCTCTGTATTGCAGGCTTTTGAAAGAAGAGTTGATTCGATACCAGCCTCTTCCACTCATAAAGAATGAAGATTTCGTTGACAGAGCAGCGCGGAGATGGTTGACGCAGAATTCCGATCTTGTCTGCGTAGTGGATGCAGACAAGAACCTCGGTGACGCAATATTGCCGAAAGCATGGGTTAAGTGCGAAGTATCACGACTCCTTGCTGAAGCTGCAGTTCCCATCATGCCTGAAGAGTTTAGCAACATGTCTTCACACATCAAGTTCGCGTTGGACAGTTTTCTCCATCGTGCACATGTGGATGGTTTGATTACCACAAAGGTCCTCAAGTTCCTTCTCAAAGACTTCAATTCGAATAAGGCCGGTTCGTTCAGATTACGCGTCAAGCTCCACAAGACTCCAATTGTGGGGAGGCCCATCATGAATTTGAGCCGTACTTGGATTGCACCAGCAGCCACATACTTGACAGAGATGTTGAACCCAGCCCAAAAGAGGCTACCACACGTCATTGAGTCCAGCACGGACCTTCTGAAACTGCTTGGGGATATGCAGGTGCCAGATGGTTTCGTGTTGTTCACGTTTGATGTTCGAAACCTTTACCCGTCGATTGACCGGAGTCATTTCATGACGGTCATTGACAGGCAAATCAAACGACTGTGGAGTCATGATTCTCGGTTAGGTGTTTTTCTGATCAGGCTCACAGAATTCGTGTTGGATTTCCAGTTCCTACAACATGACGATCAAATGTTCCAGGTCACGCAGGGCCTACCGACCGGACTACAGACATCAGTCATCTTTGCGAACATGTACCTTGCAGAACTCGATGAGTTTGCCGTTGATGAGTGTAAGACAATTAGCTTGTGGGCCAGATTTGTCGATGATTCGTTTGGACTCGCGCCTGACAAGGACATCGACGAAATACACACCACACTGCATGATTGGCACCCGTCCATCAAGTGGGACAAGTCAGGTGCTGGTGAACACGTCAGCTTTCTCGATTTGGATATTTCGTTGGAGTCAGGTTCCCTGCGATTTGAAACATACAGGAAGCCACTCAACTCCTATCTTTATATTCCTCGAATCTCTTGCCACCCCGAAGGTGTATTCGATGCATTGGTGGTTGGCGAGACTCAGCGCCTCTACAAAACGTGCCATCAAAACAAATCTGCGCTGCATAAACACCTTCAGATCTTCGTTCAAAACCTTCGCAGAAGGGGACACAACAAGAAGCAGGTTGAAGACATCATTGCATCGACCTGCCGCAAGCTTGAGAATGCTCGCGATGTTCAAAGATGTACAAGCAGAAAGTTCTTCTTCAAGACGCTGTACAGCTCTTCTCTGAACATCAAAACTGCCAAAGCTGCTCTGAAGAGACGTTGGCATGTCATCCAACACTGCTTCAAAAGCAAGGTTGACGCATCACTCTGTCATAGAGTCCAGGCCAATATGTTCCGAAGGGACTTCAACATCCATTGGCCACGCGCATCGAAACCCGTGTCAGGGCGTGGTGGGTAGGGACCGGGTTTTTTATGCGCATAAAAAACACTTGCAGTCGCAAACATCACAGTGCACAGCATTCGAAGGTGCACGTGCATGGTGATCGCAGCTCTTTTCTGAATCTCGAAGGCTGGCTTGAAAAGCCTCCCGTAGGCGAAACGCGTAGCCACACAGCCCGAGATCAGTGAAAAGGCTGAGTGCTTGCAGGCTTGAGTGTGCCATCCCTTTGTGTGACGAAGGAGACGGAGACCGAGAGAGACCGAACGAGGCCGAAAGCGGCACCGCTCTCTTCAACTGTGCAGGTGATGGGCCGATTTCTCCCGTGGCCTTCTGCGAGTCTCTGGGCGAGAGCAGAAAGCCTTTCTTCGAGGCTTCGCCAGCTCGACGTTTTCCGGCTTTCCCCGTGTGAGGCTCTGCATTTTGCCACCAAATGGCTGCTCTCCAGATGATTTTGGAGCCACGATGCGTGAGTCCTAGGACATGGCACTCCGACTCAGGGCCTGGGGGCCAAGCCTAAGCTTGAAAGGTCCATGATCATTGACAACAACCAGAATACTGCCGCCATCCCAGTCAAGAACTGTCGCAGTAGACTTTCACGGCTTGCAGCCCAGGCGCAGCCCTACCTGCAGAACTTCTGTGTGGCACCAAAGTGGCGCCGCAAAGGCGTAGGACGCGCGATGCTTCAGATGATCGAGAAGGTCCTCTGAAAATCTTCATCGCTTTTCGAAGTCAGCTGCACGACGGCGAAGCGGACAGGTTGTCGTCGAGGTTTGGCGCGGCGATCGTTTGTATCTTCATGCGGCAGGGGGCAAGGTGGCTGTGGGGGCGGGTGCATAGCGACATAGACGCTCCCACGCTCCGCTCCGCGCTGCTCACTGCGCAGGCTTCGGAAGGCCTCTACGGCGGCTGTGGCTACGAAGCCACAGGTCTCTCACCTCCTGGCGAGCCGCCGGAGGCTCAGAAGATCTCAGAAGCCCACCGCCCGCCATTGCAGTTGACGACACACTGTTTGAAGATTGACTTGCCATGACTTGCCACTAGCAGCAAGGAGTCACATGGTGAAGAGCCTTGAAGCGGAAGACGTTCGGCTTCCTGACGGTGAAGAAGCGCAAGAAGTGATGTCCCCGTAAATCATGGAGTCAAAGAGCTGAAAGGGTATAGTGGCTATGCGCAGCATCGCCTCCCATCCCACCGTGCAGTTGGAATTGTTTGTTTGTGGTCCGTGCGCGCGTGTGCATGCGTTTTTCCTTTCCGCATGAAGGTATGCACGCGGAATCTCACCCATCTGTGCAAGCAGAAGCTCTTGCTTCAGCAAGGTATGTCACAGCATCCGGTAACGGCCGACCCTCAATGGAGTTGACACGAATCTTCGCAGACGTGGATGTGTATCGATCGCATGACCAGCGAAGCTGATGGAGCGACGACTGTCCGCCCGATGCCACTTTGGAGACGTTCGAAAAGCTTCTTCAAAACTGCGCTGTTGATTCTGCTGAAGTTCATGCCACAGTACCTCTTGTTGCCAAGCTCAAAGCTGAATCTGCAGCTTCGAGCTAGGCGGCTGCGGATCTTTCTGCACATGGAGTTTGCTGCAGTGCCAGCCTCTGCACGTCATGTACGGACAGAGGATTGGAAAATCCGTAGCCATGCTGTTCCGTCGCCGTGTCCACATGAGCAGGTGCCATCGGAACCACGCGTTCTGGGTGCGCAGCCTAGAGGCTTAGATGAGGGCAAGTGCCCCCAGTAGACTTGTTGCGAGTTTTTGTCGCTGTTGATGGCCTTTCCTCTGCTCCTTGGTCGGGATTGCTCAGGCTTACTGTTACATGTGTCCGAGACGGTGCAGGGTGGAGCCTTGAGGTGCTTCAGCAACTGATGAGATCACGACCCACCGTAGTCGGTTCTTCTTGGGCCACATCAGGCAGGAGCTTTGTCGCTGGCTGATGGTGGAATTTGCTGCATAGATGAGCGGGCCTGTCGAGTTTAGCAGAGTTTACCCTTGAAGCGCTATTTGAAGCTGCACAGATACCAGTCCAGGTTCCGGCATCTTGCTGCAGAAGAAAAGGCCGCCCTCTACGAGGCTCTTCGTGTCAGTGCTTCCGATTGTTGTTGAAGGAGCTCTGTGAACCGTTGCTCGTGCGCTGCCGGGGCTCTGTGTGACGGTTCCCAACAGTCTCGAGACATGAAGGCGACCTATTCCTTGCCTGTTTGGCTCGAGCTGACTTGTATTCATGTAATTCGACTGCCTAGTCAAAAACCAGCATGCTGGACCATGTCATGGCAATAGACTGGAGACCCCATGAAATGGCACACTGTCTTGCTCTTGGAATCCCCTCTCCAACTGCTGATGCCCTGCGTAGATGGTGAAATGGTGGCAGGCGTGACCGGATGCTGTCGCTACTCCCTAGCGGCTTAGCCGTGTCGTTGCGGTCTTCTTGCAGGTGGGGGGGTCTTCAAATGCCGACATCGCCGACGCCGCCGATGTGGCCAGGGCCGTCCAACCCGCAGAGGCAAGGAGACACAAGGGGACCTGAGACCTTTCCCAACGACTCGACAGGACTCCTGAGAGTGCCGTGGCATGTAGCCAGGCGACATGGAGAGTACAAGATGACTGGCCCTTCTTCGACTCGCGTCTCGTGGTGGAGACGTCCGCGCAGTTTGTTGCAGCCTCCTTTAGAATTAGAGCCTTACCTGTAACGATGGTTCTTGGGGCGGTGCAAGCTGCACGTCCAAGCTAAGCTGATTCTGAGTTTCGGGTTTAGGGTCATCAGACTCCCAAGGAGCCGGGCAGACAGATGCTTGGATGCAGCTTTGCGTGCTCTGCAGGGCGCGCTGCGAGAACCGCTGTTGTCTCGAGGACCTTCGAAGCCCGCGGAGTGAGTCCAAGGCCTGGGGTAGCCGAGTTCTGGGAACGGGCCGAGGCCTAGGCCCTAGGCCTATAGGCGCTGCCTGCTGCCTAGCTGCCTGGCTGTCCAGGCCGGCTCCAAGCCTCAAGACGACGACGGCTTTCAGGTGAGAAGATCTCCGTGCTCTTGTTCCCTTGGGCGCGTGTCGGATCTCTGCTGCGAGGCTGCCGTGCCGCCACAAGTGCAGCTACCGGCGCTCAAGAGCAACAGCAAAAGCGCAGCACCTCGCCTGGTTCTCAGCAAGAGGTGCCGGAAGCTTTCCCGCACGGTCGCCGATCGCACGGTGCGGCACGTGGCACGTGGGCTCAGGCAAGAGGCCGGAGACGAGGGACTTCCGGCTCCGCCATGCGGCCTGCTGTGACTCGGCGTGCCAAGTCGTACGACGGTCTTCCGTGCTTTCTGATTGGTCGGTGGGAACAATCGGCTGAGCCAGGGATCTGCATTGAGACATCGCTGCATAAACTGATTAGCTAGCTCTTAGAAGCATCAGTGGGCTCTCTCTCTCTAGAGATATTTTTGGGAAGTAACTGGCATCTTGTTGAGGTCATGCTCATCACTTCGTCGGCTTCGAGCGCCTGGCCACGGAGCTTGTCCCCAGGAGCCGAGACTTAAGAGATCAGCTCAGGCACCGGAGAAGAGAAAGCACGTGCATCCTGCGCTGGGTTGGCATGTCCTTCCTTGTGTGCAGGCAGACGCTTTGGTCTCTGTGTGTACTGCCTGGAAACCTGAAGTCCGCGGCGGAAGTGGATCGAGAGCAGCTAGATGAGCTGATTGAATCAGAGGTCGGTGAAGCCGCGAGCGATGTTTTGCCTTCATACGCTTGCTAAATAACATGCCAACACTTGCGAACGAGCGTCTGCAGGTGGAGAGGTATCTACGATCTCGGTTGGTCATCTGTCAGCTCACTGCTACGTGGAATGCATTGTGCCATATTGTGATGATTTTGATGTGGCTGACGGAGAATAAGGTAACCAGGACAGACAGCGGTCGTCAGACGAAGAGAAGAACAATCACATCAGTGATCACAAGCCCGCAACCAAAAGCACGACGAGTCAGACCAGAGGCGGCAACAACAAGGGAAGAGAATGCCCAGAGCTTGCGTTTAGAGTAAAAATGTGGAGCGTGGCACGCACGTGCTGCACGACTCATCTTGAAACATCGTGCCGGTCATCGCGCCAGCCCTCTCTGCCTCCCTCCATCTCTTGCCATTGCTCGCTGTTGCTACGTTCTTCATGTGCGGAATTTTGCAACAGGAGCAGAGGAATTGCCGGAATTGATGATCCGATTGTGTTCCAGCATGCTAGGTTCCGGTCCACGAGGTTCTACTCAGAAAAACTGCAAGCAGGGCCATACCAACAAGAAGACACGAGGCAGATGTGGTGTTGCAAGACTGGTTGAGAATGCATCCGCTGTGCAGCCCTCACTTGTTCAACTGCTCGCTTGGCCTTTCTCACACGAGGCCTTCGGCCAGACTTTAGCAACGCGATGAAACCGAGGTGCATGTCTGAGCGCTTTGTCTGTTCATTGCTCTCACATCGACAACAGAGCATGAATCTCTCCCTTAAACGCGCCGCGCTCCACTTCGTTTTCGCACTGGATTGCCTGACCCTTGGCTACCACGTGGCAGAACGTGGCATTTGGCGAAGAGCTAGCGGAGTTTTAAAAGTGCAATGTTTCTGGGCAAAAAGCACTCGCTCCTTACGAGCGGCCTACCACACAATGAAGTTGGAGAGTGCTTGATCAAAATACCACCCTCGAGAAGCCAACCAGAACAAGTTGCTCCCGGCTGCACCGATGTACACTGACACTGTGCTAGTAGCCGACAAAAACGGGGTTGCGTGTCTGAGCACGTTCTTTTGTGAGTGCTTTCAGCTGTGGTTCTTCACCGATGAAGCGAGTTTTTGTTTATCTCTTCAGGCTTGGCGGCTCGCACGTGTCTAGTTGAGCAACTTCCTCTGGTCTTGATTTAAGGACGTTATGACACAGGATCTCATCGCCAAGTACAACTCTGACTCTGACACAGAGGACGCCCAACCCCCCCCCCCCCCCCCACACACATGAGGTTTTGACCTGAAGGCTTGAGTACATGAAGCTGAAGTCTGTTTCGCGTGGGCCAACGAAGAGGATGCTCGGAGGAATGTCACATCCCAAAAAACACTCCTCCCGGCTCCCCCTGCAGATCTCGAAGGAGGAGGCCGGCGAAGAAGGAGCGGCGGGAGGAGGGGTGGAGGGAAAAGGGCTCTTCAACATCGCCACGATGGCCAAGAGCGCCACGGCTGAGAAGAGACCAGGAGAGCGTGAGACTTGAAGTGTCAGATCTGCTTTGCAAGTCGCGGAGGCCGGGGCAAAGCCTGGAAGGACGCCCTCTTCGGCGATGTGGGCGGCCGGAGGGGCCCGGCACCTGTTCATCCACTGGGAGCCCCGGTGAACTTCTCCAAGCGCCTCGTCGGCCACTGCAGATGCCATAAAGGGCCATGCATGATGCGCACCTTCACGGTGTCGCGGACTCAAGAGGATGATGCCGAAATGCCAGGAATTCATTGGCAAAGAGACTGCAGATGATGAGCCCCTTGCTTTCTATACAGAGTCCTGTCATCGTTGCAGTGTGCATGGAAGCATCTTGGGGGCTGCCACATGCAAGGCATCAACAGCCTTGCCGGCAAAGTCACCGGTGCGATTGGCCAGGCCGCGGGCAGCGTAGCAGATGCTGCAAGGCAGGCCGCCCGCAATGAGCGGCGTCAGCGAGCGAAGGAGAAGGCAACCTTCAAGCAAAATCAGTATGAGATGGTTTGTAAGTGGCATTCGATGGCATGTTGTGCTGTTGCTCTGCTGTGCGAATTTGACGAACAGAACGTCCCTGAGGGCATGAGACAGTTCGAACATCGTTTCTTCCGTGCCTTCACCACTGGCCTTGGTCAATCCCTTTTTGGCCACTTGGCTTGTCCTACGACAAAGGAAGTAGGAGCTTTGGCGGGTTCTTGATCCTTTTTCCTGAGGGAGGGTTGCAAATCACCGGCTTCTCAGCTTCGGCAGGAGTGGAGAGGATGAATCTAGGTGCCATTCAACGATCGGGAGAGTTTTTCACGTAATTCCTCGGCCCGTGAACTAGGCTGACAGCCGAAGGTTCATTTGTCGGCAACTGCCGTTTGTGCTGGGATGAAATGTGCGTGCTTATATTTAAGCTTCGAAGTCTTCGGCGCTTCAGTGAGGGTGTTGCAAAGCTCATCCACGTGTTTAGTTGAGCATTGTGGTCTTGTCTCAGGTGATCGCGAAGATCTCGTGTTTCGCTTCGAAGTGGCAGCTCTCAACGTCTTGCATACATACCAGGCCGTTCCGCATGCGCAGAAAGCTTCTGAGTGAATACCCTCCATGCAGTTGTGTCGGAGATTTTAGACAGCACCCATGAAGGGCGAGCTGCCTCTGGCGCTGCATTCCTTGATGGGTTGGCTCCCCGTCGCTTGGCTCCAGTTTTTGCATGCTCGCTGCTTCAGCCTCGAAGCTTCCAGGCACATGTGTCGAACAGCCTCTTTGTGGTGGTTCTGGGTCTTCCTGCGCTTGTCGCCTCCAAGCAGACGCCAGACAAGTTCGGAATGCTCCTGAACTGCCGTTGCCTGAGACCACTTCGAAGATCGAACACTGCGCATTCGCAATAGCACGTCGTCGGGTCCACGTCCGTGTCCATCTATGGGTCTGCCTGCTGGTCTTTCTGCCCGCCCAATAATCTATTCATGTCTGCGTGCTCGGGTTATACATGCCTGGTTCGCACATGTGCATAAAAGCATGTATGTATGTAATTATGTATGTATGTATGTGCGTTATGACCACAGCTGGAAAGCCGGAGCACGAATGCTCGGTCCTCACTTCGCTCGCAGAGATGGACACCCTTTGCAGCGTGAAGAAGAAGAAATACGTAATGAATGCTTGCTTACAAGATGGGTCGGCAGATTATTGGAGAGGAGTGTACTTGCACGCGTCTTTGCATGCACATACGGGAGTGCAGGAATTTCTGCATCTGCTCGTTCATGTGCTTGGCGGTGTGTTGTGTTCTTGGCCTGCTTTGTTTGCCGTTCGAAACCGAAGGCGTCAACTGCATTGCCAATGGCAGCGGCCGCAGCTCGGATGCAACATTCTTCCTGACTCGAAGATCAGCCGAAATGAGAAAGGCCAGTGTTATACTTTCCTGCAAAGGCTACGTGTTTGTGAGCACTCCGAGCTGGTACCTGCCACTCTCTGCGCGCATCGGCGGCCTTGGGCGGTTGCACGAGATTCGGGAGCGATCCCTCGCGCTCTGTGCGCTTCTCAGTGCCGTGAGCTTTTGGGCGGAGATTCGAGACCTCTCGAGTCGAAGCTGTAAGTCGCTGCAGGTGGTCGGCCCGTGACCAGCGTCCAGGCGGTTTGGCCGAGCCCTTGCGAGCCGCAGGAGTCGCGGGGAGATGAGATTGTGTGAGTGTTGTAAGCCACAAGGGCTTCGGCGGCTTCGGCCTTGGATTCGCTTTTCTTTCTTGTCGAGGAGGTTTTGGAGGCCGTGGATGCCGTTTGGGGCGGCCGCCAGCCTGGAGTGCGGGCAGCCCTCGGTCTCTGCGGTGGGGTCGAGGAGCGGTATGCGCTGCAGAGACTGCTTTGCGGGAAAGCGCAAGTGTCTGCCTCCGCGTGGTCCTGTCTCGTGCTCTTACCTTTGCCCTCCTGACTGTGCTGTAATAAGACGTGTCATGGCTGCTCTGTTTCGACATCTTAGCGGCAGGCTATGGGCGAGTGGGTGCTGCGCATGACGATGGGCTGCGAAGGGCTGCTGATCCGTGCACTGGAGGCACGTGTCTGAAAAAAGAATCAGCTGTCCCGTCTAGAGCAGAAGAAGTTGAAGCCGCGAAGCCTAAACCGCGTTGAAGGTCCTCAAGAATTTCGCACCGACGTGCGAGGCGGCGTACGACGACTCTCGGAAGCAAAGGGCAACAAACAATGCCAACGCACGAGCTCTCCAAACCGTGCTACGTCTCCAGGAGCTTGCTGACGAGGGAAAGTTCCAGAGCCACGTGGAGGTGCCCGCCTCCTTCCCCGCTGCCGGAGTTTGATAAAAAGGACTAGGAAGACAATGGACAGCAAAGACTCAAGCTGAGTTTCGAAACTGAAGCCACGAAGCTTCTGTGTTCTTCCAGAGTTTTCTCTCCTTTGGAGGTGCCGGCTTCCCCGGTGCTTGCGCGGTGCATGGCGGACGTGGCTGCGGAGTTGGTCGCCCACCGCGCGCGGAGGCGACGGCGACTGCAGGCCCCTACTGGGAAAATCCGAGAGAAGAAAACAGCAGGCATAAAACAAGAACGAGAGTGAGAGAGAGAGAGAGAGAGAGAGTAGCCATTTTGGCTCAAGTGCTGCACCGTTGCTTGGGGGCCTGTGCCGCCCTCTTGCATCGGGGGGGAGATAGGAGGTTGACCCAGGTTGTTGGCCTGGGGGAGCCTTCCTGTCTTCTCCAGCGGTGCTTGAGCTGTCACGCCTGACGCCACTTTGCTCCAGTGGCCCCACAGTCCGTTGTAGCGGGGGGCGCGCAATCTTCGAGACGGGCAAGTTCACTGTGCTACAACTCGTTGGACAACCTGGAAACTGCAAGAGCCTCTTCCTAGACCTTCTGCAGGGGGAGGTGAACACCTTCTACAGTAAGGACCCTGACCTCTACCAGCCTGAGCTTCGTGTCCATTACCTGGCCGCTGGACGGGGGACTTTCCGAACTCAGAGGTCGTGATAACACAAGCAGGGGGACCTAGTGAAGTTTGCCTTAAAGAATGAGGAGGTGCCAAATATGCCGCGTTGGATCAGGCATCTGCCAGGTGGGGATGCGCAAGCAGCATGAAAGAAGTGACCCGCAATGCAGGTTGCACATGGTAACCCAGCGCAACCCAAGACCCAAAGCACCGGGGCGACACCCAGACGCCGAACCAGCACAAGCAGCCGCAGGGGAGACGACGACCCAAGATGCGAAGACGCTCTTTCGAACCGCAGGGGGACTTCACTTACAGTACAAGGCGGAAGAAACAGACCGGTGGATTGGGAAAACCATCCACACAGACAGTGAAGGACAGTACCGTGACACTGGAACGGGGGAACGACTAAGCCCTCCTGAGGCAACGGCATACGAAAGCTACCTCCATCGGTTATGTGACCGACATCGTACAGGAGAAATGGCAGACAGACTCGTACGCATTGTCGATAAATGGATGCCGGCTGTCTCGGCAGAAAATCGCTGCTACGTCATGAAGTACCCGGCCCAGATCCCTGATATGTTGCAGCGTGCGTGGAAGATCCGAAACAGGATCAAGAACAGAAAAGGGGGGAAGCGGGGGAGGCCATTACCAAGGCCCGCCGCTAAGCCTCCGAATACAGACCAACAGGTGAGAAGGACAGAGCACCTACAGCCAACTATGCCAGAGACACCTCCAGCTACAGACCAACAGGTGAGAAAGACAGAGCAACTACAGCCAACTATGCCAGAGACACCTCCAGACTGGGGGAGGGACAGTGATGACCAGACAAGGAGCAACCAGCCAGAGACTGACGACGAGGGGGATGAAGACCAGCTATGGCAAAGAGCTGGTGAACCTCAGAACTCCCATGGTGCACAACGACCCAACGAGCCGACGGGAGATCCTCCTACTGGACCTGACAGAGACACAACCAGCCACAGAGAACCCGATGGGGGGGAGGAAGATAAAGCTGGCAACATCTTCAGTCCATACGGAGCACAGCGACCCAGCGAACCGGCGGGGGATCCTCCTCAGAGGAACCGCCACTCGAGAACACGGCCCAACGAGCCGGAGGGAGAGCCTTCTCGCAAGCACAGCCGCACTTGGAGGGAGCAGCCACAGGGACCAGTGGGGAGCCCACCGACACGAAGTCGAGTGGACCTTGTACCCAGCATGCAATGGCAAGTCCGCCAAGTTCAGCGACATATGCAGCGCGGTCGGGGAGAATCTTCTTCGGCGAGGTCGAGTGCTGAACACAAGTGAGCGTGAGTGCGGCAAAAATTTTCCGAACTTGTGGCACATGCGGGGGGGGGAGACCTTTGTTGTGTTGCTACTCTGTGCTTGTGCTGTTTGCTTGCCGCTTTCCCACAGTGCCTAATTCATGACGGGCCGCTGGAGCCGTACAACCCTATTGCCATCGGGGCCGTATGCCCCAACCTTGCACCTTTTGTACTTTTACACTTGGCAACGAGACTGAGTCACGCCGCTTTCTGCAACCAAGTTCAGCTTTTCAATGGGAACTTAGAATGCGGGGGAACCCAACGGGGGGACCGCCACTACCTACTGTTACCGACTGTTACCGTACCTCTCGGAAGGGGAACCCGCCGTCTTCGTCACTTGCACGGTTCTACTGTTTTTCGCTGTTGCTTCTTACTTCCAAGGCGGGGGATCCTACGTACAACACTTTGGCCGAAGGGGGACGCAACTCTAGTGACAAGCTGTCTGCGCACTATGTACCCTGCACTCCTAAAATTGTCCTGCACTTAGTTGTCTGTTGTTGTGTTGTACTCGAGGAGTGCTAACCGGCCGCAGCGATTGCGTGGGGGAAGCATGGCTGGCGAGGGACTAAGGAACTTGCTTAAGAGAGCGCGGGGACGAGGCCGGGACGCGCGTTAAAGTACAGGGAGGGTTGGGTCCATCGCCAGCCACACTTCACCATCCACACCAACCGCTTGTACGTAATCACCGACCACTGAAGACCCCAAAGCCTCTTCCACCGTCAAAACGGGGAAGGGGGGGCCTCGGCCCGGGTTCGTGCGCGAACCCATCCCCAGTGAAGTGAAGTGAAGTGAAGAGAGAACAGCCGCTGTAGGGGGTCAATCCCCTACACTCTAACCCTGGCGAAAGAAAGAGAACAGCCGCTGGAGAGCCGTGCAACGTGTTCAAGAACACATGCAGCGCTTCGGGGAACAGCCAAGCGAGAACGAGCCACGAAGCAGTTGGAGGGGAGCACGCTGAGGAGCCGCAGTGAGCAAAGTGAGCGCGGAAAAAGTTTTTCAAGTTCAGTGCGAGGGGGAGAGAGGGGTGAAGTGCCTTGTTGAGCTCCTCTTTCTTTCCTTGACCCTTTTCCACAGTGCCAGAGGGGAGAGGAGAGCCGTTGGTTTTGCGGGGTGTTGTGCTTTGGTTCCGGCCCTCCTCTTTCCCTAAGGTGCCCTGCTGCGAGCCCCGCCCCACTTAGTGGGGGATTCTTTGCACAAACAACCCTGCCGGGGGAATGCACGTGCTTTGTACTATACATGTTACATACCACATTCTTTCAGCCGCTTTTGCCAACATGGCAGAGTCATTCCGTCCCTTTACAATTCGCTGTCACACTTGTGACGAAGTCTGATCCGCCTCTTTGCCACAATTCAATGCTCCCTCCCGCTTCTAGCTGGGGGAGCTGCAATTCGACCGGCACTTTTCCGGCCCCCCCGAACCAGATCTCAACTAAGGATAGTGCCGTAGGGGCGCGGTGATGAGGCGGGGGTTGTGTCGCGTTTAGAGTTCGGGGGGTTTTCCTGTTTACACCTCGGGGCCTATTTTGTTTTTCGTTGCCTAATCTGGAAAGACCCCACTGCCAGCCACTCCATAAACACAGGGTGTGGCTGGGCGGGCCGAAGGCCTGGCGGCGCTCGCGCGACCCTTAAGCCCTGCAGAAAGAAAGAGAGAGTGAGTGCAAGCAAGCCTTTGTTAGGCACCTTCAAAGACAGTCACTTGTATGTACGCTGTATCATGAGCATCGATGTACACATTTATTTGTATAGTCAAATGCACCTATGGGTTTATGGCTATCCACACACCGATCATGTTTACATTCTGCTCCTTCCATGCTTCCGCCACGCCCTCTGAGCACCCAACTGGCTTCCGAGCATTAGACGTAACCTGACTCCACAGTCAAAGCAGAGGAAGAAGGGTACCGCGTACGGCGCTGGAGCTCCAAAGTCTATAAGCGGGCTTTTCTAAAACGGTTTAAACACAAGGTTCTCGAAGGGTCTATAGAAGCGTCTATAGTTTGTGATCAAGGGGCGGACACGGCGTAGAGGATTGTCATTTCGAAACCAACATGAGGCCAATGTATTGGAGTATCCGGCACGCCTGCAGCAGCGAGAGGGTTATCACATGACACCAGCCCCTCGCGAGGTCTTCAAGCATGGAGTGATTTGAGGTCTTCAAGAGGTTGGCCAATAGATCTGCGTGAGGTTACTTCTTACCACCGAGTCTCGTTTAATATCTTTCAATGGCCGAGGCAGGGCTAGTCGCCACGGATCGTAAATTGGCACCGCACGTGCGGTACTTTGACGTTTGGCAGAGCTCAGCGTATTGAAACACACAACGGATCGTGATTGCTGGAGGACTCGGGCACGCTTACAACACCGACGCGTCGAAGAGCGCAACATCAACACACACACACACACACACACACACATCAGAACCATTCATGTCAACATCATCGCATCATGCCCTCGAAACCACCTCCGCGGAGTAACCCTGCACCACCACCCTTTTGGGACAAAGACCAGTCTCTCCTCTGTGAGGCCAGCGATCTGGAAGTCGTGAAAGTGCCAGCCGGCGGCAGTCTCCAGACGGAGAGGAGGTAGGTGCGAGTTGTAGAGAGAGAGAGAGAGAGAGAGAGAGATGAAGCTGTGCAGGGCATGCAGTGTCGCGGCGAAAACCGTCCTAGAGCCCGAGAACCTGTGAACACACGGGGTCAGCTGATTTCTATGTGTTCGGAGTCTGTCGTGTTCTTTCGGGGTGTCACACGTCCCGTAACCTAGCCTTGCGCACATAATGCCGTGCGCGGAACCAACAGCGGACGGCCCTCAGCGGGGGGTTCGCCCTTCAAGCCTGGTTAAAGAAAGAGAGAACGAGAGAGAGAGCGAGCGCGAGGTCCTTTGCGTGCTTTCCTAGTGTTTCTTCCTTGCCGTGACAAGCCTTCGCCTGATGCTGTATAGGACTTGTAAGCATCAATGAAGTTGTGAGTTTCTCAAAGTCTTCGAAGTCAGTTTCGGTGCTGAGTTTCGCGGCGAAGTTTCGGAACATGGTCCGGGACAATTTCGCGGTCTCATGCCCTGATCAGTTTCACGCCCAGGCCTATAAGAATCGCATTGAAACTGCCCACATCGCCCCTCGAAACTGACAGCCCGGAGTCCCGAAACTGACACCCGCCGTGCCGAAATTGGGCACCGAAACTATGCCCCACTGATTCGAAACCCCCGGCAGCCGATCCGAAACTCGAACCGCGAAACTATGAGCACCCATGTGAGCATCAAGCCAAGAATTGCAGGGGCATCGCCGGACAAAGTCTGGTGCCGTTTCCCTGTGACGTCAACTGGTTTGTTGAGGGCATGTACGGGTGGAGTTCTTCCAAGGCGTTGTCGATTCATAGACAAGAAGTCTCCTGTTGCACCAGACACGATGGCGTGGGGTCGAAAGGACGCCTTATCAAATACGTCATACTGATGAGATTTTGAGAGCCACCCCAGAAACATGTTCTTCTCATAATCTACCATTTACAACATGCTCAGTTTCCTGGTAATCGGAAGTCGATGTCAAAACCAGAGAGATCAACAGAGGTACATGTTATCGTGACTTTGCTGCTTTAGCCTACACGGGCCAACACCTCATTGAGCTCTGGTTCTTCACTCCCGTTAAACCGACGCACGATCGGGTGAAGCAAAGAGAGAGCGAGAGAGGCTTGTTTCTGCCTGGGTGGAGATGCTTCTTCTATCTTCTTCTGCTTGCGCCCCTTTGCGTCTTGCTTACGCCTCCAATTTCAAGAAAAAAGGCAGTCGGGGATTCCCGATGTCAGGATTGAGGATGATCTCGGACCAGCGAACCCTTGTTTGTCTTTTGTATGACATGTGTCTTGCACGCCAAGGCGGTCGGCTGCAGAGATTGCATTCAAGAGGCTCGCTTGAATTCCCTGAAGTCCTCTTGATCCCGACAACCCCTACGCTGTCATCACCACTGCTGCTCTTCGTGACACTTCGAGCAGGGGAGCTTCGCAGACCTGTCTGAAGAGGAGCCCCTTGGGTTGCAGCCGAGTCTGACTGTGTACCCGCGGCTCGTTGCGGCGACATCCGCCCAGGCCAGACGACGGCCGTGCAGGAGCCGGCCCCACCCGAGCCGAAAGAGCATGGGACCAGGTTCAGAAGCCGAGATGCTGACATCGCTGAAGGTAGAATTCTAATTCTAGAGAGATGCTCCTTGCCGGCCCTTGATGCCACAGAGGCGTGGGGAGAAACCGAACATTCTGGCTCAACTGCAACGAGGCATTCGAAACTCGGGTCTTGAGCTTCCGCTGCACTCCTTTCTCCTTGCAGCGGTGTGGTATTGTCTGCAAGTACTACAGAAGTGGCGAAAGCGCAGGTGACATCAACAGCGACAGAGCGACGGCAGACGAACATTCCCAGCACCTTCGCAGATCAGCCTCCAGTCAGCAAGCAGGCTCCGGCTGTCGACGATTTCTGTCAATCCTTTGAGCTACATAACTTGACCGGTGGCTGCTTAGATTTTGCACACTGGCTTGAATGTCCTTGACACTTGCGACGTTGTGCATACCATGCCATGCTAGCTGGAACAGAGTGTGTGCAGTAGCGGCAAACATAATCGCTGCTTGTCTTCGCTAGGTAAAGTTCTCGCTGGTCCTCGTTGCGCTTGTAACACTGCACTGCGGGACGTGGTTCGTGTCTCGCGACGACGTTGAAAAGCCCCAAAAACCCCGGCATCAAGTGTCAGTCGTATGGTCATGTGCCTGGAATGGTTTCGGGGAGCATTTTGGGTCAACGATTTTGCGCAGTCTGCTGCGATCCATGCAGCAAGGAAAGGTAAGCAGACCTATGGAGTCGATGGAAAAAACCGTGTCAAACGATTCACCGCTCGAAGGTGCTTCTGTGAGAAGTCTTACGATCTCCCTCCGAGCTCCGCCGAGCTCCGAGCCCCAGCCAAGGTTCTGGTTGGATCCAGCGGTGTGAGGCCGACCCCTCCGTGCTCTCCGCTCTTTGCAGTGATACACTTGGCAGGCTGCCTGTGGGCGTTCCTGGGCGCATGGGTGGCCGCATCCCAATTCACGCAGCTTGTTCAAGAGTAGACTTGACGGGAAGCGTCGGCATGCAGGGGCTTTCTTGTGCACTTCGTTGCCCTTCTGAGGATTCTCCGAAATTGAGGCCAGATATTGCCGCCCCCATTGTGGAGGACCGGGTCTACACCACGCAAGTGCAGCGAGTCGAGTTGCAAAAGGGCGGCCTTTGTTCCACAGTCGGCCAGCAGATGGCGATTGAACTGGCACAAGAACATGAGGATGGGCATCTGAAATAAGTCCGTGGCAGATGCAAGGATGTGAACCTGGACGAGGTGGTGGCTTGGCTTGATTAAGTTGGCCTGGAATGCTGCGGCCGATGCATGCCGAGACTGAAGCCCTTTGCTTATTGTAGGGGCAGTGCTGTTTGCTGCTAGTGGTGGTGCTGCTAGTGGTGGTGGTGGTGGTGGTGGTGGTGGTGGTGGTGGTGGTGGCCATTATTGTGGTTGCTGCTGGTGAAGATGACGATGATGGTGTGCGTATGTGTTCGTGATGGTCACGAAAATGAAAGTGATGATGATGATGATGATGATGATGATGAATGATGATTCTCTGGGTGTTGAGAGTGCTGAGCCTTTGGCAGAGCAGCATGGGGCAAGGGAAAGCCGTAGTGGTGATGGCAATGACCTGTTTGATAATTTTAACGCTACGCCGCACTGTGACAGAACTCATCGACTTGCTTCTGTAATGTGAAAGAGCAGTGCGGATGCAGAAGTGGCACGGAGGGGGCAGCGGAAGGGGGTAAGGAGCAGAGGAAGGGAAGGGGAAAAAGGCAGGCGGGGGGGCGGGGAAGGGAGAGTGGGAAGGGAAAGGCTGCGGCAGGAAAAGGAGGCAAGGGGGGGTGGAGGGCGGAAAAAGCAGATAAAATGAGTGCGGGGGGAAATTTGGGGGTGGGAAGCAGAGAGAGAAGGATTCAGTGGAGGGTACAGGGCCTGTGGCCGCGGCGGATTGTTATGGTGGTGATGACGATGGCGACGGCAAGGAGTTGTATGAGAAGCAGGACGAGAGAGAAAGTTGAGAAAATGGAGGCACAGACACAGAGAGTTTTGATCACCCATGAGAGCCGCTTTGGCGAGGCACCCTTGATAGCAGCGACAGCAGCAACGAAGCTTCAGAGGACGAGAACTGCACCGCAGCTCAGGCATCTCCAAAGTTTCAGGGTAGCCCGGAAGCTGGGGCACGATTGTCTCGGCACTCCAGGCACCCCAAGAGTTTTGCAGAGCAGCTTGCTGAGATGGCAGCCCTCAGCAAGCGCTCGCAAAAGGAGCCGAACCGACCTCTCGCATATCATTTGTTGGTAGGTCAGGTCCAACATTTCGCTGGCGAGCCAGGACTTGAAGCGAAGAAGGGCCCGGTCTGCACCCGCACAAGTCGATACGCAGGATTTTGATGCCGGCAACGTGCAACTTGGCTCGTTTCTTCGTGTTGACAGTGGTCGTTGGGAAATCTCGTCGTGGCGCAACCCGAAGTCAGCTATCTGTTACACAAGCCGACGGGTGCATACCACATCATCCGAGGATGAAGAACACTGCCGTGGCGCTTGCCTTGCAGGACGAGCTGTCCAAAGTACTCTCCATGGAGTGTTCGGAAGGCACAGCGGCTGCAACACAGACTCGGCGTTTCCATTGCTCAGCAGCACTGCAGCATTGTTTTCATCGACGTTCACAGCGTCGCCTGGCAGGTCCGCTGAACCTCTTTTGGAGGCTTCTCAGCTGAGGGTGATCGTGAAGATAGTGAATGGAGTGTCGAACGCGCGGTGCAAAGGCAGGGGCGAGATGAAGGAGAGTCCGCGGAGCTCATTCGACTGCGTGCCCTGGAGACAACTTCAGACAAGACCAGGGCCGATGGCTTGAGGTGTCTTCCCAACTGTAACCCCGTTCAGAGAAGCCGATGACTGCAAAACTTTACTCGATCCTGTCTAGACTGAGAGCAAAGCTGCTTGGCACCTTCCACAGCGACGGGCTGGGTGTTGTTTTTTTGTTTCTGCGAGGCTTCAATGTCGGAGCGCTCCTGTTGTTCGCTGCGCAGCGTTCAGCGCTGCCTCCCGGACTTGAACTGCCACTCAAGTATTTTGCCTCGCACCCGGCATCTAATATTGTGTGCGTGCTGCATCTGATGCCCCCTGCGCCAGACATGGATCTGTCATGCGGTTCCTCTCAGGCGGCCACCGAAACCATTGGTGGCTTGACAACAGAGTCTCGTGTGAGCTGTGAGCTGTGTAGAGAGCTTGGAGCAGCCCCGTGTCGCCCCAGGCATCAAAGAGGAGAAACCTCCAGAGCCTCCTCCCGGCGGCTGGACCCCTACACGAGGAGCAGAGAGAATGTGAGAAAAGAAGGGAGTTCTCAGTGTCTTCTTGGTGTTAAGGTGGGGAGACACCCGATTTGGAGAAAAGCGGCGGAGGCTCTGTGACCTGCAAACATGCATCAATGTATCCAGCAGACTCCCCGCCGCGCTCCCCAGGACAGCTCAACACCACAACCTTGGCAGATGGGGCCCCGCGGCCTCGCAAAGGAGAGCTTGTCGAATTTGGACGCTGCACCCCTGCCTGGAGGCTTTTGCAATGGGCTTCTCTGTCATTTTCCACAGCATGCCCAGCTCGCACTTCGCCCGCGCATTCCTCAGCAGCAGGAGTTGCAGTTGCCACTCTGCTCGTGGTCGGGCCAACGCCAGGCACATCTCCTCTGGGTGCCGGTGCTTTCCATGTGGGGCTGCCACATGCCATGCTGGAAGCACTTAGCGCCCTGGTCCCAGTGCTGCAAACGTGAGTTCGTGCGAAGTGCAGAGAGCGCAAGGACGTGCTTACCCAGCGTTGTGTGGGGCCTCTTGGCGAGAACTTCACGGTCTGGACGAACGGATCCCTCATCGTGTTGCTGCCCGCTCCTCGGTTTGGACTTCTCGGGTCCGGTCCGCGAGAAATCGGGACGATCACCAGGTCCGCATATCTCCTTCAGGAAGAGCATGTGGCTTCGCGTCACTGGACGAGGCTCGGTTAAGCTTTTTGTGAGATGTTGTGAGCTTATCATGTGCTTCTTGTAATCAGACGTGCAGTCTTGCTAGACCCTCGCGACATCTTGCTTCGCAGGCTGTCGGGATGGTTGCAGCAGCAGCACTCTCTGTTCTTCTCGTCCAGCTGCTGCCTCCGCGTGCTGCTGGCCTTCGAGCTGCTGATGCATTACTACGTGGCACGGTTGCAAGATCCGCCGCACAATCTACACACAGGATGCATCTTGCTTCTGCTGCCTTCTATGCCTTCTTCTGACGGCCTTAGGCCAAGCGACCTGACGACAAGCCTCCAGCCTATTGCACTGTAGCTGTCGTGCAGGTGTATACCGATCTCTGAGAGCAGTCTGAGCCAGCTTTGCATCCCGCCACTCAGGCTCGTCCGCTTGAAAGAGGTCCTTCCATTCTTGTCGAGGGTCATGTCGAAGGTGAAGGAGCGCATCGCGCGCTCGCTTCGTTTGTGCTGCTTTCTGTGAATTGTGGTGCGATCTCGAGCTCCGCGCCAGGACTTGCCGGCAAAGCTTGACATGTGCGCCGACTACTGCCAAAGGCAGGATTGAGTAGGCAAGCTCAGTTGGCCGGTCAAGGATTGATGCTGGTGTTTCACCCGTGATTCCAGGCCTTTACTCCATGCTCCAAAGATCGCGTCCGGGCTGTCAGACAGCATGTGCTTCATAAGGTGCAAAGTCTTGTAAGCATGTGGTGCCGGTTCCTGCTAAAGACCTTGCAATGTCATGCAATATCAAGACGTATCAAAACAACTGCGCAATTAATTGCTCCTCTTGTGTCTTAAGGTCCGAGATGCCCGGGTCGCCGAAGTTTGATCCCCACTTCGCCGAATGGGGAAAGGACGAATGTTGTGTTCAGTTTCTCTGGGCCAGTATGGTTCATCACGCGTCGACATTGAAAAGATGCTTGGAGGAATTCGTGGCTGGCGGCTTGGCAGTAGAAGCTCGGCTGGAGATGGACATTCGCGCTCATGGGAGCCTCTCTCTGTGACATCACAGGACATGGGTGTCCCGTTGATGGACTTCGCGAAGTGGGTCGGGAACCTGAAGCCGGGGCGCATCGTTTACTCCTCTCCCAATGCCTGCCCGCATTGGGATCTGCTGCTTCGACTCAACTGGCCCACTCCTCAGCTGAGCAAAGCTGAGCAGCAAAGCTGCAGAGCACCTGGGCTGTGACTCTGCTTCCAGTCGACAGGAGTGTGGTCATCTTGTCCTTCGTTGTCTCGAAGCATGATGAGGCGGAATGTCCTGCATATCCTGCCACTGGTGCTGCTTCACTGATCCGTCCCGGCCAGATCAGCCCCGAGCAGCTTTTTCGCAGATATCGCCGCTCCGTGGGCGAAAAGTCTTGGTGGGGCAAGCGCGTGCGAACGCTGCTTGCTGCAATTCTTGGGGTGATTTCTGACTTGCGGCAGCAGAGGGTATGATATGAAGCATTCAGGATCTCCTACATCTTGGTCGGAGACCGTGCGGGCCTCATACGAAATGCGCCCAGACGCTTCGATCTTCCTTCAAGGCCTAAGTTTAAGAGGGTTTTTTCTCTGGCCTTTCAGGCCTCGGCTTCGAACTTGAGAACCTCTTCGCCTCCACTTCGCAGAAGTGCGTTGAGATTCCTGGTGGCTGCGCTGTGCCGGGAGGAACGGGTGATCCAGGCTCAGCATGGCCCCTCGCAGATTCGCCACAAGACAATCGAGAATATCGAGACTTCATCCCGCATTTGCTCGCCCAGCCTCGAAGCCTGGAGGTGCTCCTGCGGGCCACTCGCGGCGCAAGGCCAGAACGGGTAAGTCGCATGCCGTGTCCGGCGCGATTTCCGCGCAGGTCGATTCTCTGCTTGACGCTTGGATCTCAGAACTGCCAGGATATATACGAAGCGCGGAAGTTCTTGCGCCTGTCCAGGATGCTGTAGATGATGAGATGGAGGACGAAGAGGCCAAGCTTCCGGCGCCGAGGCCCAGCCCAGTTGTTTTTTTGTTCTGGAGCCCCGTTTACAGGAAGAGGAAGAAATGCCAGAAGTCGATCACACCGTGACCGCGAATCCAGATCTCCTCTGCATTGAGGACTTGGGACGTTTGTGCTTGCTACTTGTGGGTAGGACGAGACGTGCTCTTGCACCCACGTTTTTTAATTAGGAAACGGAGAAGTGCGACTTCATGGTGCGGCCCGACACCGAGATATTGCTGTGCAAGGCAGGGGCAGTTGGAGCGACCTGCGATTGGAAAGCTGTTCAGCTACATGCGCACAGGCTCCCGATTGCAGGTGACTCAGAAGATCGTACTGTTTGTCCGGAAGCTGCCGTGGCTGTGGCCGTGGTAAGGTTTGGAGCGCCTTCTGGGGCCAATGGCTGGGGCGGTCTTGGGCCATCGAGCCAGCTTTGACCGAGAGCCGCGTGGGCCAGCTTTAGGCTTTTCCTTCGCGTAGCAGCCCGGTGTGTGCGGTGTGCCAAGATGTGCCAAGGATCTCCCAGGAGGTCAGCGGCGACTTGCAGCGCGAGGTCGCGCGGCGGCGCGCGGAGCTGAACCGGGCGCGCTGGTCGCAGGCCAGTCTGGACGAATGTGGACGCCAGTCCGTGCCAAAGCTGTCGGTACGTCAGTGATTGGCTGGACAGGACAAGGGCAAGCTGGCCGTCCGGCAGCCGCTACCGACAGCCAGCGACAGGCAACTGACCTTCAATGCAGAGGCAAGGTGCTTGCGTTCAAGATCTGCATCTGTAGTTCCTGAGATCTCGCTCCAGGCTCTGCGGAGCATTCTGGACCACATCGGCGCCCACACAAGCAAAATGCAGCTCGGCCGAGCAGCCGACGAAAGCTCAGCTCGACAGCTGAATCCCGAAACGGCAGGCTCCAGATGGCCGAGGAGATTGGGTCGGACTCTGAGGACTCGAAAGGGGATGCTCCAAGACGTCTGTGGTGCCTGCCGTCGCGCTGTCGCGGCCCAAGTCGCAGGACAACTCCGCGCTGGGTTCATGTGTCTCCTCGGTCGTGCCGCTGCCAGCGACGGGAACCCAGAGACAGAGCTGAGGCTTAGGTCTTGGATCCGAAGCGGTTGATAGTGTATTGGGTTTTGGCTTGAGGCTCGGACCCATAAAGGTGTCCCGATCTCAGGTTCTCACGAATCCAGCGATGTAAATGGAGCTTCGAGACATATCATGGAGACCACCAAGGCCAGACAGCGGTGACAGAGAAAAAGGCTCCGAACTTACAGACCCGGCTTCTGAAAGTCGCCTGTTATGCTTCCGTAGGTGAGGCCGACGATACCAGCGAGGCTCGCGCATGTAGATTCCGGTAGATCGGAGGCAGATGTTGCAGGGCAAGTGAAGCTCTGTGCAGTCCCGCTCCTCCTCGAGCTTGTCATCGCAAACCGCAAGCTCCCTGTCACAGCAGTCGCCAGCGCCTCTGAAGATGTGAGTTTGTAGCTTGCGCCCGCCATATCCAGCGAAGGCAATCGCTTTTGCTCAACCCTGCACTGGCCCTGGGTCCGCTGCCGAGACGTGTACATCCACTTCGGGTCCTCCGCGCTTCCAACATTTCCATCATTTCCTCACCATGGTATCTCGAGGGTAGATCTGAACCACGCTCTGGTCACGTGTGACACCTACGTCTGCTCCCTTCCTCCCCGACAGAGTGAGAAGGAAAGCTCTGGAACTTGAGCCCAGAAGCGAGCTGCTTGAGAGTTCCCTCGCAGGTCAGCGGAGGCGGAGTTCAGTTGCGGAGGAGCAGGAGGCGCACTGCAAGCGAGCATCAAAGAAAGCCTGGACTGCCCATAGCCCACGGATGCCCCGTGGTCACCCCGCAGGAAGTTGATATCGAAGAGAACCCGCCTGCACGCCGACGAGCTAGTGCTGCCCCCACGGCCGAGCCTCTTCAAATGATTTGACGTGGCTCTCCACTAAAGGCTTACACTGGGCAGAGCTGCGGCAATCAGCGAAGATCATGTGGCGCTGCCTCGTGAAGTCTTGCTTCTCTACCACTGCCCTTGCAGCACAATGCCAGGCTCATGGCCAGTCGAATCCGAAAAGTGAGCCGGATTGCCGCAGCTTTCGCGGTGCCCAAGACAGTGCCCGAGGAGGTGCCTTGAACCAGAGTATCAGAGCTCCAAAGGGTCTAGAGTCTTTGCTTGAAGGTCCTCCCAGACGTGGACCTTGAGATGGATGCACAAGCTGGCGAGGCATACGTTCGTACGCCGCGTTACTCTGTATGACGCAGCCACAGAGTCAGAGCCATTTCTCACTGCTCGAAGCTGTGCCAGGAGCCAGGAAGCGCTGGCATTGCATCATTCCCTGTCGAGGATGCTGCAGAGGCCACCGCTGCTGACAATCTCTGACTTCACTGTCTTCAGCTTGATAGCAATCCTTGAGAATCGTGTCGTGAAAGGTGGCCACTGCGGTTCATTTCTCGGAAGACACGCAAGAACCCCAACGCACGGATAAGCGCCGGGCACTGAGCCGTGCCGAGCTGTGCCAAGTTAGTGCGGAGTGGCTGTTTCTTTGAGGCCAACTGTGGCGTCCCCCAACACCGCATCCCATTCAATCGGCAGAGGCATGATGCCCCCGCGTCGCTCAGGGCACTCCAGGGTCTTGAAGTATCCGTGCCAGTTTCTCGTGACTTTCGCTGTATCGATTTCAACTCTTCTTCTGTGAGGCACCAAAACCCATTCACAGGCTGTGCATCTGCAGCATTGTTTCATTGATCCCAAAATCTAAGGTTCTTAGTGGAAGGCTATAGGCAGGCAGGATCCGGAAGTTTGGGCTTGAGTTGGAAAGTGGCAGCTTCCATGGTGCAGCTTTCAGCTTGGTCGACATTTTCAAAATGGTGGGCGGATACTACCGACAGGGTTGTGCTATCGAGCCCGTTTATGCGCCGCAAGCAGCTCCGCTGGATGCTCTCGATCTTGAACATTTGGATTCTTCTCGACTTCAGCTGGGGGGTCCAATGGCACCTCGGGAGAACAGTACTCCTCACTGCTTGGGCCTTGCAATTCTGTGTTGCGCTCGTAAGCCTTTTGGGAGTTCTGGCCCCAGAGTGTTTTCAACGCTACACAGTCGCAGTGGAGATCGGAACCGCTGCATGCTTCTCAGTCATGATGGTTCGTCTGTGCCTTTCATCTCTAGTTAACTTCTACACTGGCATCATTTGGCAGCAATACACAGTAGCAATGATGGTGCTCAAGATGCATCCTGCCGCCATAGCAACAACATCTGTTGGATATTTGTACATATGGGCACGGCCCACAACCATCAAGCTGGAGTTCTATGGGCCGTTGGATAGCTACCTGGGGCGGCTGCTGCTCTTCGATATTTTCCAGATGCTCATCAGTGCTTGGTACTGTGTCGACTTCACCAACAAAGTGATTTCCGTCAGAGACGGAACTATGTTTGATAACGAGCTCGTTGATGTAACCGGCGATGCGAACGGACTTCTGTCTCCAAGCTACGGTTTACCTTGTTGGAGACGAGCCTTCCATTGGTATCGCAGATCCGTTCATGAAGCTTTCACCAGCTCTTCCATATGGCAGAGGCATCCCTTTTTCCCATGGGTCTGTGCGGCCACCATCCTGGGCAACCACTTGGTAATTCTGGAGCTGGTTTCTCAATCAGTGGATCCAAGTGCACAGTGGAGGATTGGGCCTGATCCTGAGACGTGCACGAAGGGGCAGCTTATCCACTATTATTCGCTGCTACTCCTGGGCACTTTTTTGGTGAGCTTGGTTCTCACGCTGATCTTCAGAGGATTGAGCCGCCATGTGCTGTCACGGGACTTGCATCTGACCGCCTTGATAATGATGCCTTGCTTTATGAATCTTCTTCTGCTCCACTTCCCTCGATCCTACGGATGTCCTTATAGTCGGATGGAGATGGACCGGTTGGCTACACCCACCCTCCACCTGGCCATGCTCCAGGCCATCTTCGTAATGACTCTGTCGAAAATACACTCTGTCGTTGCCATCGGAACATCGTTCGTGCTGGCAACTCTGACTGCATCGTATGCAGGCGCAATGGTTCGAGGATATTCGGGCGATTCGGTGCTGTTATTTGTCATTGTAGCATTCCAGATCCTTGTGCACATTGTAGACCACTGGGACTCGGTGTCGGCTGTTTGGGCATCACTGGAGCGAACGCAGGCGAATGCTGCAGGCGTGTTGCGCTGCCGAGAGTGGCAGCGAGATGCTGCCGGTGCTGCTGTAGATGTAGAGCTCAGGAGCTTTCGTGACACTCGTGCCGCAGCTTAGCACAGAAAAGCATATCACATAGAGCTTCGATGGGTGGTTCGGTTTCGTGTCCGGGAGGGATCCAGAGCAGATGCCTTCGTTCGTGTTCACCCAATGTTCAGCCCGTCCTGACTTGAAGAGAAGACCCAAACCGACCGCGGAGCTCTTTCTTTCGTCGGAAGTTTTGGTCGGAACTTGTCGCTCCCAGCACTAGCCTAGAGCCAGGCGAGGTGGAGGCCGGAGGCCAGGCCCTTTCCCTTCCCCTTCTGTCGCGAAAGCGGAGGCAGCACGGCGAACGAACCCAGCACTGCAACGTGCTTTCCAGGAGAGTTTGGAGGCCCTGCAGGGATTGCACCTGCTACCGGCTAGTAGCGGCTAGTAGCGGCTAGTAGCGGCTAGTAGCGGCTAGTAGCGGCTAGCAGGCGCCGAGGCAGCGCGTCCTGAAGTTCGACTGGCTAGGCCTGGGGCCCGGGGCCCAAGAACCGCAGGTCGGTGTTGTGCAGCATGCGTGCGCAGGCTGGGAGGAACCGAAGAAGCTCTTTGAAACCGATTTGCGGGCAGGGGCCGGTTGAAAAGGTTCGGGAATGCAGAGAGGAGGTTTGCATGACCTTGGTTTAGGTTGTTAGGCGATGGCGATGTACATACGAGCAGCCAGCTGCGTTGCATGTGCTCCTTGCAGAGCTTGCCAGGTTTTCAATGCAATGCCATCAGAGAGCTAAGAAGGGTAAGTCAAGTCATGCTAGGATATGGTAGTGGATATGGTGGGATAGTCTTTGCAATGCTCCGCGTTGGACACGAAGTGATACGCAGAAGGACACATTTGACATGAGCACGCAAAGTTGCTCAAGGCAGGGCGGTGCTTGAAAGCCTGGAGTCGGCGCACTGGCCGCTTGCCATTTCACCCCAGTGTCAACACGGCACGCAGTGCGCAGCCTTAGAGCTTTTGCTGAACCCCAGCGAAAGTGGAGGAATGCATTCCAACGCAGAAAAGACTCTGCCTGCACTGCTGCTCCGCGACCCCGCTTTGATCCGATTTGCTTTGAAGCGTCATTGTCTTCGCCAGGCCATGGAGCAACAGACGATTTCGGTGGCCAAGCCAGGGCTCACCTGTCGTTTGAGGCTCCCAGGACCTCTCATGCGGACGCTGCCCGGAATGCCAAGCTCTTTCACATGGCAGGGCCCGTTGCAGTGTCGTTGCGGCACAGAGCTGGGCATCGGATGCTGAAGGAGCTTCTCTGCTTCAGGCACGGGCGGTCTGCGTCATGCACCGCGTGCCGCGTGCTCACCCGGCAAGCGTGCTGCCAGAAGTCAGAACTGCCCCGCCAAAGCCAAAGCCCCAAAGCGCGCGCCCGCGCGCGCTCTCCCCTCGCTCTCTCCTCGCTCTCTCCTTGCTGTTTGCGTCAGCTCACCGGGCTTCCGGCTCCGCTGCTCAGCCGCTTCGATCTGATCCTCGGTCTCCGAGGCGGCAAGAACTCTGCAGGAACTCGAAGTCTGATTGCGAGAGTGTCTTTGGTGTAAGCCTGTAAGCCTAAGCCGGAGTCCGAGCTTCCTCTCTTGAGGCGCCAGGACGAGAAAAGACGAGGAGGAGCTCGCGGAGGCCATCCTGGGAGCCGCAGGCAGCAGGGCCCCCGGCCCCCTCCCTTCCGCTTCCGCAGTCTGACGTAGCCTTTCGTTGCTGAGGTGAGCAAGTGGCCGAGGAAGGTCAAGCCTTGCGGTTCCAGACCTTGAAGGACCGCGACGGAATTTGACTGCTTCGCCAAGATTTATGCCGGTTTGCACGAGGACTTCGTTGCCGCCTCTCAAGAAAGCGTGCTTCGAGATTCGCCGGACAGGGCATCGGGTTTCGGAAGAGTGGGCACTCGCACCAAGTATTCGAACCGCTCAGTTCAAGGTTTGACCCCAGTGAATGCCTAAAGCTGCACCTGGCACTAGCTTCCGGCAATCTGTCGATCTTGCACAGACATGTCGGAGACTTTAACTGTGGACACGCTCTATTTCGAGCTGGGAAGGATGACAGCGCTCGCAAACTCTTGGAGACTTACTACCAGAGGCTTCGAGGATGGGGATGATCGGTTGCAGAGCGCTGGGTACAAGTAGTTCTGCGGCAAAGAGCCGGGTGGAGCTAAGCCAGGACCCGGCCTCGGGCGCCCGCCCGGGGAGGTCAGCGTGGCTTCGGCGGCATTTTGACAGAGAAGCTTTGACAGAGAGTTCTGCGTTCTGCGCTCCCAAGGTGACGGCGCGGAGCCTCGAGAGCTTGATCCGACTGTCCCGGGTCCGAGTCTCAGACGTGACAACTCGTAGGTGGAAAAAGATAAAGGTCCTGTCCTGTCACTTCCCGATCAGGCGCATGCGCGCTTGATGCGACACGGCCAGCCGACATGGTATTCCTGAAGAGTGCATAGGCGTGTGCTTGTGGATGGAAGGTGCTGTACAGCTGCAGGATGCTGTCGCTGTGGTCCTGTTGCATCAGGTGCGAGCCTTGCTGTGTGTCTTGCAGACAAGGAAGTGACGGCTCGACAGGTATGTTGGAGGAGCCACTCTCCAGATTCTAGCCAGGCCACCGGGCCACTGGGCCACCAACACGGCCCGGCCGCAGCAGAAACACTTTGCTCCCGTTTAGAATGAGGTTCTTCTTTCGGAAAGCAGCTTTGGACCGCTCTGCCCGGCCCACATCCGGCGCCTGAGCCATAGCGGCAGGGCGGCAGGGCGGCAGGGCTGTTCTTGTGCTTGGCAGCTTCCCTCTGAGGGGAGCCTCCTTGAGTTTCAGACCCAGGTTTAGACATGAGCAGTGACATCACCTCTGGCACCGATTATGAGGCATCGCCGGGGCAGGCTTTCGGAGCGTCGAGCGTCTGGATAGCTAGCTCTGCCGTTCACGCCCTCTTTGTCGGAACGGCTGCGAGAGCTGAGTATAGTACACTCAGTTGCCGGCCACGTGTGCCTGCATTGCCACCCCGCACTTTCAGATTTGCACTCAGGTGGTCGAAGGTGCTATCTTGTGGAGTCTTGGCCTAGAGAAGGACCGATGAATGTAAAGCAGCTATAGCCGTAGTTTTGCACTGATGCCATGAATACTGACTGGCAAGTGCACGGCCTGGTGGTGTCTGCAGGCATGTTGCTCCGATGCCCAGCGTGGTTTGCAGAAATATCACTCTCAGGGTACGGCAAGACTTTTGCATCACTCCTATGCTTTTTCTTCTAAGCATCAGGCACCATTTTCATTGGTCAGTGCACAGCCTGTCCTAGTCTCCTGCCATGGCCGCCACTGGCGGCGCCCCGCCTGCACAACATCCTTATGGGCAACAAGGAAGTTCAATTAGCTCTGGCTTTGTCTTCTGTGGATTTCTGTGGTCCCGAAGTTGTCGTAGTTGCATGTGCACGAGATGCGCTCAAGGTGATCCATCGCCGTCGGATGTGCAAGCTGCTGCCGGGGCGCTGGCTGCCCACGCGCTGGAGCAGAATGTTTCAGAGGCCCAACCGAGGTTTTAGTGCAGAAGAACTGGACATGCTGAGCTTCGCGTTGCTTCGTTGTTAGGAGTCGGATGACTACCTTCGAGCGGCTCAAACCCTGGCGCAACATTTAGCGGCCGAGCCAGATGCTTCGGAAGTGGTGGCGGCGGCGCTGTTGAGGCAGGCCTTGGGAACCGAGGTGGTGAAGCCAGAGCCTCGACTTGCATGGACTAGCTCCCTCCCGTGCCTCTGGTTTGCATCAGCCAACCGCCCAACCGCATGCCGCTGCTTCAGGACACAGACCTCAACGCCGTGTCAACGGCTCTCGCCACCCACATGGCTGAAGCATGCAGCAGTCCGGAACATCTGGAAACTGTCGCAGCAGCTTTGGCGCAACACCTCCTCAAGCAGGAAGCCACCTGGCACGTTGGCATCGGTGTCCGTTGGTCAGTATGCAGCACGGAAGCAGCAAGACTTTGCGGACAACAGCTGCTGCAAGCTGCGCAGGTGGAAGTGCCAGTTGAGGGATTGGCCGACGTGGTCGCGAAGGCCTGAACCTCAGAGGCTACATTAAGGTGCTGTGCGACCAACTTGATTTTTGGCTGGTGACTGGATCCATAATGCTATCTGACTCGTTAAAGACACAGGCTTTGCTGACGCATGCCGCGCTGCACTGTGCTGGTGATCAGCCAGACGAGAAAGGCTTTTCCATGGAAGGCAAGGGCAGATGTCTTTCGCCCAATCTCCATGGCTCAGACCACCCAGCTTCCCCAGCTTAGCAGGACGGGTCGTTTGACACACCGCACAGGTGAAGCTACGCCAGCAAGAATAACCTCCGACCCCGCACGGCTTCTGAGAATCCATGCAGCCGCTTGTCTTCTTCAAGAACAGCGGTGTCCACGTTACGCAGTTGCCTCTGAGCTCTAACTTCCCAGGCCCTGCGGCAGGAGCTTATGCAAGGCATTCGCATTGGTGACACCGTGCAGATTCGATCGGCGCTGAATCGAGGACTGCTCGCTTGCAGCTTCAGTTTCCTCTTGTGGGTGACTGCGCAATATTGTAGGTGCATCGCTCTCGGCGCACTACTACTCCACAAGGATGCCAGCCAGGCCAGAGGAGATCATAAGCAAACCGCGAGGCATGCAAGTGTTCCTCCACCAATTTCAGTGCAGTGCTTATCATGCTGCAGCTAGCATGATCGACGTTGTGTTGCAGAGTATGATAATGAGTAGTCATCATTGGTGTTGGGTGCTTGTGCTTGTGCCTGGCCTCATCTGCCTTGCGGTCGGTCACGCTCTGGTGAGCCTGCTGCCAAACAAGGTGAAGCAATCCTGCATGTGACGATGTGCTTTGCCTTCCAGGCCTTCGGTGCCGCTTCATGGCACACCGAAGGGCCCAACGACGAGTTTGGTGAATCCAGTTGACTGGGCAGTGCTTGAAGGCCGCTACAAGGACTGCATGCCGCATATCGGCAATTTGAATTCCGGACAATGCCTAGCTCAGCATTTGAATTCGTCGGGCAGAGTCGCATATCGAGTCGCACCATGAATGACGAGCGGGCATGGCAACTGTACCGTGACCAACGGTTCAACCGACGTGCGGATGAACAGTGGGGAAAGAGACCGCCGCTACGGTGCAGCTGTTGCTCAGAGGAGGCGATGTACCTCATGGAGCTGACCGATGGCCACATGGTTTTCAATCGCGACGAAGAGCGCAGCTGCTTGCAGGCCCGCAACGGCCCGCACAAGGAAGCTCAACCGTGCACAGCAGTGTTCGCTTCCAAGCGGGAGCAGGTTGTGCAGATGGCCCGACGCAGCAAGCAGGCGGTCGTGGTTGCCTCTCAACGAGGTTCCATGGAAGACATCTTTTTTTCACGGCAATTCTTTCGTGCCTAGGCCAGGCAGCTCTGCTGCAGATGCTTCTCGAGCGCTCTGCCGACGTCGCTCAGCAGAACCTCTGGGGAGAAACGGCGTTGCATGTGGCCACGAGGGCTGGTCAGGAGGAGCGGCTTTGCATCTTCACGCCGTGTTCCGCAGGCATCGTCACGTCGTGTTTCAGGGAAGTGCGTCGAAGGATTTCGCGTGAGGTTGTGGTTCCGCACAAGAACTGCGTATTTGGATCTATTTTCGGGCCTAAGGGTCTTTCCTCCAAGGAAAACAAGGGAGCCTGAGAGATCGAGCGGTTGTTGTTCATCGGCAGCATTGTGATCCCCATAACCGCACAGCTGAGCCTCCTGGGGAAAGGGGAAGGGAGACCTCCCGCGACAAGCGGGTGCGCGCGCGCGCGGGAGAAAGAGAGAGCAAGCGGGAGGTGGTAGAGGTCGGCTGTCTTGTCCAGTCGGGGAGCGAAGGGAACAGAGAGCCTTGGGGCCAGGACTACACCGCACCGAGTTGCACTTGTCGTGACTGTTACAGGCCCCAAGCTGGAACCCCACTAGCTCAAGCAACCCTCCAGAAAGAGGGGGGCACCACCACGAAAGCCTCACATAGTACTCACTTTACTGCGCCGTGGCCTTAGTACGCTTGTGTTTGCTGTTGTGATTGAGGCTCGTGTGTGGAACCCAACTGGTGCCCAGTAGTCTCACGTCGGGGACGACATACCACCCAAGGTACGCCGTAGTTTCCTGAGGACCCTACCTAAAGGCATGAGGTGAGGTATGTTACCCGCAGTCTGCTAGGAACATGCCGGTGAGTGGGGGAAAACCGCCCACATTGTTTCTGATCACACACTCACCGGGGTTTACCAGTAGCAGCATTCCTGATCGACCCGTCTGGGGGAGACGACAGTGAGGGAGAGCAGAAGGGGAACGCAGTGATGTGTAGTGAAATGTTGGACCCTGTAGTGACGGAAGGTTGGTAGCGCAGTGTTGTTTCGCCTTGTGTTGCCCAGCGCTCCCGAAAGTGGCCCTACCGGGGAACATATGTAAGCGAGCCCTGCGGGGGACATGGTAGCCACAGGGGCGCGGCGAAGAGGCCGGGACGCAGATGGTTTAGTGTAAAGGGTGGGGCTCGCTACATGAAAACCCGGGGCACATTTCGTTGTTCCCTGCCAAACTCTGGAAGAACCCCAAAGCCAACCACTCACTAACAGGGTTGGGCGGGCCTTTGGCCTGAGGGTCTTGACGACCCCTAAGCCCAGCAGAAAGAAAGAAAAGAGAGAGAGAGAGAGAGAGAGAGAGAGAGAGCGGGGATCTACCAGTGCAAGCCAACGCCTCGCTCGTTCAAGGGGGAAACTTTCACCACGAACACCTACCAGTGCGCACACGTGCGCGAAGTAGGTTGCGACCTGCTTCTGGCTGCGTGCAAGCAAGCGAACAGTGTTGGTTTGCGAAGTGCAACTAGCTCGACGTGTTTGGGGAGCTTGCATGTTTTAACTTTGTCGGACCCTTGGAGACCCTATTGTAGAAGGTTAAGGCTTTAGACATGGATGCTGAGCCGAAAGTCGAGCGAGGAGGCGGTGTCCCTGCTCTTACAGCACGGTGCATGGCAGAAGGAGCCACGCAAGCGGGAGGTGCTCACGCACGCAGAGGCAGTCAAGCGGATGGTGCTCTGACATGGGGCGGCTGTCACACGTCTACCTGCTGCAGGCCCAGAGGATGCAGCATGTGATCGTGGCCGCAGGAATTGGAGCTAATTTTGATGCCCAGATCGCTGTTGTGGGCTGTGTTGCCACTTGAAGTGCTCAGGAGCTTCAGCCGATTACAGTGAGAGCATCCTCGATCGACAACTGCCTGGGTATCAGGAGGTGCAGCGGAATCCTGCTGTCGTCCTTTGCCTTGCGCAGGAGGGAGTTCAGCCAGTCTTCAGACATGCCTTTTCAAGCCAAAGAGGTCGGCTCCAGGAGTCTCGAGAGTCGCAGGAGTCCGCGGCGACGGGCTGTCTACACGACATGCAGTGCGACGTGTAAGACCACTGCCCATCACTTTTTCATGTGATTCGGAAGTCTGCTTGAAGCCTCGATCTTGGCAGGTGCTCCAAGCGCTGTCCGAGACAACCTGCAAGGCACGTGAAAGAAGCTCCTTCAACAGCAATGTGAAACATTGTGTCAAAGTCAGAGGCGGATCACGACTTCACCGTCTCCGCCATTCTAGATCTCGCTGGGGCTTCCAGAGCCAGGCTGTCGCCTGTCAGGGGACACGACACGCCGCCACGGCATGCCACATGCCACGCCGAAGCTTTTGCCGGAGGTCCACCGTCCACGCCGACACGGTCGCTGGCGTGGCCCCGCAGGTGGAGCGACCGACCTGGGGGCCAGCCGCCACAGTCGTTGAGGCGACGCAAGCGCATGATAGCGCATGCAAGCGCAAGCGAGAGACCGTACTGTACGTCGCACCGGCCGCATACCGCTGCGCTCTTGGGCGCAGCCTGCAAGGTCCGGCGTGAGCGGCTGGAGCTGCATGGCGACCTTGTCAAGGCCGTGCGCAAAGGTGACCTTTTTGCCGTGGCATCGTTGGTGCAGTGGCTTGGCATCAACATGGCCAGCCTGTCGATCGTGTTGGTGTCCACATCTCCTGTCATCTATGTCTATTCCTGCAAGGCGTGGAGCACAGATGGATCTGAGCTTCAACTTGGGATACGGCGAGGCAGGCAATTGTCCCTCGAACTCAGCTAACTTTCTATAGAGTGGCAACCGGAGCCGAGAACGTTGAAGTTGAGGTGTTCGTTTCTTGCGTCCAAGGCATCGACTGGGCCGTGTGCTGTGAGCGGCCCTTGGTTGCCCTGAAGCTCCTGGAGCTCGCGACGGAGCAGAGCCCGAAACTGGGGGAGGCGCGGGCGCGGGCACGCCCGGCGCAGCCCGTCGCCGTCTCTTCTCCTTAGCCGCCTTAGCCGCCTTAGCCTTCCGACAGGCTCTTGCAGGCAACGCTCGAGCAGCGCTCTTCTGGAGCGTTGTGCATGGCTATGCGGATGTTTTGGAAGGCTGTTAAGTGCACTATGGCATGGCCATGTTGTGGGTTAGCCATGGCTACTTGAGACTGAGCATGTCAGACTGTAGGCCTTTGCTTGCAGCTCTGTGCGTGGAAGCCTGCATGCCCTGCCTGTGCGCAGCGCTCCTCATCCGCGGGATCGACGTCGCCATGAAGCAGCCTGCCGTTTTGGCCGGTCACGGGGGCTCCACGCCCCTGGCGCTGGCTGTGGCGAGCTACCGCCCCGGTGAAGCGAGCCGCTGGGATTTAGAGTCTAGAGAGAGAGCCGGGTCCTGAAGTCAGTCTTAGCCGTCTTGAGCTTTGGAGGCCTTCTTCTGAAGCACGGGGCCTGGGAGAAGGAGCCGCCCGAGAAACGCCTGGAGCTGCTTCGCAAGGCGGCGTCTCGGAGTGTGGAAGCCTTTGATCTTGGAGCCTCCGGCCTCCGGCAGCCTCCGGAGGTCCGTCTTCGTGGCGGAGCCATGGCGGCAGCCTTTGCAGCTGCAGGCGCACCAAAGAACCGATCATTAACAAGCCTTTTGCACCAACAAACTGTTTAACTGTCACCAGTTGAAGTACTGCAGACATCCATTGCCATTGATAAAACATGAAAGAACTGCGTTGCTGGAAGCCTGGAGGCGTCGGCTTTGATGCAGCCAGCTGATGCCGCAAGAGAGGTGAGCCGCGGAAACCACAACTGGTTTGTTCGTGGCAGTGGAGCATAGAGCGCACTCCGCTGTTAAACAGTGCAGTGCAGGGCTGCGAGGAGAGTTGGTCGGCCAAAGTTTGCCGCGCTTTCGCCTCCTCAACGCGTGCGAGCGAGACGGTTTGTTGCCCGAGGCAACGGGGGAGCCGTCGCCCAGAGAACAGCGTGCTGTGCTTTCGCAAGCCTTTGTTCCGCCTGTGTCCACGGCCCCCAACGAGTGCCCCGCTGAGCCATTCTCCTTACGAGGATCCGAAGACTCGCGAGCTGCGCGAAGCTCGCGAAGCTCGAGGTCTCCCGGCATCTCCCGGCTCAGCCGGCAGCCTCCGTCTCTGGTCGCTGCAGTGTTGTGTGATTTGCTTTTAGCCTCGCTCGGCTCGAGCAGGCCGGGCTGCGCTTCGAGCAGACCGCAAGGCAGAGATCTTGGGCAAGAGCTCGCAGCTTTCTTGCCTCCTCCTTCCCTCTATCTGACTCAAGCTTTGTGACACTCCTACCCCCCCTGTCTCTCTCAAGTTCCTCTCTGGGCGTTCGATCGTGATACGTATATCTTGATAAGGGCCAAGATGTCGTTGACAAAGGCGATGCTTGGGGCTTCAGATTGTGGCGAGTCGACCCGGATGCCCCATGCGGTGATGGCAATTCCTGCTGTGCCAAGCAGTTGGACAGGGCACGGAACCAAGATTGCAATGCAGCGGGCTCCGTCATAATGTCGTGCATGTGATTCTCGTCTTTCGGTAAGCTTAGGCACTTTGCAGAACTCCGAGAGGAGGAGGATGAGGAGGAGGACTTGCCATGGTCTCTCTCCGAGACAAGCTCGAGCATGAAATCCTCGCCGTGTCACCCATGGGATGGGATCTTTTCAAGGTTCCACAGCCCCAGGCACTGTGCAGGGAAGCGGAGCCTGCCACGGCCTGAGCTCAAAGGGACCTGCCGCACAATTTTGACTGTGCACCAGATCGACACCTCATCGAAACGGTCTGTAGACGCATGTGTAGTGCAGGTAGTGCAGGACTGAGTTACAGCAGTCTTGTATGGTGGTGCTCAGGAGCCACGAGAATGCTTTCAGAGAAGTGTTTCCAGACACCTGGTTTGCGCCTGCATGGAATTAAATGATTTGCAGAGGGCCTCGTACAGGGCTGCTGGGAGCGATGCCCTGAAGCGTGAGAACTCTCCGAATTTGCGCACTCAGCCAAGAAAAGGAGGGTGGCTTCTGAGCCCGGGTACAGGCCGTGCGCAAACTGCAGAGCTCAGTGCGTCATCAGGCGTGTCAGGCGGATGTCGAGTTGGACGTGGCCCAAGCCAGATCAATTAACATCTTCACCATAGCAAGAGGGAGTATTGTGAACATACCAGTCACGATAACTACAGAAGTCGCTCGCCATGGGCCGTCTTTGCCCATGGCAGTTATCTGACCTCGCATGCAGCAAAGCGCGCTGCCGCGAGACGTGAACGACGTCGCTGCTGCAAGGTGCGCACGTTCTGTTGGAAACGTGTGTCTTCCATCCAAAGCTCTGAAGGTGCGAATGCCAGGTTCTCAGCCAAGGACAATCGAAGAGGAGAACGCCAGCAGTCTTCGGGCTTTCAAACGGTCTTGGGACGGTTCGTGGCTGCCAGAGGCTCAATGTGGCCGTTGCCGTCGCCGGAGGCCACCTTCTTCGGGAGACCCTGGACCAGGCGCAGCGACGGCGTCTCCGGAGCTGCTCTTGCGAGTGCACGTGCCCTCCCCGAGCCGCAGTGCTTCAGCTAGAGCAGCTAGAGCTAGAGTCTGCCAGAGTGTCTCAGAAAGGGCATAGAACAGAGACGCGGATGGGCGCGGCCTGCTGATCGATCTCCGAATTATGCAGCTTGGCTTGTCAGCCCTTGAAAACCGATGAACAAGAGAGTTGAGGCCACGCACACAATGCAATTGATGACGTGATTTCGGCTCCATGTGAGAGGCGACTCAATGAACACACTCGGCTGGTTGGAATCTGGGCGGCAGCTGCAAAAAGGGGTTTGCCTTGGAGCGCATCGTGGAGTCTACCCAAGGAAAAGTGTGCGTGTTGGTTCCCTACGAGAAGTGTATGGTTCCGACCTACCACGAGTGGATGCAGGAGGGGGCAGGGCCGAAAGAGAAAAGAGGCGCTGAGGCAGGTCCGATATGCTGCGAGATGCTCCGAGGACCCGGAACTCTTGGACCTCACGGGCTCCGAGCCGCTGACCTTGGAGGAGGACGAAAGAGCCGGCTCCTGGCCGAGACTGAGGCTGCGGTTTTGCGAGTTTGAAGGAGTACGAGATGCAGCAGACCTGGCGCGACAGCGAGGACCGCCGCCCCGCCGGAGTGTCTTGAGAGATCCTCCGAGATGCTCAGAGGACAAGCTGACCTTCATCGTCCTGGATCGCAGCCTTCCCGCGGATCCGGCCCTCGGCCTCGAAGGCAGAGAAGGCGCCATGGTTGGAGATGTGAACGTCTTCTTCTCCCAGGCCTACAGCCCTCAGAAGGGGATTCATGATATTGACAGCTTACAGGACAGCGTCAATGTTGATGTGTTGTCGAATAGGCTGGCCTGGTCGAGGGCGAGGAGGAGCTAGGTCTTTACGAGGCTGGCGAGATTGAGGCCTGGAGGGACAGAGCAAGCTTGTCCAGCATTGTGCGACCTGTTGGTGGTAGCTCCGCATTCGTGAGCGCCCTGTCAGGTCATGATTGCTTCGAGCTCCTCACGGCGACGTGGCTTGGCCAAGGAGGCATTGTCATTGCTGCAGGCCAGAGGTAGCATCTTTGCCCGTTCTGATCTGAATCTGCACTTCTAACAGGCTTACTGCATCGAGCACCTTACAACGAAACACTTCGTGGCAAAGATAAAGGACCGGAGTGGGTACTGTCACGCACTTTCTGCGGGTCTGCTTGGCAGGACCACAACGCACCCTCCGTGGCCCTCTTCGAGCGGCTGGGCTACCGCTTCATAAAGCACGTGGAGGTCTTCCACGAGCTCGTGTATCAGCTGCTGGGATTTGGACTTGATGTGCTACTTCCGCGGATGCAGAACCGCATGCTCTGCCAAGAGTCAGCCAAAACCCACACAGTTGTCGTGCTTGCAGGTTGGACGTACTTCCAGCTGGAAGTAAGGCTGACAAGGAGAGTCAAACCCTGCTCTCCTCAACTCGGTTTGGAAGCCGTGCGCAGGGCTTTGCCGCACATGTGTTCTTCAGTCGTGCTTTCAGGACGTGAGAGCGACTGCTCCTTCCTGACGAGTGGCTCCGGGTGATCAAGCCTGACCTTCGACCTCTTGTCCGCCTGAGCTTTTCCCCTTCGCAGATGGTTGATGGCAGAGTTTCTTCCTGGAGACGGTCCTTTGATTTGGCATGTTCGGGGATGCATGGCCGCGACATCGCAGAAAGGATCTACGGGGAATGTGCGGGATCTCTTGCTGGAGGATATGTCGCTACTCGCGCGCACACCACGAGAACTCCAAGAGATTGCAGGCGGTACAGGTAGCCGCTTGAAGCCTTGTAGCGACACGGTTTCGAGACGAAGATCAAGACGGGATTTGCAAACCCTTGTATGCGAAGCTGAAAGTCTGGGAGAACAGCCAGAGAAAAAAGCGCCGGTTTAACGGTCTCAATCAGCTTGCCATGTCCAGCAGAGTCTGCTGCAGCTGTCGTGACAGTGTGATGTTTGCCCGGGAGGTGCAAGTGCCACAACTGCGTCAAAATCCTGGGCAGATAGCCTGCAAGCTCTTCGTGCGGGTGCGAGCGCAGAGTCCCGGTGTGACTTGCCGGTGACGCTTGCAGAGACTGAGAGCAAGAGTTGAGTGGAGGTCCTCTCTGCTTCTTTGCCGGGACTGCCCGAGCCTGGAGTGCTTTCGAGATCTCGCCCATTCCTGAGCTCTCGCAGTCTTGGGGCGGGTGTCAGTTGCTGTTGTGCATCTGCCCTTCTGAAAGGTCCTTATCTTGAAGTCAGCCTGGGCTCCGTGCAGAAGGCAGAGCCCCCGTGTGTGGGGAAGCGAGCGGCTCTCCTGTGATGCAAGGACACAGAGCCAGCAGATTTCAGTCCCTCCTCGTCTTCGTCGAAGGAGGAGCTGGGCTTGGCAAGCTCCAAAAAAAGCAAAAAAGCAGCTTTGCAAACTGCAAACCGCTACCGCATGCTTGGTGTCCACGACAACGCCTTCACCCCCAAAGTATAAGTAGCATGGCAAAGAGTGCTGAAGGAGATAGAGTCGCCTTGGCGGTTCGATGAGATGCTGACATTCACGGTGAAGGTGGAGGCGACAGTGAGCCGGGGCTCAGAGTGCGCACAATGCACCCAGCGGGAACGCAGCAGGATCTTCTGGGGCCCGGGTTGAAGCTCCGGCTCCGTGTGCTCAACGAGACACAGCCGCAGCCCCACAAAGGAGCACAAGAAGAGAAGGAAAGTTCCTATTGTCTTTTGTTTCTCAGAGCCGATAGGGGCCTAGGGCTCCGAGGGCTCCGAAGTTCCGAGGCTCGGGCCTTTCCAATTCCAAGGACGGCCAGGAGACGTCGGGGAGGCCATGCCATGTAACAGACAGGTGAGCCCAAGCCGAAAGTCACACTAAGCCTTAAAGCCCCAAAGGCACTAAACATGATTTTTCGCAGCTTGCTAGCCCCTGTTTTCGACAGCGAGTTTTTGAGGCCACCTTGGAGCTGCAAAGGCGGATCCTGCCTTCTTGCCTGCAGCAGCCGCCGCTTCGCTGCTATGGTGGCTACACGTTTCGGGGTTTCGGGGTTTCGGAGAAGCCGTCAGGCTTCGTTCAATGATGTTCATTGCCTGAGTGGGAGAGGAGTGCTGTCTCGCCAAGATGGAACATCCTCTCCACTGCTCTCTCTGGCGAGCAGATCTATGAGTCTGAGGTTGGAGTCAGACAAGCGGCGATGCGTGTGGACCAGCCCCTTGATGCCGGCCACAGCGGCAGACTTGTCGCAGAGTTGATTCTGATTTTCAGTGAATTTGCCCCGCCCCCTCCTTTCAGTATACACACTCTTACATGTGCCTATACACAAAGCCACACAACATGCACCGTTTTTCTGGGTGCTGTGCAATGACAGCCGTAGTCTCAGAAATGAGTGTGTCAGCTTAAGGCCAGACTACGGATCGTGCTTAATCCCTTTCAGTACCCTTTGAGTTCTCAGCACGCGAACACAAAGCTTGTGCCAGGTTCCCTTAGCGCACATGCGCGGAGGAATTCTGGGGGCCGAGTGCAAGTTGGGGCAGGTGGGTGCCCTCGAAATCCCGGCACCTCTGTCGCGGTACTCGCATCCTGCCGAGGCCGTTGCTCACGTTACGCTTCGCTTCACCGTGGACACAGATCCGGTCAAAGACTCAGGGGATGCTTCTGATGCTTACGGAAGACTTTAGTATCCCGAACTTTGCCTTCTCAAGGCTGGCTTCTGCTTGGAAATCGCAGGGTCAAGCCCGGACCATGTATAGACCTCCGGAAGACATCTCCGTCGCGGTCTGATGCTTTTCTGCTGGCCTTTCATGTCCCTTGTTTATCTTTGTCTTGTGCCTGTGTCTCGTGGAGTGCTTTAGCAGGCCCCGAGTCGTCTTTGCAAGGAATCAAGATTTGCCGACCCAGCGGAACACGGGAGCGCACGGCGTCCCTGCCCCCCCTCCTCCCCAACCACCTAAACCCAATAAATCCAAAGCTTTGGAAGACATCGGTTGAAGTCGACTGTCGGCTTGCTTTAGACTCGGTTTTTGCGAGATCAAACGCAGTGCGGGAAGATGACAACACATTGTGTTTCGTGCAAGGACTACTTGCTGGATCTCGTGCGACCACAGACCCTCAATCTCGAGCAGAAGTTGCGGGAGCTGGGACGTGATGTGAATATGAGTCTTGGGTCCGTGCCTGCGATTGGTGGACTGATGGGTAGCAAAGGTGTTCCCACGAAATTGCTTGTTGTACTCATGGCGTATTATGCAGGACAGTGCAGATGAGATGTCCAGATGGATAGAAAGCTTGCAGGGTCCTCAGCGTCCTCAGTAATTCCACTGCTGTCCATGAGCGTTCTGTACTTCGTCATTCCAATCCTTTGCGGTCCTTGGCAACTTCGTATGTTGATGTCGAGGGTCGAGAGGCTCCCAAAGTCCCAGCTCATCCCAACCGGATGGCTACTGTCGGTTCACGACTCTTCCCATAAGAAGCGAGTCTTCCGTCTTCCTGAGAAGCCATGCAGGATGAGCTGCTTCGCCCACACACCCCTTTGGTCACCCGGCGGGGCTAGCGATGCAAGAGAAGGAACACATCTTAGACACACAGAGATGCAAGGAATCTGAGAAGGGTTCGCGATCACAGTTCTGGACGGCGGCGACACATCAGCGCGTCAACAGAGTTAGAGAGAGTTGACGGAGTCATCGACATCTGTGAATCTGTTATCCGCACAGTTCACTACCATGCCTTTCAGTGACATGTTGCATGGCTGTGGCAAAGTATTTTCATGTTCCACACGGACCTACAGCCGCTTGAAGTGCTACTGTGGAGCTGACGGCCGAGGGTATTCTGGAATCAACAGTAGATTCTGAGCATTTCTGATGTAAAGAGTCACCACTACATCGCGAAGGGAGCATTTCGTCGTGCGCCGATGCTCCGTGACGAGGGTGCCGAGACTGCTCGGTGTGCTGCACATTGAAGCAATGCAGACGAAGAGCAAATTGCACATCAGTGGCGGCTTAGAGTGATGCATATGATCTTTTTGCCCTCCCTCGCCTGAACGGACCGTGGAGCAAAACTCAGACCGGCGCCGCCCGCGTGCTGCTGTCAGCCCTCCTTCGACCAGGTGAGGAGGGTTTGCTTCCTGCCAAGAACGACTGCTTTGTGTTGGGGCAATGTTTTGCAGATAGACTCTCAACTTTCAAGTCCCCATCTTCTAACTTGGGAGGTGGATCCCTTGGATGTGGATGCTGTGGTAGGGCGAGCTGCGCTGCGTGCATGGTCAAGTGCCTAGACGTGTTTTTCTTGTCAGAGTCTACCCAACTTCATCTGGCAAGGACTGTGGCTGATGTGCAGAAGCCTTTGCCGGCTCCGGACCTCTCCCCCGAAAACTGGGTGAGCACAGTAGGCCAGAGGATCTGTGCACGTGCACGCCTCTTCATGTCCCGCTTCTCCCGCTGGTGTCAAGTCTCTTGTTCTGGCCCCGAGCTTCGGCTTCCCACTCTGACTCTCCTTCCTCCTGCAGGGCCGAATGGGCGGAGGTATTGGCACAATCTCGCACTGGGCCCGGCGCCCTGGGAGGAGTCGGAGGCCTCGCCGTCTTCGCTGCGGGCTCAGCTCCACAAATTCCGGAGCTGCGTCGACGCGTCTGCGTGGCAGTGCTGAGGCCCAGCCTTCCCAGCCCCGACGAAGTGCCCAGTGGCTGGATCTACCGGGAAGGTCCGGCCTCTGGGCAGAGGCACAGGCCACAGCACAGCGGCCTTCCACGACTTGTGTTGAGGTGCAGACGGCCGGCGGTTCTGGCACCACGCTGACCTGGGCTCCCCGGCTCTCAGACTTTGCACCCCTCTGGACAAGCGCACAGAAGCCGGGGAAGCTAACGACATCTCACGATAGATGGCTTGACAGTTGGGCGTGCTCAAGGAGCGGCCAAGTCTTGCCAAGAGCAAAGAGTGTCCTCAGGAAGTACAGAGTAGACGTAAGAGATGTAAGAGAGAGCCTCTCTCACGTGCTGGCTTTGGTAGAGCAGATAACGTAGTTGTCTGTGCTGGCTGGATGCATCTTACAGGTGATGTTCAATCTAAAACATCTGTCTCCGTCGTCATTCCTCTGATTTGCATGTACAAAGCTGTTGCCAGTTCGACTAGTGTGCTTGTCTATATCCGTTTCTCATTTTCTGACATCGTTGCCGATCGAAGAAGTCGCGGTGTCATGACACGTTTCGTGTCGCATGCATCCCAGAGGCCCTCCGCCCTGGGAGCTTCCCGCCGCACAGGCAAGGCTTTGTGCCCGTAAATCTGCGAGGGCTCCCGGCATTGCAAATGCAAGATTTTCGGGGTGCGGAGTGCGGGGGTAAGGATACATTCGCAGTTTGTCGCAGGCTTCCGAAGGACCTGCGAGCGGCGGAGGCAGCTTGGCAGCTTAGATGTCCAGATGTCCAAGCGATGCCTCGAGTTCTCGCCAGGCCAGTTTGAAGTGACCGTCTAGCAGAGGCAGAGGCGCCCACGCCAAGGGACAAAGGGACGGAGAGCAGGAGAAAGGGAGATAGGAGTGGAGGCGGGAGCGGAGGGTTTGAGCGGAGGGTTTGGACTGTGGCCAGGAGTTCGCGGCTCGGCCCGAGGTCTGCCGCGTCACGGCCTCGCGCAGATCTCAGGGCTCCGTCTCCGAGTCTCCGAATGTCTCCGAATGTCCGAGGCTCACTCGGCTCTCCACAAGTGGGGCCCGGGGTCCGCATGGTCCGCATTCGCGTGTCGCTGCGGAGTCGTGAAAAGAGGAGAACCGCCGGTACAAGTACTCCTAATAGGGGGCATGCTTCAGCTTGGCGGCCTGCAGCAGCTTGGCGGCCTGTGGCAGCTTGGCAGCTTGGCTGCTGCTTTCAATGTTGGCTCGATCAAGGGGTCCAGGCGCGACCCATGGGCGCTGCTGCTGCGGCTGCACATGCAATGGCTCAAGGCTTCTTCACTGGTGCTATGCTGATCTTGGCTGGCATGGCTAGCGGCGTGACGACGACCGCACCGGTTTCGCCATGCAGCACGATTCAAACGCCTGAGGATTGCGAAGCTGCCTGTACTGCAGCCTACGCGAGCCCTGACCACCTGTGGAGATCCCCCAACACCGAGGGAGCATACTGTTCGGCAGATGGCACCTGGAACACCACGTGCTGCGAAGGTCAAGCTCCGACAAGCACGACGACGACGCTGGCTTCGCTCCGGCTGGGTGCACCAGTGTCATGTAGCACGGTTCATTCAAAGGAGGATTGCCAAGCTGCTTGCACTGCCACTTACGCGAGCCCAAGCAACCAGTACAGATCTTTGACCATCAGCGGAGTTGTCCAGATGGACTGTTCGCAAGATGGCACTGCAGAAACCTCGTGCTGCGTAGATGACTCTTCGAGTAAGCCATCATCTGTCACCGGTGTAACAACACTGGCTCTAATCAGTTTGTACCTTCTGTAGACTCCGTCCGTCGGCCAATTTACCCCAAGCCTGAGCCCCCGAAAGTGGGAATGCCGGGTTTTGGTGGGACATCTTTCGGCCTCTTTGCCCCAAACTGTGGGTTCTTTGCTTGGAGACCCCTTTCGCAAGCCTCAGTATATAGCTGAACCACAGAATGCCAAAAATTCAGCTTGGTAGTGTACGCAAGAGTTTTCAGCCTGCTGCAGGTCGAGTGTGCGAGCTAGCAACAGGAGTGCCGTCGCGCAGTATATTTGGGCTTTGCAGTGTCCCACCGTAGGGTAGCTAGGACCGCGACGGCGGTATCCTCTTCGCCCGGTCTGCGTCCCAAAGCCGCTTTTGGCTGTCATCTCCTGTTGAAGCTTGCAGGCATGGCAGCGATGGAGTGGCATCCCGCATTCAAGACGCGTGCCATGCGTGCTTCATGCTTGGAGAAGCGGAGACCCGAAGAATTTAGAGAGAGCTTCGCTTCACATTGCTCCGCAGCGTTTCTGGCTGAGCCATTTGCTTGAGGCCCTCATGATGCTTCACAAGAAATTGATGGATGCCTTTCTTCTTCGATGCCACTGATTCAAAGAGCTTGTCTTGAGACGCAAGCCGGTTGACAAATCGAACAAAGCTACAGGTAAGACGAAAGCCTGAGGCCCTGTACCAGGTCCCGCTGGCACCCAACAAAGGCAACTCTGAGATCGGGACTTGTCACTGCTTGGGACTAGGACCTTAGATCATTAAAGCAACCGATTGGGCGATGCATCCCGACCCCGACTCGCATCCTGGAAGCAATGCGGAAGTACAGAGGCTGCGCAGCCTTTATACCGAAGACTGTTTGCTGCATGTCCATGGATTTGGGATGTTTCGTTTAGGGCAGTGGCCAGGCAAGGTTCTGGTGCCCTATGCCAAGCGGACAAAGCCGGACGATGATGGGGAGGAGATCATCAGGTGGATCCCCAGCTCTGAATCCAACGCTGCAGCTGTCGCACTCCCCGAGGCATGATAGGATGCCTGAGGATACCCCGATGGAGCTTGTTGATGACGTAAAGGCCCGGACGACAGGTGAGTCAGAGTCGACGGAGTCGACAGAACAGAGGTGCAGCTCACGCTTCAACAAGACGGTCTCCGGCTCCAGGCATCCAGTCAGTTCCTCTCGTGAATCAACATGCCCAGCTTTGGACAGGACATGCCCAAGGTCGTTCGTGCCCATCCGAAATACGTGGAGGTGGCCTTCGCATCAGCCCTTGCTTGAAGCATCGCTGCCGAAGCAAGCTCTCATGCGCTCACCATCGGAGCAGCGCTTCAACTAAAGTCTGAGAAAGGCTCTGTGTTGCCTTTTGGCGCAGGTTGCCGTTCGGCAGAATGGCTTCGCCATCGCGTTCGCCAGTCCCGACCTGCAGGAGGGACGAGAGTGAATCAGAGATTGTGCTTGCTGCCATAATCCAGACCCGGACAAGTGTGCCGCCCGCAAGCGCCATGAGGGGTGTTGCAAGCAGCGAACGCCAGTTCGACACTGCTACACTACACTAAGTGACTGAGCGTTGGAAGTGACAGTGAAGGATGGGGCCGGAAAGCCTGAAGAGCTTGGTTGAGGCAAATAGCAACACCCGCGATGCCGAGACCCCCAAGACAGGTGAACGTGCCGATCATTGAGGCCGCGTTGACCCAATCTGGTGAGACGTTGGAGTTGCTTGCGGACGAGTTCCGCGCGCAAGAGGCGCAGGGATCCGTGAGTAGTCGTTAACAGACGCGTTTGCAAAGTTTTGCAAACTCCTTGCCTTGAGGAGCTTGTCCTAGCAGCTGTACACCAAAATGGCTGCAGCCTGCGGTTTGCTTCTGATGAGCTTCGAGCTGATCCTGATCTTTGCCTTGAGGTCAGCCTGTGCAGTTTTCTCCCCTGTGAGCGTGCTGTCAGGGACGCGACACCGAACTCGGAGCAGCTAACCGGGAGGAAGTGGTGTAGCGACAGGAGAGGCGATGGGAAAGGAGGCGCCCGGAAAGCGACAGGAAGAAACACGACGGAGCAGGGAAACGAAACGATACGCAGCGCTGGCGCGAGCTCGAAACGAGAGCGATGTCCGGTTCGCAGGGAGGCTGGCGCAAACGAGTCGCCCAGTGTGCGTGGGTTCGGGATGCCCGCTGGGTGCTTGTTGTTGTACTTCTGGTCGCTGTGGTGTCTGACAGCGGTGAGGCCGTGGGCCAAAACTGGCAAGCCATCGAGCTCCGAAGCTGCAGTAATGGAGCCGGCAGAATCTTTTGACCTTCATGCCGAGCAAATGCACAGTCCTGTCATCCTGATTGCAGGTACTGCGATCCTGCGCTGTACACCAACAGGGATTTCATGTCAAAGGCTGTGCGAGGTTTCGCAAGTGGCGAGATGCTCGAAGGACATGCTACGTGCGCGCAACGGGAGGCTGTCACGGCGAGCTGGCGCTGTCTGTCCTTCGCCCACCCGGACCTGTGCAACGACAGAGCTGTGGTACAGGTTGCTCTCAGGCTCGGAACGGACAGATCAAGCTCATTCAGCGGGCAAATGGCAAAGATAACAGAAGGTCCGAATAGCATAAGCAGCCCCGGACACGGTCTACTTCGATCGTCGGCCAAAGCTACGTTATCCGCATACTGACATGCCTCGGAAGAGCTCTGACGAGCATCCATGTTCTGCCTGAACCTGGTGTTATATCATGTATGGCGACAGCCTGCATGGAGGGCTGGCAGTAGAAGGTGAGTTGGAAGCGCATGTTGCCTGGTATCACTTGGCTTGGTGCAAGCCAACTCTGCTAGCACCGGGAATTGCAAGTCGCATCAAGATACGGAGGCTATACCACAATATATATATATACAATTATACACACGCACACGACAAACTCAACACTAAGACACTTCTATGTCTGGAGAGTTTTGGATGCATGTTTTGTTTGGTTGTTGTTGGTGCCGCTGTTGCTGGCATGGTGTTGGTGTCCATGCAGACTCTGGAAAATCATCGACTTGTGCCCCTGCAGGCAGAGCTGGCTGGCATTGGCCCACGCCAGCGAGTTCTTGCGAAGGGACAGGAGTTTGGTGGAGGAGGCCTTGGACCGAGGCGCCTGGCAGGCCAGGGACTCTCTGATTTCATCCTGGCTCGCTGTGACATTCGCTGCCGTTCGTGAAGGTCATGCTCCATTCGGATGCAGCACTTCAGAACGACCGGGCTCGTTTCATGCCTGTGCTCTCATGGCGTGCTCGACATTGCGATTCGCCATCCTCCGCAATTTCGTCGGCGCAATGAGATCGTCTTGCTGCTGGAAGGATCGCAGCCTCGTGCTGAAAGCACTGAAAAGATCCGGACATGCGCTCCAATGCGCGTCGCCGCAGCTCAAGGATGATGAGGAGCTGGTGCCCGGGCCCGGCTTCGCGATGTGCGGCCATCGCTTGGTACTGGCATGACAGGTGAGGGAAGCCTCTCAACGTGAGCCGTTGGCACTCGAGCCGCATGCTCAGGCAGCAACAAGTGAGTTTTCCGTAAACGGCACTCGTATAGCCCCCTACTGGGGCACCGAGGCATGCGTCAGAGCGCCTCCGCGATCGTGAGGAGACGTCGGAGTCGCATGCGCAAGCGGAGACGCCAGCCGAAGCGAGGACCTGGTCCTACCGGCGCTGCGGATGGATCGCTGTGCGCTGAGCTGTGCCTCCGAGAGATTGAGAGGCGCAAGCGCCGGGAGTGAAGAATCCTCCAACAACGGCGCTTTTCAACTGCGATCAGTCTGAAGGCGACTCGGATTTCATCATGCGCTGCGTCCAGAGCCGCTTGGCTTAGAGCTTCTCCTCGTGTGTGCAATGCGCATGGTTCACGTTCACGGTGCTGAGTCAATGGGATGTCCGTGGAGTTTGCCTCGGATGCTCTCCGGGCTGCTTGGCAGAGACAAAGTGTCAAAGGTGATGCAATATCTGATAGTCCGGTGAAGGCTAACGAAGACATATTGTTGGCCGCAGTTAGCTCTGCCCTCAGTCGCTCACTGCACATCACGTGAACTCGACGGATCAATCAGACATATGCCGAGAACAAGACTGGCGCGCGGTGAACTTCGCGCCGTCTGACCTGCAGAGTAAGCTGACCTGAAGGGCTCTGCGCTCCGCTGCGCTCGTTGTGAGAAAGCCCACAATTCGAGATCCCAGCTCGCAGCTCGCCCAGCTTTTGCGTCGCCGAAGGCGCGCCACAGTTGGGCACATCGCTCTCGGAACATTCCCTCTGTGCCAAAGCATATCGCACGAGAAGAGAAGCGATTCGTCACAGAGAAGCAGCCTGTCAATCAGATTTGTCTCTGTCCGTTCATTCGTTCGAGAAGCAATTGCTTTACAGCGTGTCGCACATCAGCGCTGCATCGTACTTTGGTGACTCTCTCCGTGGCAGGTTTGACAGTCCGGCTCTGGATGGCAGTGGAGCAAGTTGGTTGGACCCCAAGAAGGAGCTTCGGAGAAATGCTGCGCAGAGCGATCCGATGAGGCGAACGGGCTCGCATCCCAGCCTCCGTCGGAAGAAGCTCGATGCCAGCTACGGCCGGCCGAAGGGGAATGCTGGCTCTGTCACACGATGTCACAGTTGCAGATCACTCACTTCTGCAGCACATCACAAGACACGCAAACGCTGTGCAAGCCCCATGCAGTTTCTCTGAACAGCATGTGAAGCCGGAAAGCTCACTGATGGTTCCGCAAGGGACCTGGACGTGGACTTCTAGATTCTAGATGCGGGGGTGTAGAGATGTGATTTCGATTGCCAGTCTCGTGCAGATTTCGGAGCATGGAGTACATCCTACTCGGGAAGCTCACGTTCGCCAGAGGCCACGCCATGCCCCCCACAGGTCCCACTAGATACTGGTCTGAGCCTTTCCGGCCCATTCAGGGCATCGTGCCTATGCCACTGTCTCCTTTGAAGCTTCGTCAGTCTAGAGTCTGTAGGGTCTCGAGTCCGGCTGCAGGAAAACATGGACCAAGACAAGAATGTATGAACGGTATAAGCATTTTGACATGCCCGTCGTGACTTGGCTCAATCTGCTAGAATCAGATTAGTTAGTCGTTTGGGCGAAGTTGGAAGCCTAGTGATCGTGCCCGAGGAGTATCGGAAGAGGAAGCTTTCTGCGCTTCTTCGCCTGTGCGAGGTTCCAGGCATGGCCAAACAGGGATGGATCCTGCGAGCTTTGTCCACCGTCACATCCAGAAGTCTCCCCCTTACCATCCTGAGCTTCTTGCGTGATGGGCTGGTGTTCTCCTTTCTACTTTGAGGTAGGAAGAAGAGCGCGGGCTCTTGCACGGATATCGAAGAGGATGCTGAGGAGAAGGCGGAGGCCCGGCATATGTTGTTTCGCTCTTTTTTGGCATTCGCACTTTGCTTCGCTCCCCCTGCAGGAACCCTGCCTGCCGTCTGCACCTTCTTCTGCGCTCTTTGCACAGGCGCTCCACTTTGCATTATCGCATCGTCCCTGCTATCCGGGGAACCTGGTCGCAGGATGCGTACAGCATGCCTTCGGTGGGAGGCTGCGTAAACATCCAGCATCCCCACAGCCTCTTGGCCGCAAAGGCCGTCAATGACGAACCAGAAGACAGACAAATGATTCTATGGACAAAAGCTCTTGTCGCACATTCTTTCATTTCCTGTACTCGAAACATTGAAACAAAAGAAAAAAGTGCTGGAGATTTCCCTATTCCAACAAGAAATACTTGTAGCCAACAGAGACAATTCTAAACCTAATGAAAGTGTGCACTATGTTCCGTTCATTGACTTTTCACTACTTTAAAAAATAGGTGATTTGTTCCTCAATAGAAGGCATAAAGTTCAGAAAGTAAAATACGCGACGCCACCTTGCCTAACGAAGCCAAATTAAGATTCCGACGATTCACACTAAGAGTCGGCGCATGAACGTAAGGTAAGAATTTGCTGCCCGAGGAGGTTGCAGGCACCTCAGTTTACATTTCTTAAGGGCATAGCGCTCAGTTCTATCAGCCCCTTCAGCTCTACATCTTGCTGCACAGCAGGTGAGAGCATCTGATGCAATCGAGGTCCTTTTCGAGCCTTCGGTGGAAGAGATCTTTGCGGATCGCACAGGCTTTACAGAGTGAGAGACCGGAAGCGAGACACAAGTCCGAATGGTTTAAAGCTGTTGAGGCACGCCTCGCGGGACGCGGCTGATCTTTCTCAACACGCCGCTCTCGGAAGCTGAGGTGCATGAGAGCAGAGTGCCTTCCGGGTGGCAGCACTTGACTCAATTTCGGATATAATCATGTGTGCTTCTTGCTGGTGCAGCACCCGGTGCTGCAGGGGCAGGAGCAGGAGCAGGTGTGTACACAAGAGCAAATCGCCGTGGCTGTGACGGTAGGAGTATGTAGGCATAGGCAGCAGCAGCAGCAGCAGCAGTAGTAGCAATAGCAGTAGTCGTCGTCGCAGTGGCTGTGGCAGTGAGTAGTGGTAGCGGCCGCGGCAGCTGTAGTAGCAGTGGCAATTGCGGTGTTGTGAAGGTCGTCTTCGTTGTAGTCGTTGCTGTGGCTGTTGCTGTGGCTGTTGCCGTTGCCGTTGCTGTTGTTGTTCTCGTTGCGGTCGTCGGCATGGTCGTTGTCGTACTCGTGGGGGTTGTTGTTGTTGCTGCTGCTGCCGCTGTTGAGGGCTTTCAGAAGGACAGCCGAGCAACTCTCCACGTGCCCAGCCTCCAGCCAGTCGTTCTAGTCTGGACACGCTCTTCTGTCGCATCAGGTGCAAGCCCTGGCAGCCTTGCGCAAGGAGTGGGCTGCGCCAATTGCTCGGCGACGTTCGATTTCTGCAGACCGGTAGACGAAGGATTCCGGTCCAAGGGTGTGATGTTCTGTGCAAAGAACTGATGAAGCTGGGAGCGCTAAGCTCAGACCAAGGCGACGCAGCGGCCGGGATGATCTACCCGAGCATCTTGGCACCGCTTCGGTATTGTTCGGTCTTGTGCAATGGCAGGCTGGTTCAGTCTAGACTCTAGACTTTCCCTTCCCTTTCGATTCGTTTAGGGCCTCGTTGCATGTTGGGAAGAGAGCAGGGCGTGAGTAGAGGGTGTCAGTTTGTCCTGGTCCTGACGGCACCTTGCAACAGAGAGCGGCAGGGTGGGCAACGACAGCAGAAGCGAACACGCTCAATTAGCTGTGGGACCGGGGGCTGGGGCATTCACACATTATAAGGAGGACGACTGCGTACATATGCAACCCGTCAGTCAATGTGGCGACGAATGTCCGAAAGGCTTGTGGGCAGTTAAGTGAACCAACTGTATTGGTTCCTTCATGCGGCACTTGAAGCTGTAGCTACCAGTATGAATTGCAACTGAACAAACTCCTGCTAAATGCGAACATTCCAGTGACAGAATCTTGGACTTGCAGGCATGGGACACTCGAGAGAGCGATTGTTGGGTTTAGTTCCGATCAGAAAGCATGCCCTGGATGCAAAACATCAGAATCAGACGCTCCGTTCTGAGGTTCATCCGGCTCAGCGCTTTGCGGGTGTTGCAGCACAAGAAGTCCTTGCCTTATGTGACTTCAGTTGACTGCAGATGGCGCTGCTGTTGGTTGCCAATGCAAGCTTGAAGTTCAGGGCGGTTTCGTATCAATGGCTTCAGACATACGCAATGACGGCAACCTGCCAGTCCGGCGCGGAATCGAAATTGCATTTCAGGTTCGATGTATCCCGGGCGATAGACCTGATACAGACCTGCCTGGAGGACGCCCGCTTGCGTTTAGTTCCGCTGCGCCAGGCTGCAGATTGAGCGAAGCACGAATCTGCCATGAGTTGTTAATTACAAGACGGAGTTATGACTGTCCAATATAAACGACAAATGATTTGCCTCTGCTGCCCTGTGGCAGTTGCCGTGCTGTCAGCGTCTCTTGTGTGCTACGCTTGTTGTTGCATCCATCATTGCAGGGTCAGTCCCATCTTAGTTTTGAGTTCATGACGCAACATGTTCGGCGTCTGGGACGATGATCGGCCACAGGCTGCACAGGCTGCACAGGCTGCAACAGGCATGGCCGGCATGGCTCCTGAGCAGGAGCGCGTCCGTAGGCTGCCGCTTCAGGAGGCTCGGGACCTGGGGAGGTCCAGGAAATATTGGATCACTCCATTGATACGAGTGGTCCTTCACTTGATTTGGCTCAGCCAATCTCGGAACAGCATCTGGTTCTTGCCGCAGTTGACTGCTTGTGTGCGTCATTCAGAAAGATATGATGGTGTGCAGGGGAACGGAACCTGTGTTCACCGGTAGTGCGGCTTGAAAAAGAGGATGTGGACTGTATGGAACCTCCAAGCATACCTTGTGTGCGAAACATGGAATAGGACACCAGCACTACTGCCCAAACAGGACCAACAGACCTGCAAGAGCTTTGGCCGTCGTTTGTTGAGTCTCTGGCATTTCCGTTGAAAACAGTTCCAGAAGCCTCTGCACCGCAGTCGTCGTAGCCATGCAATTACTACCTGCGTGCCTTTGCAATACTAGTACATGTAAGGAGCACCGCTCGCATGTTCGTCAGGCAGACATCTTGCAAGACTTGAGTTGCGGCGCCATGCGGGGTCCTTAAAACCGAAGCGGCTCTAATCCCGGCAGGTCCTTTGTCCAACTCAGGTATTGGCATGGCAGAGACCGCAAGTGCAGACCCTGCCTGGTCGTCCGCATTGAGCGCTTCGCTGATCTCATCAAGGACACACTCGCGGAGGTACGACATCGGTCCTTAGTTGCTTTGTGTCCGCAGGACAAGGAGAGGTGTGTCAGAATGACGATCTTCGTTCTGGAGTATGCCATTCGCTATGCCATGGCCGGGAACTCAGAAGTCCCCAACCTGAACGAACGAATCCCTGACCTGCAAGAGTGCTGCTCCATGTCCAACAGCAAGCCTGGTCTGCCCCACCTCTCAATTTGCTTCCATTCAACCGCGATGCAGCACAACTTAGGTTCCTGGCCGGGTCGAGAACTGGGTATCTGTGGCATTACTCTTTCCCTTTCAGTGCTCATATTCCTCTAAAAGTGAGTTCTTTGCACGCGTCGCTATGACACACAGTAGGAAATCCGTGAGCGAGTAGGTCAGTCAGGCAGTCAGTCAGTCAGTCAGTCAGTCAGTCAGTGTGTGTGTGTGTGTGTCAGTCTCGCGATGTTCCCTCGTTCGATGGCCTTGACAGCTTCTGTGACGTTTCAGATTGCTGTTTCGCAGCGCCAGCATTGGCATGGCAGGTAGTTCTGGTGGATTTCGAGAACGCATCGGACGTTGTCTCCTTCTTCCAGTTGCCAACAATGTGCCAAGTTCTGAGGTCTCCGGCAGCAGCCGCAGCTGCCAGGAGTTGCTTCGGGATCCGAAAGCAACGCCGTCCAGCACCCGCACTTTCCTCAGGTCTCACTGCAAAGGCTCTTTCCCAGACACTGGAGAGCGTGTACTGCTGTCGCATGGCTGGGCTCTTGGCATCAACTTGGAAGTTCCTGCAGTCGTTCTTATTCTTGCCGCTTCTTCTTTCCGTCTCCAGGTATGGGTGAAGCTCCTGAATCTGCTTGTGGCCTCAGATGAGATACATCGCATGTTGACACTTGCATGGAGCTACTCGCGCATGAATGTCTCGGAGAAAAACCTTTCAGGCCAACGATCTTGCGCAGCATAGTGCAGAGCGTCATACCTGCAGAGAAGAAGAAGAAGGTTTGTGCTATTGAGGAGCCGGCCAGCACCTGTGTTGATAGTGTTGGCTCAGAGAGAGAGGCCGGGGTGCCTTTTCGGGTCACCCATTCCTCAGGACCCTTCCAAGGAGCTTCTGAAGTACTTTGAGCCCAACCAGCTAGAGGCGGAGCCAGCTGAAGCGTTGCAAGCGGCAGCGGCGCTCAGTTCGAACTGAAGCTGTGAGGCAAGGTATGGAGGCACACGGCCAGATCTGAAACCGCACGAGCCCGGCTCCGAGTTCTAGGGATGGTCTGAGATGTCTGAGTCTGGGAGTCCATGTGCGTTAGTGCGTTGGGGCTAAGGACATATCCGTTTCATTTTTTCCCTGGCTGCACTGGCTCACCAACGGCATCTGTTCCATCCTCAAGCTGCAGTCTTTCCGCCTCCGTGCTGTGGCATGCGCCTTGAGCCTGGATCTCTGATTCGCTCAGGGTTCACGCCGGATTATGACTTGCGAGAGTGATCGCAGCACCGCCAGTACAGAGAGCGGGCAAAGCACTGCTGCAAGCAGTGAGGAAGTAGCCTGCTTGGCCGACATCCCAGCTGTCCAGCAGTAGGTGCAGTAGCTCTGCCTTCTGCGCTTTGCGTCACTGCTTGAGGCCAACCTTGAGCCTGCGACCTCGCTGCATCATCTTGCAGGACTCATCTGATTTTGCGAGGGCCTTGCTTGGCCGGCTTGGAATCCTGAGAGTCAACGAAGGACGCACGTTTCACGAGGGACAACTTTGGGATACGAGCGTCGGACGCTCGCTTTCCTGCTGCCAGCACTGAGCAGGATTTCATGGCAGTCTTTGCTAAAAGGTCCGGGACCGGTGGAGCGCAGACGCGAAGAAGTCCAGCTTGACGCGGCAAGCCGCACAGGCACATCGGGAGCCTCGGCCCGCGGCCACCCCTTTGAGGGCTGAAGAGCATGTCCGATCTCGTCACGCGCCATGCCTAGCAGGTGCTTTCCGCGATGTTGGAGCAGGAGGTCCTGCCTTGCTGCACGATGCAGCAGTGGAAGGCGCTCCACCAAAAAAACCGAAGCGCCCCCGACTCCCGACCTGACCTGCAAACTGCCGTCTGCCGTCTGCCTGCGCTTTTGTCCGACCTTGGAGGAATTAGCGGCTTGCGAAGGAACGAAGAAGCAGGACCTGTAGCAAACGGCGATTATGGAGCTGGTGAGTCACGAGCGAATCAGGAAGCAGCACCCCCCAAACACACAGACAGAACGGCAGCACGCCCACGATTCGACGATCTCATTTCGGCGTTTCTGCCCGCTGAATCCGCAGGAGGCCCCTGCAGTTCTTCTCGGCAGCCAGGTGCGCAAGTACTTGGTGTTGGCGCACTGCACCTGAATCCATGAAAACTGTCTCTGCAGCGAAATATGCTCATTGACGGTTCACGGCTATGTAGCAAGTTTTTGGCAAGATGCCTTGGCGACATGACATGTAGCTGGACAGTGAGCAGGTATTTCTCTCTGCTTATATCAGCATACTTGCTGCGAGAGCTGCAAATGTAATTTGGAAGGCTATCGCAAGGTCAAAAGAACCTGCTGAGACAGCCATCCCGAAGGCAGGGCTCAGATTTGTGTGCAGGACGAGCATTCAAAGCTGCACATACGTCTCTCGCAGCTGACATTTATGTCCTCCCTGCACAGGAGAGAAGGCAGCTTTCTCAGATGCTCTGCAGCAAAGTAAGGCTTCTCAGCCGGGTGTCGTCCCGCCACCCCGTATACGCAACAGTCGCAGCATGAGAGTTGACGTTACCGCACATGCGTTGTCATGCATTCCAGGATGAAGGGAGAGTCAGGCTGCAATGCCATCCTGGTCGACTTCTAAACAGAAAATTTTCCTGTGGCAAAGGACGGACATTATCCGAGAGAGGCGGGAACTTATTTCGCTGTAAACGATTCTGGGCTGCAAAAGCGCGGTTTTGGGGGAGATTCGGGACTCTGGCTTGAAACGGCTGGACACTAAGGCCCGGACCGAAGAGCCAATGTCAACAAGGTGATCTGGGAGCCGTAACTAATCTGTCAAAGACCCAGTCCGAAGCGCCCCTGTGGGGCCTGTGGCTGACGACTCCTTGCACTGTTCACCGTTGGTGGCCTGTCTCCAATGCTCTTTGCAGCTGCAAGTGACTGCAAGTGATTGTGTATTTGGAACGGGAGACTAGATACTGTTACGCCGATCGGGCGTCTCCGCTGTCGACCTGTGGAGACAGACTGCTGGAAGAAGTTGCTTGAGGCCTGGCTGCTTTCTCTCCTGTCCTCTTTCTGCACTGCTCGGGCTCGTCGTCGTACGAGTCCACAGACTTGTGGTTGAAGGTGGCGGCTGCAGATCTTGGTTGATTGTTAATGGCATAAATCATGGATTCAGGTGCATCTTGGTGTGCATCTGATGCCGTGGAGTCCCTCCTGTGAAAAGATTGGGACACCTTCGTTCCACAGTGGGCCGTGGCTGGGAACAACGAGAGCCTGCAAATCTGCCCTTATCTGAGTTGCATCATTTAGCTTCAATTTCAGACGCAGATTCAAGTCATCAGTGAAGAGATTCCTGGCACCCAGCTCCGCGTAGGAGTATCTTACGTCGTAGTGCTAACGGAATGTGCGGCAAGGTTGCATCTCGTTGCATTGATGTCATAGCCTCCTTGCGCTTTTCAATAGTCCCTCCGCGTCTCATCAAACGCCTACTTGCACTTACTTTCCATCTTGTCAGGAAAGCTGCAGACACGGTTGACCGGGTGTCTAACTGTCCAAAGCGGAAATTGGCGCATTTTGCATGTTGCGTTGTCCGAACTTTCTGATTCAGATCGTGGCGCGAAGGGACCATACATGAGCAGTCAGCACCGCTTTCGCCGCTGGATTTAGGGATGCTGCCAGGCAAGGCTACCACGCTGTGGCTTCGTCTTCCTGCATTCACGAAGTAGTGAGTCTCCAACAGCCAACGATAATCAGCCGTGTATCTTTCATTGCACCCTTCCTGTCGAAGCTTTATCGCTCAAAGGCTTTATACAGCCAAAGCTCCCTGTTTAGAGCCCAGGCCTTGTACACATTTCCCCCACTCCGCTCGATCCTGAAGACCACGACATGCTAGGACGGCCGTGTGACAGTTGTTTGTACTGTTGCATCGCGAAGTGTTCTAAACCGTTGCACAACGAGATGCTCCTGTGGTGTGCTGGTGCGAAGCCTTGCAAGATGCGCGTGGTAGCTGAGCAAGCCTTTTGGCGTGCTAGCATGCTAACGATGCAATTTTGGTGCATGTTGTCAGGTCGTCCATGTCCTGCAATGCGATTTACGATCCATGGTGCCTCGTATCCAGTGTACTTACATGGCAGACCTTCGCCAGCCCTGGCATCCAAGAGTGATACCAGAGACGGAAAATGCAGCTGTGTATATGTGTAGCAGAGTCCTGCTGTAGTCACGATGCCATTGTCCAAGTCCATGTGGCGGCATCAGAAATACCTCTTCGGGTGCGTTGCTGCGAGCACCCTTGCCGTGCCGCGCGGCATCCGTAGGCTGATTATTCTGTCCGGTTCAGGCTTAGCTTTCGCATTCAAGTGACTGGGCAAAGCCTGACGAAACGTTCCAGCGCAGCCGATGCCGCAATGCTGAGCTGGCGTTTGCAAATTGATTCATATGCAGAAGCTTTGCAGACCTCTGCAAACGGCATCCGACCATTTGGGTCATTTAGCGAAGTTGTCTCACCCCTTATAATTGGCGTCAAGAGACCAGAGAGTGCCAGACAGTGAAGACGCACGCATAGAAACCCACCGCTTATGGAGTAGCCGGTCACGAAGACGCAAAATCTCTGAACCATTGGCTCGACTTTTCCACGACACGCAGCAATGTGGCGTTTCATGGGAAAAACCGTGAATTACATGAATGTGTGGAACCTCGCACTGAACTCTCCGAGTGCACATTGACATAGCTTTTCGTGCATTTCCTTGCTGAGTTGATCAGGCAGCAACTTTCTGGAAGCGAACCGTGGCTCCGTTCGTGGCAACGGCATGTTGACCACAGAGTGCCAGGGCCGGGCGTACACTGTAATTATTCGTAGTAGCTCTGCACCTAGAAGCCCAGCCGGTGAAGCCAGGTCGTCGAACGAAATCCACGCTGCCGATCAGTTCCGAACTTCCCGGGCTTTGATCCGGCGCGGGACAGGACAGCGCAGTGAGCGGAGCAGTCAGTTTGGCGAATGCTCGGAGCTTAAACAAGCACTCATGCGATTCTCTCGCGGCCACATCGGCAGTTGGGGGGAGTCACAGGTACGTGGTAAAACCAGAAGATCGAATTGCGTGGCCTCGCCTCCCGCAGCAGGAACTACTTCGACTGGCGGCCAGCCACCGCAGCTTCAAAGTCGCATCCTTACTGACGAATGTTGTTATGTGCTATGGCCGCGATCTTCTGCATGCGTGCATCGGCAACATGCAGCGGCGGTTCTCCCACGAAAGCTAGCTCCTTGGAGCTTGCGGGAGTTCTTGTTTATTCAGTCGATCTTGTCCTTTCGCGAAGGGGGGGGGGAGGCCCCCCCTCCCCCCGTCAGGCCCCCCCCTCCCAAGGGCCCCGTTGTGTTTTGGTGACTGCTGATTGTGATGCATGCTTAGATTTGATCCTTCGGCATTGCAGCATGCTTGGCAACTTCTTGCGCAGTGAGCTCAGCTAGCAAACCAAATTCGCATGGGGCCTCTGCGTGTTTTGGTGACTGCTGATTTTGATGCATGCTTGTTTTGATCCTTCGGCACTGCAGCATGCTTGATAACTTCTTGTGCAGGGTTTGGCTCATCTATGAGTATCCGACTGCAAGAAAAGTGAGCACAGCCGTCGTTGCCTCGCTCGTTGCCTGCAGTCATCGGAAAGTACCGCTGCGCTTTCGGTGCCTCCTGTGCGGACCCTTGACTGTCCCCGCGCGCGCAAAACGCCACTTCGCTCCCGTGCCTCTGGGCACTGCTTGGCCTCAGCAAGCCCCGCAGCTCCGCTCGTCGACGTCCGCCAGCACGTCCGCACCGTCTTGTCGCCCGAACTACTGTGCCTCTACTTGCTACTTCTCCGTACTTCTACTCCCCCTTCCTAGCTTTCGTCCGCCCTGCTCTCAAGTTGATGATGGCCATGAGTCTATGAGACCTTTTTGACATCCTGCGCAGGGGGTGTGTTTGATCGGTGTTTGATCGGGTTGCTGTTTTCGTGCTCTGGCACGGACATATGGCTCCTGCTAAGAGAAACGCGTGGACATCTTCAGGACATCGAACAAATCGACGACATCCTCAACGGCCCCTCAGAGGGTTGGTCAGGCCTCTGGGGCATGGCAGGGCAGAGACGAGCCGGCTCTTTGTAGACCTTTAGACCTTGAGATTGCCAGGCCCAGTTGATGACAATGGACCGTCCTGGAAGCAGGCGCGTTTTCTTGAGTGTCATTTTTGGACTGACTTTTTTTCTCTCTCGCAGGCCGACTACCGGGCAGCATTTCTGAGAGTGAGACACTGCCAAGAGAACTCTGTAGATCGCTCGTCAAGCGACAGGCAACCTGTCGACACAGCTTACTCCAGTGAACCCCGTCGCACTGCTGTCACCATTTTCTACTTCCCGAAGGGTGCTATGGCGATTCGCAAGATCTGACATCGGGCGCAGACACTAATGACCACTGAGCCGTTGGAATCCTGGTCGTCCACCTAAGCATGATGTAACAGATCTTGTCGCCTGTAGGTGAATCAGTATGATGAGTTCCGCTGCAAGTGTGTCCCATGCTTTTCCTGAGCTTGTTCCGTACTGTGAAGGGTCCCACCCACAGCCTTGACCAAGACGCCTCAAGCTCTGCCGGCGTGGACACTCTATTTAGTATCTGAGCGACTCGCATGCCCACAAACAGTGGCAGCATTGCGGAGTGGTGATGCATGGCAATGCATGACAAAAGTCCCCTAGCTGCTGGCTGCTGGCATCTTGGAATATTGGTAGCGGAGGTGGCTCGTTTCGCCGAGGAGCCTGGCATGTCCGTCACCGCGAGTGATTCGGCTCCCATCATCTCAGCAGCTTGCACCACTCCGCCAGCAAAGGCAAGATCTAACATCTAACAGGTGCAAAGCCAAGTTTATAGTCGAAGGCTTCATGCCGAAGGCTTCAAAGCTGACCTGATCCGAAACCGAGGCAGTTTCGGCCATGATCGGAATGAAGAGCCAGGACTTGACATGACCAGCGCCCATTCAAGACTTGTGCCACGTACCGTGCTGCAAGGACTGGCCAACAATTCATCAGCATGGGACCTAGCTCCCTCATGTTTCCCTGAACTCGTTTAGTCGATGCGAAGAGATCGACATGCATAGACGAGTGCATGTTCAGAGATGCATGCACACAGGCATACATACTCGCAGTTATTCAGAGGTACAGATATCTATCCTTCCCTGTTTGTATATGTCTATCCATCTGTCTATCTGTCAGTCTGTGTATCTATCTATCTCGATGCCGCTCTATCTCGCTGTCTCTATCTATCTCTGGCTCTAGAAATCACCCTATCTCTTTACCTATCTACCTATCTCACTCTGTCTGTCTGTCTTCCTGCCTGGCTGGCTGTCTGTCTGTCTATCCGTTTGTCTTTCTGTATCTGTCCTTATCTCTCTGCATCTCTCTATTTCGATCTCAATTTTTCTATATATCTCTATCTATCTCTCCAACTGTCTGGCTATCTATCTATCTGTCTATCTACATGCTGCACCTGTGTGTATAGCAGAGTACTGCTGTTCACGTGAACGTGTGCTCAATCGGAACCCACGCTGAGCGCAATGAGTAAGAAGCTGCCGCCCCAAGCCAGGTCACCTGAGATGCAGGCACTGCGTGACTATGTCACAGCAGCTGATGGCAGCAGATATGCGAACCAGGTCCGATGCCGCAGAGAAAGACCAAAACACATGCAAGTTCCGCCCTGCCCAAGTTCTCACACTGCCCCCGCCAGGCAGCATCGACTCTGCGTCTCGATGTCACACATTCGAACCTGGTCCAGCGATGGCATGACCTGATTTTCGACGCTGGCATGACAGCACGGGCCTTGGGATGCTGGAGTCGCGACTGATCGCCACAGCAGAGACCTAGGTGAGCAGAGTCAAGGAAAAGTCGGAAGCTCGATTTGTGCTTCGGGAGATGCCGTTTCTTCGTCCTGGCAGTTGTGGAGATGTTTCGTGACATCATGATCTTGACTTGCGCTCAAACCCCCAGGCTCTACTCCCATGGCGGAACGCCTGCCGCAGATCAGGCCTTGGGCAGAGACAAGTTCGGGAAAAGTGACGAGCTTTGCCTTTGTGTCTGTCGAGACAATCTCCCCCAACAAAATGACGGTAAGCCGTGTTCTGCATATGGCCAGACACGTCTAGCTGCAAGTATGTAGCTGTCAGACTTCAGATTTCAGGTACTGGTATTATTGTGTGCATGAATAACGCAAGAGCAAGAGAGAGAAACTTACACTTTCATGGTCTGCCTGAGTTCTTGGAGAAGTTGCGATGCTGACAGGAGCTGTACCTGCGGCGAGGCGGTGGGGACACCCTCTTTCTGTATGATGCTGCTAGGATGCATCTTCGCTAAGAACCACACAGACATAGTCGAATGATGTTCCTAGTCTTTCCTTTGTTTTATCGGTTTTGCGGGTTCGAGGTTCGCTTCGAATGTGTTTGAGCAGCTCGAGTCTGCTACGTTCCGCAATTGCTTTGGACTCGTTCGGAGCTTCGCAACTTTTTTGTTCGCCTTTTCGCCTTCGGCTGGGTGCGCCGAGTTGCGCCGTGACCTCCTGGACCTGAGGAGCGAAAGACGCTTGCGGACTACGGAGTGAAGCCCTGGCCTCATCGGCCCCGGAACCTTCCCAAGCGGAAACCACCCCCCGCTTCCGTCTTCGTTGCCAGGAACGGAATGGAGATCCACATCAAGGAAGCTGCAGTCAAGGGATAACGGAGCTTGCGGACTCGTTCGGGGTCTTGTAAAGCGATCCAGCGAGGACACCAATCCATACTCGCTGTCTGCAAACGGTGGCCTGGAGGATGTTAGTCAGGCCAGAATGCCTGTGCCACAGGGTTGCCAGACAGCCACCGCTGTCGCCTCTTTAGTGTCGGTCTCAGCAGGTGGAGAAGTACGTCATGTCCGAGGAGGAATTGGCAGTTGCATTGAGATCGACAGTTGTGTAACGATGCAACACGGTGGCAGGCAGTTCATGAGTTCATGAATCTCCCGATGCATCTGCAGGCTTATGATAAGCTAGAGAACAGCGTCCGTGCCATCAAGCGCAGGGAAAAAGACAAGGTGCGGCAGCTTCAATGAGTCGGTGGGGTTACTCCAAGGCTGGTTGCAGTTGTTCCAGGCAGAGGCTGAGCTCGCAGCCAGAATAGCGGCGGGTGAGGCACGTACCTCAGGCTGAGGCTGTCGAATGCTAGAGACTCACGACGGCTTGGCACTACCGTTGCTTTGCCACAAGATATGCAACATGTTGCCTGGAGTGTAATCCAAGACTTGGCAGGCCTCGAGTAAAGCCTGCAGTTTCTTATGGGCAAGACCCAAAGGATTTTTTGGGATACTCCGAACCGAAGCTGTCATGAGGCTCGTCAGAGCGTTTGTAAGCTTTGGGCAGGGTGCATATGAATGGGCAGCATTAGCTGAGATAGCATTGCTGAGCTGTTTCGCTTTGAGGTCATAGAAGAGGAGCCTGCGGAAAGCGCAGAGCAGGCCACGGCCTGAGTCGAAAATGCAAAGGAACCGACAAGAAGTGTTCCAGTGTTCCAGGTCTCCGAGCGGATTCCAATGGGAAGCCGCTGTCAGGCCGACCTTTAGGAAGTCTCGGCCAAGCGACAGAAGCTCCTGGCTCCTGGCAGGTCCAGCCCGGAGGCCGCAGAGGCGAAGTCGCCTTTGTCGGCTCAGTGCGGGGCATCAAGGCCCCCTGGCTCCCCTGGCCCTTGCCCTTGCACCGAGCTTGGCGCCTGTGCCCGCAACACCCCAGGGCGTGTGGATCGGTGTGCGCCTCGACGAGCCGCAGGGTCGGCCTGCTCGTCTTGAGCAGACTCGGACACGGGTGCTTCCTCCCCTAGCCAGGCTTGTAGAGGGTTTAGGGCCGTTCAGGGCATCAGTGCGAGACATCAGCTAAATTAGCCCGGCAATAGGAGGTAGCGAATCGGATAGATGTCTGTCATCGCAGGTTGAGATCCTTCCCGTGATGCTGTAGTCAGTACCACGGTTGCTGGACTTGTTCTTGGTCAGAGCCAGGCAACAACGACGGCTCCAAGGAAGGTGAGCGCTACTTCAACTGCAGAGGCGACAAGTATGGATGTTTTGCGCGGCCTGACAATGCACCTTGTCGGAAACTTTAGTTCACGAACCTAGGAACGCCTACTCGCGGTTCGCATCATGTTGAAGATGCAATGACATCTAGGTCGAAGTTGGCGATTTTCCTGAGCTGGACCCGTTCGCTTCGGATGAAGAGTTCTGAAGGAACTCAGACCCGGACTGTGCCTAAAGTACGCGCAGGCAGAGGAATTCGACGGTTTCGACCCAGGCGGATGAAAAGCAAGCAGAGCTGCTGGCGGCACAAGCGCTTCGATTGCTGTCTTTGGGGTCTCGTCACGTACCGAATCCTTTGGGTGTTGAAAGAGTGAGTAAGTCGCATTGCAAGAGGAAATGCCTTCGAGTGTTGTTTCAGGGCCGCTTTCTCCTCTTTTTTCCTGTAGGACGGTGCTCAAGGACCCGGGAGTTGGCAGTGTCCAGATCTGGAGTAGCCAACATGCCATCGGGGATTCTCGGCTGCAGTGTCGGGAGACTTCAGCCTTTGGGAGTTGCCTTTGGGTCCCATCCGGCTAAGCTCAGCCACACGCAATGCAAGCGTTTCCAGCCTTCCGAAGGGGAGTGACCGTGTCTCGTACCAGCTGTTTCATGAGCCAGATCACGACTCGATGCAATTGACATCAACAATCCAAGGAGCAAGGCTTCGGCGGAAGGAGGCTCTGGTTTCTTTCTCGTTGCATGGGCTTTCACTTCCAGAGTCTCCTGTAGACTTCGCTCCACATCTTGATTGCACTGGAGGCGTTGTAATCGATGATGGATGTGGCCTTTCAGCTGCAATAACTGTCTCTAGGGCATGTCTTTTTCGCGACATGTTTTGGCTTTTGCAAGCTGCACGGTCCATCATCTTTAAGTTATCCGTTCTTTGTGGACGCCAAGTAGGTGGCGCCTGTGGCGGCGTCGGCGGCCTCTGAAGCCTGGCTTAAGAGCGCACTTCGAAATTGCCCGAAACCTTCTGCGCCGTGATGCTCTGAGATCCAAGGCTTTGAGGCTGATCCTGAGTTTGTCAAGACGGACGAGCGCTGGGCCTCCTGACCAAATCTGTTTCATCGCGATTCCCAAGTCTTCAGCTTTTTGTCTGCGAGGTTTATGTTGGGCAAGGCGGGCACGGAGCGCGATATGTTTACACTACGTGACCCGTGAGCCTCTGGCGCGTCTAGTGATGCTTGCTGCATGCGCCGCAGGTCGAGGAACGTACTCGCAGGCAGCCAGCATGGACTACGTCGGCCACGGGCCACCCGGCCAAAGAGTTCATCTTCCGGCGGAACAGTTGGGGTTTCCACTATCCGCTTCCTGCCAGGCGTGGAGACTTCGAAAAGGAGACTTGAGCAGTGCATGTGCCGTGAGCTGCAGCCAGTCTGCTGAATTGTCATGCATGATCTCGAAAAGGAGAAGGTGACCGTGAGCTCGGGCACCTCTGCAATGAAAGGGGAAGGGCAAGCGGGAAATGCGAAGCATCGACACCCGACAGTCTTCATGGTAGAAGTGCAGAACGTAACAGCCAAGGTGTGAGGCCGCTGCCTTGGCATGGAGGAATTCATGGGCACTCGCGTGCATGTGCCTGCAAGGTTTCGAGCAATCTGCGTGTTCTTCATTTGTTTCCTGCTCTTTGTGATTGTGGGGCTTCTGATTTACTTCTTCATGTCAGGGCCCAAGATGATGCGAGCAGTGTGCGTTACACCCGCCTCGACACCATGCGAGGCCCCACTTCTTCTACAGCCCGGTTGGAGCTGATGCCATCGGGCCGAACTCGGATTCCCCAAAAGTTTCGATGTCGCGGCACTGCGCAGTAGCGGGATGCTCTCCAAAGCCCGTAGAGAGGCATGGTTGTCACCCAGACCATGAAGTGCACGGCACATGAAACCTTATCGAAAAGGACTCGCTGAAGGTAAGGCCTGCTCAAACATTCTACCGGCACGCACCACTTCCTTGCAGCCAAAGGACCCAGGCCCCTAAGCCCGATCAAACCCTACAGTAACTATTCCCTCGGCTACGCCGCTACTTCGCATGCGGGCTCTGCTGCAGGCTCCTGAAACCAAAGACTCGTCCTGTCACTGCTTCATGTTTTGTTCACCCGTTTTAACCACCTTTTATTCACCTTTGGTTCACCTTTTGCTCACCGTTTATTCACCTTTTACTCACCTTTTTATTCACCTTGGATTCACCTTTTGGTCACCTGTCATTGACTTTTCATCCACCTTGTATTCACCTTTTCGTCATCTATTCACCTTTGTTTGCTGTTTGAACCCCCGACTCACCTTTTGCGAGCACCTTCTAATCGCCTTGCATTCACCTTCTAATAGATTCTTGGTCTCCCAAGAGTACAAGGGATAACTTCAAAGGTAGTGCCGCAGTGTAATCTCAGGACCCCTGCCAGACAAGTGCGACGATGGATCAAATGACCGTCATTCAAAGGGAGGCCTGCTGTGCGAACGGCTACGGAGCCTTCTGTGCCACAACGCCAAAAGCACCGGTGATCATTCACGACAAGCCCCTCCCTCGGCGCGTGCGATGTGTCCATTCAAAGTTTCGCTAAGTTTCTCTCTTCCGACTGTCCATCTTTGTCCATCTTGCCCAATGAAGGTTCTACACCAACGTGAGGATGGGGCAGTCAGTCATGCGCATGATGTCCTCTCATTCTCGTATATGCAAAAAGTTGGGAGTTTGCACGGAGGATGTGTTTCGGTTGTATGAGTGTGCAATCCTGGCAGGACACAGCGGGTGGCACATTCAGTTCCTGTTCCGATACCTGGTCCACCTGCTAAGGTCATCACGATCCTCGGCATGATCGATACTTCTTATAGTTCGTCTTGTGATACTTCAGGTCTGTCTTGAGCTTCTTCGCGATCTCCTGTCTGCCTTGCCAAGGAGGAAAGTGTACGTCAAACACCACCCCTACGATTGTACGGAAGGCTGCCGACTCCAAGACTCTAAGAGCCGTGCGCCCCATTGTGGCCGCCCTGTCGGGCTAGATTCGCAATAGTAAGGATACTAAGGCTAAGCTGATCTGCAGGTAACAGGAATGATCTGCAGTGGGCGGTGGGGTTTCGGCAATTTGTGTGCCCCGTCTGAGTCCTTGTTGCAGTTGCGACTTCTGTTCAAGACTTGATTTGCCCTTCCTGCAACTTGCAGGCTACGGCAACTGGAAGACACAGTGGTCGCACGAGCATCAGCGATACTGCTGCTACAAGTTCAAAGAGTCTTGCGTGACCAAGGCGGGCGTTAGCCTGAATGCCTTCCGCTTGTAAATTGTGGTTTTTGAGTCACTTTGCTGCGGTGTGTCTCCTGCGAAGGTTCAGTACCGGAATCTCGGCTCCGAAGTCGTTCGCAAGGGGTCTGAAGTATGCAAACATCACAAGAGGCAGGGGTCTTTCTGCAGTTGCCGCCGAGGAACCATTACAAGACTATCACGCGGGTTCATCATGTGACGGTGCCTGAGAAAGTCGTCGTGCCGGCGCCGCCACCTCGCGAAATCAATCATATCGTCCATGTTCCCGTCCATGCGACTTGTCTGCACAGGTTCATGGTTAATGCATTGAGGCTTCGTATCAGTGGTGGGGTTCTTGCTTCGAAGCTGCTAGGATCCAAGCCCCGTCATCAAGATCAAGACTGCTGGGCCACCTCGCGTCGTGAAGCACTACGTCACAAAGAAGCACTATGTGCCCGAGCCCGTTCCGTCGCCGCCGACGTACCACTACAAGCCTGTTCCCGTTACTGTGCATGTACCAGGGAAGGTCGTCCACGTGCCAGTTCCCATGCCGGCCAAGACGATCTACAAGGAGATTCCAATCACAAAAGTTCAGCATGTGATTCAGAAGCGCTACTACGACTGCGTTGCTGGAATCAAGAACTGGCATTACGGCTGGTCCAAGACGAAGAAAAGCTGGTGCTGCTCCCACGAGCAGAAGGGCTGTCCTGGAACATGGCAAGGGGATGGGTTGACGAAGACGATTGTGACAGGGGTGACCCAACACATTGGCCATGGCCACGTGGGCCACGTGCACGTCATCCACCATGTGCATCATTACTCAACGAGCAGCCATGACATCGACGACCTGCCAGACGTCATCGGAGATGACGATGCCTCGCTGCCGCCCGAGTATCGGCACGGTGACATGAGCGTTGGTGGCGAGGACGAGTCATTGCCACCCGAGTATCGGGATGGTGACATGAGTATTGCCGATGCTGATGGGTCACTGCCACCCGAATATCGGCAAGGCGACATCAGCATTGGTAGCGACGAGGAGTCACTGCCGTCCGAATATCGGCACGGTGACTTGACTCTTGGTGGCGACGAGGAGTCACTGCCGCCTGAGTATCGTGACGGCGACAGCATGGGCGGCGACGACGATGGCGCTCCGCCCCCAAGGAAGCTATCTGCCGTCTTGCGTGGACGCCAAGCACGTAGAGGACAGGGTCAGCGTGTGAGACAGGAAGACGGCAGGTCGCACAGGACTCACAACACGACCTTCTCAACCTTTTATGTGGAAGGAGCCTGAGCGATTGCCTTCGACTGCACAGCTGGCTCAGCGAATTGGAAGAATTGGCCAGATGCCGGGAGCTCAGCGGCTTAGCTCCGAGCGAATCCGAGCGAGAAGAACGGCACCAACAGCTTCTAGACACGAATGCAACGATTGTGGCATCGCAATGCGGGCACTGTCCTGAGGCAAAAAAGCATCATTGCTGCAAGATGGAGCCGGCCATCTGCATTTAGCAGCGGAGCTGAATTAGAAATCATGGGGCGGTTTGTTGCTGCAGGGCCGCGAGAGAGTAGAGCCACGGCCTTGCTCGAATACGTGCTTCAAAAACGGCACTCCTCTGCAAGGAGCAGTGGTTCCAGGAGCACTGGTGCACCCATGAACTTCAAAACTGATAATTTGACACAAGCACAGGCAGCAAAGTTTGCCTGGGCCGAACTGTAGTCCATAGAGTCGATAGTGCAGAACCTAGCATTTACACGTGCCGATAACAAAGTTTGAGGCCATTGGTCACATCAGATCACGAGAAAAGTCAGCCTTGGGTGCATGTCAGCTTCGTTGCATGTCCGCTCAACGTCTGACCAAGTTCTGGGTTTAGCGTGTTTTTGTCGGGCGGTTCAGGGTTAAGTTTCAGATGGTGGTGGTGCGGTAGGCCCACTCGACAGCTCTCTTTGAAGATCGCTCTCCTCGGCTCTCTTTTCTTGTAGAATCTTTGACATCTCTCTTTGCAAACATCGTAGACGGCGGTCAAGGCAGGACTTACGACATGCCAGCACACGAGCGGGATCCACCAGCGTGATCTCGACAATGCGACGGATGTCGTTCGCGCCAATGCTCCCACTACCGCCCGAACGACCACCTGCGTGGTGACGAGAGCTTCCGTGAACTTCAGTGACAAAGATGAGTCACCCTGAGCACCGGCGCAAGCACAACAGGATTGGGGTCAGCAGCGGCTCGTCGCCAGCTTAGAAACGACAGCATCGGCACGGTCGGCTGCGCTTGCACGCGATGCGAAGCAGGCAGTCGCCCTTGGCTGGACAAGCGTTGCACACGTAGCTGCAAAGCCTCGAGATGGACAGCTTTGTTCGCTGCAGCGCTTGTAGCCCGAAGGTAACAGCATAGGCGGCCCCTGTCCCGACAGTCGGACGCCATGGGTGTGGTCTACTCAAGTGGCGGAGGCGCTAGGTTTAGATTTAGCCACTGCATTCCGTTGAGGAATGGAACCTATATTCAAGCCGGACCTAGCAGGGGGCTTCTTCTTGCCAGGTGGTGCTGGGGGCGGCGGTGGCGGTGGCTTCTTCTTCAGCTCCCGACTCGGAGCCATCTTGCACCCGCAATGTGCGGCAGCTGCTCCTCATCTTGCCCTGAGCGCTGCCAAGACATGTTCTACGAGCGCTACGCTGACGGCCACCAAGAAGGCAGGACGGCTTTGTCACCGTGCTGATCGTGAAACCTTTGTAGACACCAAAAGTCAGAAGGCATCCAATACGTCGGCGCAGGCTGGGGCAGTCTTTCAAAGAGACAGTTGCAGAGCTGTGGCTCACCCTTCAGGAAGGGGCGAAATGGAGACGAAACTCGTCGAAGTTGGCGCAGGCCGATGCAGGAAAAGTGCTTGGTGAGTCCCAAGCAGTGTCGAGTGCAGGCCAAGGCAGCTACACGAAGCAAAAGGATGCCACCTACGGATACAGGCCTGCAAGTTTGGAAGCACGCACAGATTCGAGTGGCTTGTCCGTTGGGGTGGAGGTGCCGGCCCGCGGCAGTTTGCTGCTGTGTGTTCTTCTGCCGGCGTCTCGAAGACAGGAGAGAGCTGCTCTATTTGCTTTCAGCGACAGCCAGAAGCAAGCTTTTTCCAAGGCTTGTTGGTGCTGCTTTTCCCGTTGTACTGGGTCTGCGGTGTGCGGCTCTCGGGTCTGGCTGAACTCCGCTGCGCATCACCCTGGAAGTACTACACAGGTCCGCTCCCTCTTCACCGGGGAAATCTGCGAGCGCCAACCTTACAGTAGCGTCGACGTGGATGTAGCAGATCATGTGACGGCGCGACCACACAACACAATTCGCTCTCGCTCCCTCTCCCTGTGCACTCCCTCTCCCTTTCGCACTTTCTCGCTGCGTTTGCATGGAAGCACACGAGGCGAGATGTAGATGTAGAAAAGACGATCTGATTGATAGAGCAGCTTAGGTACTTGTACCGTACAGTTCTGGAAGCCTTACTCTGCAGCACTTTGGGTGCAACTTTGTAGGCAAGCTCATCCTCAACGAAGCAACTCGAACAACATGTTGCGGTCACGGCAGTTTGTTGCGTTGCCGCGCCAGCTGTCGCACTCTGAAGGGCCGGCCGTGATGACCTTGGTTGCGGAGTCTCGGCGGCAGATGGCATGCATGATTCATGATGCCGGGTCGCGCGTCATCTCCGAACATGCCGAAGCCCGCTTCACCCATGTCGATGTCAAGCCTGCGATGGGCTGTTGGAGCACAGATCCAAACGAATCTCGCGAGCCTAGATGCTTGTCTGGCGGCACCGCACAGCCCGATGCTCATGCACACCGTCCGGGGGGTGCCGGCCGTGAGGGGGCAGGCGGTGCGGGCCTCAGCTGCGGCTGCAGCCTGGACGGACCTAGCAGCACTCACGGCGTCTGAGGCAGACTTCTGCTGCTCCCAGTGCGGAGTCAACTGCTACGACCCCATCACGGTCACGACCACCGAGGCCTTGCAGGATGCGGGCACTTGCGTCGGGAGCAGCGCTGCAAAATCTGCGATGCCAAGGCGCCTCGTGTGGTGGTCCGGCGCCACTACAACACGGTGGTCAGGACTGCTCAGCTGGCTATGCTGGCGGCCTCATTGGTCAAGCTGAGAGTTGGCCGTGAGAGTGTCTGTGACCCTTTATTGACGTGACCACGCTTGGCATGAGGAGGGTTCCGGTGAACCACTATGTCCCTTGGCTGCAGTGCTTTCGAGAAAGCCCTTGCTTGCCTGCTGGCACAGTGCCCTTCCATCCCGGCAAATCCTGCCAGGTGAAGGTGCAGATGCCGCGGCCTGCGCCCATCATCCACACCGTGCACGTGGTTGCAACGGCCTCAGCCTTGCTCGAGACTGCCACCAATCATACAGAAGCAGCAGAGTCCGAACGTCGTTCTTTCTTCGTTTCTATGCCAACTTTCCTGTCGCGAGATGTGCTTTTGTCTGAATCCTTACTCTACCCTCATCGCACTCCTGATCTACGTCGCTGCTCAGAAGCCCAACGCCCATTACGAGTGCTTCGACGGCGGCGACTACGACCACGAAATGTGGTCCGGCGCACACAAAAGGTGGTGCTGCTACAAGTACAAGGAGGACTCATGCACATGTCTACGAGTGTGACTGTGGTTGCCTCCGGCGACTTGTCTGGCATGAAGAATGATAGCTCGTCTTTCCGTTTGTTACTGCGCAAGGGCTGCCCACAGCAAGTGGTGGACCGCAACATCTACCACCACGTGACCAAGATTCAGCGGCTTGACTGGCCTCTAGCCACCTGCGCAACTCCTAACATGTCAACTCTGGCTGCCGAGGAAGTTGCATGTGCCGGTGCCGGTGCAGGAGCCGCGGGGTCCTCCAGCCGCTCGGCTTCGCCGCAGTTGATACTACATCTGCATGTATCAATTCGACGATCCGGGGTTGCTCTGGGCTCGAAGACGCTCGTCTCGGCACTCAGATCATCCACAACATCCCGCAAGTCTACCACGTGCCGAGCCCGCCGAAGTATGTGCACGTGCCGGTGCCAGGGCCCAAAATCCACAAGGTCGCCGGGGGCCGAGCTCCAGCCAGTGCAGTAGATGTAGTTCATGGCTCATGCAGCAGAGCTCCGAGAAGCACCACACGTGCGCGACCGTGAGGTCACTATCAACAAGGACGTGCCTTATCCCGTAAAGGAGCCCCCCCAGGCACAGCGCCTACCCCGGAATGACAGCCTCCACAGCGGGCGTCACACAGGTCATCACCGTCAAGAAGCCCTACACCGTGAAAGTTCCGGGCCACCGTGACAGCCTCAGTGCTCAAGCTTCCTGTTCACCTTGACTCCTTGCCCTGTCAGGCCACTACGTGGACGTGCCGGTGCCGTCGCCTCCCCACATCGTCAACAAGTACAAGTACCACTACGTCACTGTGCACGACTACGACGCTCGGCACAGAGCTTTGTTGCTGAAAGGCATGGTGGCCCACCCAACGCTGCGGCATTGAGGGACGGGGGAGTATCGTTTGTCCAGTTTGTCCTCTTCATAGCCTCAGAACTGCGACTCCCATTTCGACAAGTGGTACTACGCCTGGTCGGGTGCGAAGTGACTTTGCTGCATTTATTTCTGGGCATTTATTTCTGGGTGTTGCCTTGGTAGCAGCGAGGGTGTGACTAGCTCTACATGGCATGTGCAGGAAGCAATGGTGCTGCGCACACCAGCACCTGGGCTGCCCAGGACCCCTTCCTGCCGTGGTCGTGCTGTGGAGTGCCGGTCAATAGGGGTGGCCTGAAGAAGCTTGAAAGAAGCTGGAAGGATCTTGGCACCATCACCACGTGGTGACCATTACTGGTGTTCAGCACCTCAAGCACTATGCGACTCGGCGGAAGTCAATGTGGCCGATGTTAGTTTTCTGAGTGGGCTACCACGCTGAGGACTGCCACGCCGGCTTGTCCAACTGGTATCACGGCTGGTCCCACGTCAAGAAGTCCTGGTGCTGCGTGGCTCCGTCTGGGTTGAACCGAGATTGCATCCATCTGTCCTGCAACACATGCAGATCCATGAATGTAGATCTCACACTGGTCAGTGTCGAGGGCGCAGCGATGATCGAGCATGACAGGACCATCATCAGCTGGGCTGCCCTGGCATGGCGCATGGCCAGTGGCACGCTCACACTGTGTGCGCCCTACACAGCGTGTCGAGCGCCACCGCACGCTAAACCTTTAACCTACGTTGGCCGCGGGATGCTGTGATGGGCACCGAGGTGGTGCACACCATCATGGGCCACCATGCCGGCCATGGCGGATATGACTGCGATGCGGGCTACTCCAATTGGGAGCACGGCTGGCCGCAGCCCTAACAGTTCTGAGGTGCCTGCTTGCTTCTGTCTTAAACTGAGGTCGTACCATAAGAAGACGTACTGCTGCGAGCACGAGCACAGGGGCTGCCAGCCATACCACTGCCACCACCACGAGGACGCATGCTGCCGCGGCTGCTCTGCTCAAGATGCTTCGCGAGATGTCAGGAGGAACACGACACGTGGTCGGACGAGAAGCGTCGGGAGCCCTATTTTGTTTTGCAGGGTCAGGGGCGCACAGAGAGAGGGCAGGGTTGCCTGGTCGTGCTTCGGCAGGCGACTATTGCTGCGGCCACTTCCAAATCGCCTGCGCCGCCACCACGCTGTCGCCTCTCGGGTGTGACGCCGCTTAGCCAAACTTTGCTCGAAGTCAGGGATGGTATGTGGTATCTACACCATGTTGCGTTGCAGCCCACTATACAGGGAGTTGCTCCTAGCCAGCCAAGGCCCCGTGCACGCTTCACGGCGACACCAGCACCTGCAAGCAGCGCATCGACTGGACGATGGAGACCTTGCGGTGCTCTTGCAGCCTTCTTCGTTGCCGTTCTAAGTAAGAAGCTCGGACGTGTTTTCTGGCTGTGCATGTCTGTCTGCGCAGGAGCACACCTTCGACAGCAAGGAGAACGCCTGCAATCTGGCCTACAGCGCCGTGCAGGTGCTTGCAGGGTACTCGTCAGAACCTTGGTTCAGAGGCTCTTCCCGAAGCCATGCGATGCCGCGGCGCAGGTGGAGTGCGACGTCTGCCGCGCCTGCACCATTCAGGAAGCGGGCTGTGGCGACCAGGGCCCGGGCTCCGATCCCTACGACTGCTCCACGGCTGCAGATGGCTGGGCAGCGAGACAAGCAACGAGGGCTTCTTTCTGAGGCAATGCCGCTCTGGGCAACTGGCCCTGGCCTCGGAGCGAGCCAGTCGGTGAGAAGTGCGAATTTGTATGAGACTTGAATTTTGATGTCGTGGAGGTGCCGTGCATGGTCGCCTGAGAAGAAGGTCTGGTGCTGCCAGAACGAGCAAAAGGGCTGCCAGAACCCGGACACGCCTCCGGACTGCGATGCTGGAGCCGGCATGGTTTGGAAGCACCTCGGCAGCAGGGCGAGCAGTCATGGGTAGCCATTCGTAAAGCCCTGCAGCCGCGGATGGTTGCCAAACGGTCAGCTGCACACCTCAGGAAGGTCTTCATCTCGAACCACTGGACGTGGCAGGCCTCCCACGATGAGCGCCCCGCGCGCGCGTGGTCGTCGTTTGCGATGCCTGTGCTGTTGGCTCTCGACAGGCCGTATCTGCTGTCGGCGGTTCGGTCGTGAGCAAGCCCTATGACTGCCACGCCGGTTGCTGGGCCACAAGTACCGAGGGGCTCTGCGCAGATTCTATTCCCGTGAGCCCTTGCGGTACTGCTGCTGATTCTGAGGCTTGCGCAATTGGGGCACAGGATGGTCGGCGCCGAAGAAGACGTGGCGCCGGCCTTGCTGATGTGTCGCCATCGACGCATGCTTCATGTGCAGTGTAGTAATGCACGGATACATCCGGAGCACCCAACTCTGGTGTCGAGGTGCTGTTCCCACGAGCAGGTGGGCTGCCCTGGCTACCACTACGCCGGCGCCGGGGGCGGTGGAAAAACCGTGGTCACGACGCACACCGTGGTTTCAGGCAGGGAAACATGTGGAAGCTGCGTGTCGCATGCCCAATGCTGGGACGGTGGCCACTTGCGAGAGGCGGTGGCGGGGGCAGCTTCGGCGGTGCATACTCATTCCACGGACATCCTCCCTCCGCAGCTGGTTCCGGCATGATGTGGCACTGGGTGGCCCGGAGCAAGTTGCGGCGAAAGTCATGGAAATTCGCTGTTTTTGCCCAGAGCCAGTTGTCCAGAATGCCCCATGCCTGATCCGAGTCCTCGTCCGGCGGCTCGGGCCACTGGGTCCAGGCCGTTTGCAGCTTGTCTGGCATCCCTGCATCACGTCAAGACAAGATATGACACAGGTCCACACGCACGGCAACCTGCCATTCGACTGTTTCGCCGGCATCACGGTCCGGTCCCAAGGATAGAAAGCTTGGCAGGGTGGATGGATCCTAAGCGGTGCCCCGATCACAGCTCACGGACCTGTCGCGGTGCTGTTCAGGCGGGCTGGTCTGGCGGAAAGAAGCACTATTGCTGCCTGCACTTTGACAAGGGCTGCTGAGCCCAAAGCCCCAGCGCAACTGCCTTGGGCTTGTCCCATTCACCCGTCGACAACCCGCGGCGTCGTGGGTCCTAACCTTGCCCCAGGTCTGAAGCGCTCCGGCTTTGCCCACTTGCAAAGGCCGGCGGTGGATGCTCGTTTCACAGTATTCCCAGTCATCGTCACAGCAGATGTCCAGTGCAGGTTTGTCGGGCCATTCTCTGGGGTGCAGCATCTCTCCTTCGCAGCTACCTGAGTTTTATGTGTATCAAGTTCAATTTTTCGAACTCTTCCGATTCTGGTCTTTGTGCAAAATTTGTCCTTACGCGTGGCGGTACCTTGATGCAGCAGGCTGGTTTTTTCGGCGCCAGAATCTCCTTTTCACCTTCACATTTTTGGCCAGAGCACGATGCATCTGCTTAATGCTGCTCTTTCAGACATCTTGTCGACTGAGCGCTCGTCCCCACGCAAGCTTGTTCTTCTGTGATGAGACGTGCGGGTTACGCACGGAGACTGGTAGTACTGAACTGGAGCAGACACATGCGCAAGTCTTCTTCCGTTCTCATAGAGACGGTGGAGACGAGTCGGACCCAGCTGAAAATGCCAGTGCTGCCGGCAATGCTTTGCGATTTTCTGGTGATGCTTCCATGTCCAACCACGAGCCGTGCCACGAGCTGATGCAAAATCTTCACTTCGCTGGGTCTAGGTCGAAGATTGCCAACGCTTCAGGAGTTGTCGCATCATGCCATGTCGCCATGTCGCCATGTCATGCCAGGCCTTGTCCTTTGTTTCCTACTCCAGGCTACGAGGCGGCCAATGCTGTCAGTGTTCAGCGGCTTGCATGTTGTGGCAGCAAGATGAGCATTTTTCGGATCACTGCCTCTTAATTGGACGGGATTCGGAACAAGGGCAGCCAAGGAACCTCTGATCTGTCCTTTCCAAAGCGTTTTGAGGCGGCGTGGTCGGAGGAGACGATTTCAAGAACGGCTTCAACCTGGACCACCGGGACGGCGCGGCGGCGGCGATGAACCTGATTAAGGACCAGCCCTGCCTTTGTGTGGGTCTCGTTGCCTGGGGAGGGGCTTTGCAAGGTTGAAGGCCAATGGAGCCCCGCGATGTGGAGGAACTTCGACTGGCTTCGTCGGCGCGACTTGCATCGCTGCAATGAGATGGCGGATGGCATCGTGCAGATGATGGCCGCCAGTGGACATTTTGCCTGGGCGTAGGACAGAAGGGCCCACTTTGGTTGGAAAAGTAGAGAAAATCAAGGCGGCGGCCCAACAACATGATCGAGATCAGTAGGACGCGTGTCATTATGCGCGTGGCGTGGCGAAGCCGACCGCAAAGAGCTGGAAAATCCTCACCACCAGCAAGCAGCTCTACCAGAAGCTGATGCGAAAGAGCTGCCCGGGTCACAATGGACATGAAGCTACTTCTTCAGTGAGGACACCGTATCCGGCGAAGATGACGAGGAAATTGAGAGCGCGATGGCATGGCAACTGCGCGGCGGCGACGGCGGCCTTCTCAAGGACGACCTCCAGCACTTTCTGGGTGATGATTTTCCTGCCGTGTTAGCTTTGCAACGTAGGGGCCAGTTTGCACTGCCGAAAGCTGGATGACTTCAAGAGCCAGCTTCTGAAGCTGCGCAAGGCGGCTGGACATTCGTCCTTAGATAGTCTGAGTATATATGTTGTTGGAGCGCCGCGGAGCGCCAGATTGGGCTGTGAGTTTAGCGGAAGAGATTAAGTGTCCTGAATGCCAAGAGGAAAAGCGGATCGGGCCGGCACCGCCGGTTCAACGCCAAAAGGCGAAATGCTTGATCATGGTGGATCGAGAGTCCAGATTCTGCAGTGTCAAGCTTCTTAAATTAAACCCAAACCCCTGGGAGGATCCAGAAAGTAGATCCCCTAATTTGGGGCCCTATACTACTAAAGGTACGTTATAGGAATTCCCCATTAAGGGATCTACTTTTTGGATCCTCCCGAAGGTCTGGGAAGTCTTAAAGTGTATCCAGCATCACAGCGTGGGAACCTACTGTTCGATAGCTCCTCGTGCCAGAATGCCTCCATGGACTTCATACCACAATGCCCTCAAAAGGAGCACTATGTCCTCGCCAGCAGTGATAGCTTGGACCTCACTGCCATTACTTCCGAGACTGTCTCGCGGTGCTTTTGCAGACCACCACGTGATCAAAGCGACAGATTCTTCGGATCCCCGTAAAATTTCGCGAGGAGCATAAACTGCAATGTACCCAATTGCTGAAGCCTTGTTCGGACGGTTGCCCTGTGAGCCATCGCTCCATACTGTCGCAGCCATCTCCTGCCACGGTCTGTTCCACGAAGGGTACCACAACGACTGTGAAGCCTGCTGTCGTACTTCTCGCACGAGTTTATTCACGTCCAACATCGTCTTGACTGTCGCAAGTAGGATTGCAGATAGGAGTAACGAGACTTCAGCAGGTGGCGCGGAGCTGATTGTCACGCTTTCCAAGCCAGTGTACTCAGAGCCGCACGTTAATCCAATCTCTGACTGCGTCAGCTTCGCTTTGAGCCGGCTGGCCAGGCTGGTACTGCGATCTCCTGAACCCATCGGTTGACAGAGGACTCTTGATCAACTCTGATACCATCCTCGCTCTGGCGAATCCGACATCTCGCGAAATCGAACGTTCCAGTGTCCCACTTGCCAAACCTGAACGTGCTCTGGAGCGACTGCTTGGCTGCTTCGTACACACTGTTTCCTTGACGACATAATTTTATTGTAATCGACGTTCTCCAACTCACTCCTGGTGAGCCCACGAACAACTCGGGCTCTCGCCTCACTTCTGCTGGAGCCACCGCTTCCTCAATCTCTCGGCCAGGCACTTCAGAAGAAGCATCTGTGAAATGCCGGCCCTGATATCCACGGAGAAGCGTGTCAACGCCCACAGCATTCTTCAGGGCGCTCGCACCCTTGGTTGCACTCGCGACCTGCTCTCGCTCCGAACAGGGTCGCAGCTGGTTTGTCTTACGCACCAAAATTGCACCTGTTGGAGCCAAACTGTAGAGCACTCGTGTAGCAACACACGCAACGGTTGACGCAACACACCAGTCCAACCACCTTGCCCTTGTCTCAGACGTTGCCACCAAGGCATGGCGAGCTGTCCAGCAGTGAAGGTCTGCGCACGGCAAGGGTTGGAGTTGACAGCCGTTCAGGTGCCTCTGCTTTCTTGAACGTGGCCTCTGCCCTCTGCCGCTGGTCCGAGCGAAGGCCTTTCGCGCATCAATCCCGTCCGGAAGTTGGAACTCGCCGCCCCAGCCTCTGGCCCACTGGTACTGCGAATACCCTCTCACGTGATGCACATGTGCGCTGTGGCCGTGGACAGCGAGTTGGAATAAATCTTCAGTTTCCAAGTTTATTTCTTCCTTTTCCAACCGTGCCACAGTCCGCTTGAGCGTCTGTATACAGCGCTCGTCAATGCCGAGGATCCAATGTGATTCCACCGGCGCGATCATGAGACCGACGCCCGATCGGCCAACAAAGTCCGAAAATTCACTTGATGTAAAATACGGTGCAGCATCTGCTAATATCCAGATCGGGGCAAGACTCATGCCCATCCAGCCGCGGATGAAGGCTTGTTTGATGTCGGCAGATTCACGATCACACGGAAATCCGTTTGGCTACAGACTCACGTGGCATCTTTGATGCCATGACAAGGAATTCGGCATCGCTTCATGGGCTCAGATCCAGCAAAGGTGGTTTTGAAATCACTGTGGCCGTTCAGCAAGCATTGCGAATCCACCTGCGGTGGGTCAATGGTCTGGCTATGTTGGCAGACTCGATGACCACTGCTCGCGAAGATGTCATTCATGAATTTCCTCATCAATGGCCAGAAGTGCGAAGCTACGCTTCGCAAAAAACTCGCAGCCCAACAGCAGCCTTTCGTAGAATGCCTTCGAGTGTGTTATCTTGAGAACCAGCTTCCCTGGTTTGAAGCTCTTGAATTTCAAGATCTGACCTAGACCTGGCCGGGATGTCAAATCTCAGGGGTATGCTATACATGCCAGTTCCCGAGTAGACATGAAATATGACAGCCAGGAAATGCATGTGCGGGACTGTGCGCTGACCGCAGGGACTTGGGCTCTGCGGAAGAAACGAGCCGAATGGCTGCCTAAGGCAGCCTCCACTTGCTAAGCTTCGGCCGTTGCAGGCTGCGATGGTGAAGGAGTGCCTTGACAGTTGCACTGTCTTGTGCTGCCTTTCAAGCGGTTGAGTCTTTGCATCAGCCGCTTCCTACATGCACCCTTTGCTTGCATCTGCACTGACAGAACCCAAGGAAGTAGCTGGGCTGGAATGTTATCACTCGGTCGTCGTCAGCAGCAAAGCGTGTCGTGTCTTGATGCTCTGCCGCACAGCGCTTTGCTCGAAGACCTCGAAGAGGCCACACGTAACCGCAAGCGATTGTTGCCACAATCATGGGGCCGCGGAAGCGTCTCGGATGTACTCAGCACGGCT